TTTGGTAACGGTATTTATAGTAGCATTTGTACTGAAAACTTGGGAAGTAATATCAAACCCACAACATGCTTGTCTGCGTTGCTCATGGGCGTCAATCGGTGGGAGACAGGGGGGACATCCCCCCCCCCACCCCACTTTTTCAAGTGGAGGGGATATCATATACTTTTTTCCGTTCCCCAATATAAATTGTAGCCAAATTTGATTCCACAGCTAAAATGTACTCCAAACTCGAAAATGATGATTATATGATGACAGAAACTGCCTCAGATCGCACACACAGAGCGTCTAGTATCCATACTTTGTCGAACCTTAGCGGGCCCCGAACCCCACGCCGTTAGAGCTTCGCATTATTCCTTTTGCTTCTACTCATCTACTGTACACAGCGCCCTCTATGTTCTGTACAAGGTATGGTCCCCCCCCCCCCCCCCTTGAGAAGCTGTTGACGCCCTTGGCGTTGCTCATATTATGAATCCACGAAAAATTGTGACTTTTAATATCGACTTCAGTTGATGTAACTAAGAAAAAAAAGTTTCCTGTTTTTCCCAAAATGTATCGAACTTATAAATGTACAAACAATAAATAATTATAACAACAAAAAACACCACTAGGGATAAATCCTGTCCCATGAAAACAAAAACAAAACAAACAACTGAAAGAACATAAAATCGACAAAAACTGTGACGTAAGGTCTGATTTTATTAGAAGTCATGTTTGCAATATTGATGTTCAACATTTTCGCATTTCAAAATTAAAACTGAAAACAAATAAACAGAAACACTAACATAAAATAATAAAACTTTGTACAGAATTACAGAAACAGAAACAATACTTTCTACTCAATATCTGTTGATTTTGACTTGACAAGTAAAGTAGTTGCATATTTTTTATGAGTATGAGTGGGACAACACAATGATGTGCTATAGCGTGGCAATAAAAATGTAGCAGTCAACCATAAATATTGAAAATACTAGCACTTCTTTTGCAAAACTTATCTATAGAGTCTGAAGGTGAAAATACTCTACACAATGGTCTTTATCCCATCTCATTGACAGCCCAGTCCAGAGATACAGCTAATTGAATGAAAGGACTTGAATTCCAAATTGGGTCACTTTTCAGATTATCTGGTATCTGATTAAAGACCATACCAAGAAGGTGTGTTGTTGCACTTCACACCAAACAAGTGCAATTTATCAACTTTATACTTGCGTCAAACACTTGACTGTTGTTAGCTTTTGAAGAAAATGGACATTAAAGGGAAGATACAACATTTGCAAACATCACAAAACGAAATGATCAAATTATCGCGAAATACCTTACTGGATAGTTAGGGAATGACTGTCTAAAGCATCCTGTAAAATCGTGGCTCCTGGTGTGCTGACATTTTCAAGAAAAATGGTATTTTTCCAACGCTGGTCGGCCGACCAGCGTTGGAGAAAACTGGCTTATTTTCAAAAATTGCTCCGAATTTGTCATAATTAGTTATTCCGCATTTTCTTTGCAATTGATTACACACCTGTGAAGAGGTACAAGTCTGCTAGCCTGATTCTCTGACCTTACAATTCCCCAAAGTATATTAATTGCTCCGTTTCATCTTAAGTGGGGTTCAGGGAACCAGACTGCAAGAACATGATTGGTTTTCTTGGTTTTTCCAGCATTTACAAGCCCAAACGTGAAAAAAGTCATTTTAACAATAGCTGCTATAACATACTAATCCTCCAAATCCATTTATTTCTGAAAATTGCAGCAAAAGCAAATGTTGTACATTCCCTTTAAAGTTTATAAAGTAACTTATACTTAGGCCACAGAATTGTTACCTACAAAGCTATGATTCTGAAATCATTCTTTATGAGGAATAATCCTCCACCCATGTTACAAATGGTGAAAACAGGTAAAATTTGTGAACAATAAAGAAAGTGGCCAAACAAGAAAGTGGCTTAACAGATTTTGACAGTCGTTGGTCGTTACAAGCTTTGCCGTAACTTTTAAACAAAAGGTCTGCATCACTTCGAACAAAAATCCTGTCAATTAAGGGTAAAGAAACACTCTATCATCTCATGGTAACTTTTTCCACAAAAAAAAATTAGTTTCCTCAGACAAAAATGCTGTTTGACTGCTACATTTTTTTGAGAGATGTTGTACATGTACATCACTACTCAAACATGCAGGTCTCTGTCCCGGGGGAAATAGTCATTTTGATTTTCAACATCTTCATGTTGTTTTTTTTGCGATACATATTACATGGTTAATCCGTCGCTGTCAGGATTAAGCCCAGGCATGGCCTTGCCGTTACGTCCCTAGAGGGCCTTGTGTGCTCCAGTATCAACAAAGTTGGAGTGAACGTTATCCTTGGGGCTTTATTTTAGTTTGAGATGCGGAGAAGATGAGATTGCAGATTATGTGATTAGCGACGAGGCTGCAATGGTTTCCAAGGAATCGGTCTTGCTGGACCCTGGTCCATGCCCCATGGCCTGGCTGTGACAGCACACAGCCTGGGGTGTTGGGGGGGGGGGAGATACGCAGCGCGGATTATCAAATTCAAAATTGATGTTTGGAGAGCGCAGCATGTGCAAGTCAGTTCATTCTCAACGTGTGTCTCTTCCAAGGTGCAGTTGTGTAATGTGATTGACGATAAGTAATTGGATTTGCGGTAAATGCAGGAGCGTGGAGGTCACGCCTGCAGAGGAAACGTTTCGCAGCACGGGGGTCGGGACGCCTACAGCTCATCACACCTGCAAATTGCTTTCCAATCCTGTTTTGCCCTTGATACATCGAATGATGAGTTCTGATATAGAAACTCCATTATCTAATCTCACACTAAGCAGTCACTGAACTGGCTGAACGAGTGGTTCAGGGCCAAATACATTCATTTGTCATCTTGAAACGGCTTGAATCTTCGATGGGATTTTCAGTACAAGAATGGTAGCGTGAAAAAAACAGCGAAATACAAACTTCCTTTCATTTCATCCTAACCACCCCAACCCTTTAAAATCCAACTGCATATTTTGTTGGAATCTGTTGGACTGAGAACTGCACTAGTAAACTGATTATGCTTTACATGGGGTCAGGCATGCCACCATAATCAGAGTCCAACAGTTTGGTTGCATGTGTTTCCATATTGTGTTGGATTATTTTTGCAAGAGTGAGGAAGGTTCCTAGTAAATCATTTAAGGGGTTAGGGGCTAGTTTAATAAGCTGCTGGTTCACAGGCAAATACTGTAACTTTAGCGGATAAAAAATATACAATATTCACAGACTTTGAAGTAGTAATTAAAAAACAGGAGCAAATCGTACATGCACCTAATGTAATGGCGTATAGTTAAAGTTACAACTTTTGTTTATAAATCTTACAAAAAATAACTGCGTTGAATATACATCGATATTTACAGTGATATTGACAGTATTTTGTGAGACGATGAATTTATGTAACACAAATATCAACCCAGAGATGCATAAAACAGGCTTGCGACTGCAGAGTCATGAAAAAAGAGGAAATCACATCTTAACCAGACCTACTGCAGGGTTTCCAAATTTAATAGCTTCCGTGTACAAAACAAGAAAAAACCAGCTGATCCTAAGAAAAGTCGCACGCATGATAATAAATATGACGACTGGTACGGCCACATTTTGGATGGTTTACGTAGTCCTGATTTGATCAATCAAATCTTGGACAGACGACGTGGAAATAGTACAAGCACCATGTGAAAAATATTACATTTTTACAAAAAAAAACTACAACCAATCATAAATGTTGTGTTTAACCACTTCGCATGGGGATTATTTTTGCCGAAAATTTTGATTTTCGCAAAAGGCCAAATTTACCAGCCAACTTCTGGTATACAGCCAAACGCCACACGTACTGATTCGCAAGAGTAATTTCAACAGTATTTGTACGATATTTCTTGCCGAAACCTTGTATGTTTCAATACTCAGGGGTGTGCACTGGAGCGTAAATTGTAGAAAAGGCCGTGCACAATGGTCAATTCAAGATCAACATATGGTCCACCTCCACAGACTTTTGTGTGTGTGTGTGTACAAAAGGCACGAGGGATTAGCGTGTTTGGACATCACCCAGAGGCGAGGCGAGGCAATCTGGACATTTCAACCCGTCAGCCATGCCTGGGTATAAAAAACAGCCAGTGCGTGTTTTCATTTCCTCCGATGCGAACAGGTTTAAGTAACAGCTCCTACCGATTTAGTGAGAAATCACCGTCCGATTTAATGTGAAAAACATTGCTCAAAGTGAAGATAGGACTGGTATCAAATCCCCTGTGAAATTATCCCGCCTGAAATAGTATCGTTCAGAAGCAATGGTTGAAGGTGGTTGTCAAAAGTGTGCACTAAGGCACACTTTTTTAAAAATTAGACGAACTTCTTGAAGTACTGTGAAGATTATCCATCTACTGGGACCTCGACGTCACGCACACTTACTGCCCGAATGAGAACCGTGTCCCGATTGCTGACTTAGGGATTACAATGTATACACAATAGCGTGCAACTCAAAATATTAAACAGCAACTTTTAAAATCGGAGGTGCTGCCAAACGGAATCCACTTACGAGGCAAGAAAATCGTGCCATGGTTTTCTCTGTTTTTCTCAAAATGTATAGTATCTACGGAGCTGAAATTTCAACCGGTAAGTTGTCACACCCCCTTCTTAAGATTTTGAGCAATCGTGTTGCTTCAAACGGAAACAAAATGCATAAAATAATAGATGCAACTTTAACTGTATTTACAAGACTTAACACAAGGAGCATAAAGTCGATACATGTGTTGTCAAGAAAACTTAAATATAAATCAAATTAGGTTTTGCCCTTTACCAACATTTAAACACTGTATACTCAGTGTGTTACCTACCGAGTGAAAGATGGAAAAAAAATCACTTGTGTGGGACTCGAACCCACGACCTCCTGCTTTCTAGTGCAGATGTCTTACCACTCGACCACCGAGCTAACGGGATCAGTTGGCTGGTTCGAATCTGATGTACAAAGCAGCGGGTACCGCATTAACTATTCATAAGATGGAATTTTGCGTCGGGATGATATAAATTAAATATAGGTGTGGTAATTATTTCCGGGGAATGGGCGTGGCATGGTAGTAGGCTGAGGGGGAGGTGGGGGCGGGGGTGGGTGATTATGCATATTGGGATAACCTGGAGGGGGTGGGGGTGGGGGTGGGGGAGGGGGGTTAAAACTGTTGGGGTGGGGATTAGGTGGAGGCGGAGGTGGGGGCGGGAAAGAATAGTCCCCATAAGGGGCGGGGCCCTGTGGATTAAATGTACCTGGTAATCCCATGAATTGATCCGGATTAAAGGATGATCCATGCTGTTGGTACGCTTGTGGATGCCAGGGTGGGCCAAAAGGGGGTCTCGGATGATGGGGTCCAAATGGTGGGCGTGGCATCCCCCGCCCTCTCCAGTTTTGGAATGGTTGTCTCGGTCTGGCATCAAAGGCAGCTCTTCCTCGTGGTCTATGTTGATTGGTCGATTCTAAACGAACAATGAAGAGATTTACTTAATACGCCAAATGGCATTCATTATCACAACTTTTTAAATTGAAGTTGTCTTACTTGGTGTCAATCCAAATAAGGTCAATTCATTGGCAAGAAGTCTTGGTACCAAACGCTGACTAGTCTAGTCACAGACTCCCGCGTTAGAATTTACCGAATTGTTATCTGTGTTTAAATCGTTTAAAAAGGAAGTTGAGGTAAATTTCTTATTTTGATAATAGTCATCAATATGCAATATTTTCAATATGTTGCAAATTGTAATGCTTTCTTTTTTTTGGAAATACCCATTTGTTGCCCTTGATTGGATGGGCCCAGTCAGGACACAAAATAAAACCAAAAAAAATTAAAACATTAGGACATTACACACATTGCGAATCTTATACATGGTGCCCGGATGTACAATACTCTGGTACAATCTCGCAGGTTTTTGAGGTCAACTTCCACGCTCTAGTTAGTATAATGGCGTTCTACTCTAGTCTTACTCTTGTTAATTTTGACAGAAGAGAAAGCAAACTAAGTAGAGTTTGAAGGGACAAACACACGTTGTTGGGCTAGAGGTTTATGTCTGTTTAATTAACAGAGCATATGGCTTTTTCGCATTGTTGATTGTTGATTGTTATTGTTGATGTTGATGATTGATGTTGGTTATTGATGTTGATTGTTGATGATGATTGTTGACGTTATTTGTTGATTGTTAAGGTTGATTGTTGATTGTTGATTGTTGATGTTGATTGTTGATGTTCATTAGTTGATGGTGATTGTTGATTTGATTGTTGATTAGTTAATGTTGATTGTTGATGTTGAGTTAATGTTGATTGTTGATTTTTGATGTTGATGTTGTTGAATGTTGCTTGTTGATGTTGATGTTAATGTTGCTTGTTGATGTTGATGTTGATGTTGATTGTTGATGTTGATTGTTGATGTTGACGTTGATTGTTGATGTTGATGTTAATGTTAATGTTGACGTTGATTGTTGATGTTGATGTTAATGTTAATGTTGATTGTTGATTGTTGATGTTGATTGTTGATTTTGATTGTTGATTGCTGATGTTGACGTTGATTGCTGATTGTTGCTGAGGCCCAACACCTAATAAATGTAAAACTGAAATAAAAACAAGCCGAATGCTGAATCACTGTCGAAGATGACTTGCGTCCTTGCACTCTAGTTTAAGTCTTCTTGGCATGTGATCCATCTTCGGAAGATATGACTTTTAAGGCCCCAAGACATTTCAATCACACAGAGGAGAGAGAAGTATTATCTATATTGATTTTGACCTCAAAAGGATGCGGCGGAGAAGCCGAATAAACCAAAAGTACATCTTACCATGGTAACCGTGGCGATTGCCTGATGGAAACTGATGCCTTGACGGCAAGCTCTCGTCCGTTGCCATGACAACATCCTGCATGTTGTTTCGGCTGTTGGCAGGGAGTAAAAGCAATTTTTATATTAGATGGATGTTTGTTTAAATCAGGCGAGACAGCTCAGAATGTGCCTGCGTGCCTGAAAGATGAAACATATAGATAATTTTGCAGAAAGTTGACAGCTGATGTTACACTAACAAATTATGATTTGTGAGCAAATTTGAGTCACTTCACCGGACACATACCTCGGATTTGGAGTTTTTCTCTTGCGCTTGTCGTTCTTTTTCTTGTTCTTTACGGCACGCTCTTGTTCGTCGTCGCTGTACTCAACGCACTCCGCAGGGGGCTCCTCGTCATTTTCCCACGATGCATCGGAACCTTTCAACCTGTTGCCAATCAATTAAGTATGCAAATCAAGTTCGTAGCCCTTGTTCTGCCAGGCATTGATAGGCGGCGTCGGAATTACTTGGCTTCGACTGCAAATAACAAATAACTGCGCGATGCCTGTGCAATATAGATTATGGAAGCTTTGCCCCCAAAAACTGTATCTTGTTGTAAAGGGACGACAGACGATACGTACATTTAATATAAATCCTTGCTAAAATATCAGGGTTCGTGGTACATTAGCGGTAGCCCGCTAGCCAAATGCTTGTCAAAACAGCGGCGGGCTAGTCAAACTATTCCTTAAGTAGCCTGACTGGCGAGTCCAAAAAAAATTGGGATACAGCAAAGATGAAAGGACATGAAGAAATCATGAAATTCAGAGAGCAATTAGTAGATCTGTTTATTAGAAACACTGACAAGATTGCATGTATGCACATTGTTGCTTGTGAGACACTCTATAAAAGAGAAAACATGCGGGCTAGTGAAAATGCCTGTGGGCTAGTTAAGAGTCTGTCTCAGTAGCCCGGCTGGCTAGTGAACAAAAAAAATTAAGGTCGAACCCTGAAATAACACGATGTCGCAAATCTTGTGGTTGAAAGGATTGATTCCACTAAAAAAAAAAAATTTTAAGCACTGCGTTGCGCGTTAGATACATTGACTGCATTCCTAATGTAAATGTCCCAATTAGTGGGACATTTCAATTACACAATTCCAGGGGTTGAGATCGCACAAGGCATGATAGGAACAAACCCGGCACAGCAATATTGTACCCATGGAAACAAGGTTGGTCAGTCACATACAAAGGCCAAGTTCGCGCAACGACTATAGTTGACCAATGGTTAACCATAGTCCGACTAACGCTTGCCCGAACTCTGTCTAGTCGACAGTGGTTGACTACGCTAGTCGACTATTTGGAACCAACCTACAGGGGTTGGTTGCATCGCTGGTAACCAATAGCCGCGCGCATTTATAACGTACAGCAGGGAGCCAGGACCCAGAAGTTTTGCAATGACATTTTGACCAGCGTTTGACTAGAGACGTTCGCACGTTGCTATTAGTGCGCAGGCGTAAAGTACGTCACAAATCAACCACTAGTCGACGAATGGTCCTTGCCCGAACTTGGCCAAGGTTGGTCAGTCACATACAAAGAAAACTATGGGCTCCGTGCACAAGTACCCCCTCAACGGTAAGAAAGGGAGAGTTGTGGAGGACCACTGGGCGAGACATTTGAACGCATTGCTGACGATGCCTGATGCTCTTTGAGCAATTTCACAATACAATAAGTTGTGCATGCTTCGCGCTATCCGCTCCGTTCACAAGTACCCCCTCACCGGCAAAGGAAGTACAGTTGGGGGTGACCGACCGACGCCATCTTGCCTGACTGCAATTCAAAGCTCGGCCACTGCGTGTGCATAATACAAATCCCCTGGTGTACGTGCGTCACACACAAGGAACGGTGCGCGTCAACCAGCTAAATGTCCCGCCCATGGGACGTCGTTGTTAGGTAATAGGGCGCCCTCTTTTTTTAGCGCACGGAGCTCATACACACGCAAACCAGTACACGTACACGGCGTGTCCCGCCAACTGGCTCTCGAAAGCGGTACAAAAGCGCCCTCTCTAGTTTGCGAACAGAGCTAATAGGCTGGTCTTCTTAGACTGGCAAAAAAATCCAGAAATGGATGATACATACTGCTTGAGTCTCTGTGTGAAGACATAAGTCGTCATGTCAGGGATTCTCGGAGCAAAGAAGACTGGCATCTTTAACTCAATCTTGAGATCTTGGACGTCGGTCAAATTGTTGAATCGGACAGTGTACAGCGGGGCTATCACAGGGCCAAACACTTCAAAAATCTAAGCAAAGGCAAAGAAATGAGGTACATAAATACAGTGTTTAAAAAACAGTAAACTTGCGTTAAGTCAAATCTCAAGGGAAAGGATCAAACAAGTTGAGGGATCCAGTGTTCGAGTTGAGCAAGTTTCCCAATTTTTCTACAGTCATGTCATAATAATAATAATAATAATTTGGGAGGCTAATAATCCTTACTCTCAGCTGGAATGCTGAATTGCGAAGGACGCGGCTACAATGCAGTCAGGCCGCTGGCACGTAAAGGCGCCTATGGCTGCCGGCCTCTTCGACCCATACATGACTACGGAGCACAGCCTGAGATCGAAAGTGTTTGATTTTTCCGGAGGGAGGAAAACCGGAGGGCACGGAGAAAAACCCTCGTGGCACAGGAGAGAACCAACGCACAACTCCAGTCACATGTGATCCGGGCCCAGGATTCGAACCGTGGTCACCTTGGTGAGAGGCGAGCGCTTTACGCACAAGCCACCCATGCCACCCTACACGTACACATGTACATGAATGGATTCCACCGTAACTCGCTATGCCCGGCCATAAAATACACATGTTATTTAGCACACTTTCCTCTTTTTTTTTATTCTAATGGTGTAAAAGTCAAAAATATTCGTTTTACTCAGATTTCAAATATTTTTTTACCTAAAAGTGTCAGCTCTATAGCAAACGTGACAAAGCCTCTCAATTTTGTAACTGCATGTAGCAAATCCTTATTTTGTGTCGTTTGTCTATCGATATCGACGGACATGATTGTGGTTTTTCGATGTGCAGTCACATTGCTGATCCTATCTAAACTAAGGTGTACCAGCTGCAACTGGACCAGCGGTAGAGACCACGTAGCGGAATGGCCGATATTTGTCAGATTTCAAAGAAGATATTTGAGGCTAGGGGCAATAGTTTTTCTGTCGTTTTCATTTTCGTATATTTCACGAATCTGTATGAGGAAAGAAAATGGGTAGCTTCGATTTAAAAATGGTCATAGATACACTCTTCTTTCTGTTTCGGTTTAATTCTTGGACAAGGATGCTTGTTGTTTTCTGGCGTGGGGGGGGGGGGGGGCATGGCCCCCGTTGGCCCACCCCCTCCCCACGGGATCTGCCAGTGTAAGCCAATTACTTACCACTCCAATGGCTTGTCTGTCGTCCCGGAACAAGACCGTGTCAGAATCCAGGGCTTCAACGCCAAGACTCGATTGAATCACGACTATAAAAGCCAAAAAAAAGACAAGACAAGTCAGCAGATTATTGGAAAGATTAAGATGAGTGGAAATGGGAAGTGGACATCTGTCTTTCTGCTGTCAAAATACCGAAAAAGAAGATTGAACGTTTTCGAATGTGCAATTTTTCAGTTTTTCTGCTTTTTATGCACAACTTAAAAAAGTCGACCAGGTTTGAGCTCTTCAGTCGAATCCAGAATCACAAGTCGATTGAATTTACTTTTACCTAAAAAAACAGATTTTGCTTTTCCTCCTTTTGCTGGTGGACAAGAAGTGGACAACTGCTTTTGTTTCATGAGAGCAGCAGATGAAATGTTTTTGAGGTGTCAATTTTCTACTCTCAACTAAACCAACGAACATGCTTAACATGAGCAGGGATGTAGTCAAGTCCATCACAAGTCCATCACAAGTCCATCACAAGTCCGTCACAAGTCCCTCACAAGTCCGTCACAAGTCCGTCACAAGTCCATCACAAGTCCGTCACAAGTCCATCACAAGTCCATCACAAGTCTATCACAATTCCTTCACAAGTCAATCACAATTCCATCACAAGTCCATCACAAGTCCGTCACAAGTCCATCACAAGTCCATCACAAGTCCATCACAAGTCCATCACAAGTCCATCACAAGTCCATCACAAGTCCATCACAAGTCCAGTCACAAGTAACAGTGGATGAACAATAACAAAGGAATGCCTTTGTCAAAGCTCATTTGAATAGCTTGTGAGTTGAATTGGGACTGGAGGACTTGTGATGGACTTGCAGGGACTTGTGATGGACTAGACTACATCCCTGCAGCATGAGCAAAACTTTGCTTCTTACCGAGCTGGCCGATGATACTTGAGACGACCCCGACAGGTTTGAGCTCTTCAGTCGAATCCAGAACCACATCTATAGGTTGCACTGGCGGTAAATCCTGACAACAGACATGGAGAAATACAGGTGTGAACATGAAATAGCAGGGGTCATTGGTGATGATCACAATGAAGGGCCAGTGTGAACAAGAAGCAGGGGTATCTGGGGTTAAAGGTATAGTCCATCATTTGTAATTTGTGCATTTTGTTCGTTTGAAGCTACAAAAGTGCTCAAAAACTAAAGAAGGGTGCTGAACAACTAACCTGATGAAGTTTCAGCTCAGCTTCAGCTGTATATTTCGAGAAAAACAACATTCTAGGATCTCGATTTCAACTCAAAAGTTGCTGAATCATGTTTTGAATTGGGCCTGAATTCAGCGTCCGAGACACGTTCTCACTGAGCCGATTGCAGCTACGTGATGTCCCGCACCGATCCGACGAATTATAGCAATGGCGCGCACATGTCCGTCGTGTCAACGCTTGCGCACGCTTCGCCGAATAAAAAAACAAACTACTAAAGGAAATTTCCAACGGTGCTTCTTAAGATGCACCGTTGGAAAGGCCTTCTTTCGTTGATTTCTTCAAAATGACAGCTTGCCAGAAAGAATAATTTCACAGGGAGTTTAGTCCCCTTACTATCTTTCAACCAAGTATGTTTTTTTAACAATAATTACGCCAGTTACTTTTGGGATAGCTGCAAATGATGGACTCTGGCTTTAAAGTTCAACGACCTTGTTGCACGGACCCGACGACACGAGGTCTTTTCTTGTAAGATACATCTGGTAGGTGAATAATCAGTAAATTATTGAGTACACTTCATACCATGACTAGCACTTCCTTCGCGGTTTTTGGAGGCAGGGCAAGTCGGTCTGGAAAATCCTCCTCACTATCACTGAAAACAAGCAAAAAAAACCCATGAAAGTAAGAAAATTGATTCACTCAATACGTACCTTCCAGAAATTTGGATCTTGAAATATTTCAGATTTTACCGAGTGAAAGTTGGATCACTCGGGTGGGACTCAAACCCACAAACAACCTGCTTTCTAGTGCAGACGTCTTACCACTCAACCACCGAGGTAATGGGATCTGTTGGCTGGTTCGAATCTAATGTATATAGCAGCGGGTTCCGCATTAACTGTTCATAAGATGGCATTTAGGGGTGATGTAAATTAAACCAGGTCTTGCCTCCTCAGGAGGTCGTTGGTTCGAGTCCCAACCGAGTGATTTTTTTTCCAACTTTCACTCGGGAGGTGGCACACTGAGTATACAGTGTTTGTACATCGGTGGGGAGGCAAGACCTAGTTTCATTTAAAATAATGTGTGGCAATGCTACAGCGCATTCTAGACCGACATTTTACACAGACTCTGCACCTACATGTAGGCTGTATCCTCTCAGAGTGATCCCCGTTTGCTATTTCCCAGGTTTGCAGCATTGCTATGTTGCTAGCATCGTGACTTTGGGCGTGATCCCTGGCTACATGGGTTTATGGCTTCTGACTAGCGCCCTTGAACAAAGACATTGACAAAATGGGGAACCGCCAACATAGGGCTGGATAGCTCAGTTGGTAGAGCAACAGAATGGCAATCCGGAGGTCGCAGGTTCAAACCCCGCTCCAGTCAATTTCTTTGTTCAACTTCAAAATTGAAGTTCTTTCTTCACCACTTGTACAACATCTGCTAGTAAATCACTCAAGCCAAATGCTTCATCTTACTGATGAACACCTTTCAAACCGATTTGTTTTGTAAAATTCAAACAGACGCATTTCTGGCATTACCTGTGCCTTGCACCTCGGATGGGTGCACGTCTCTCATCATCCGAGCTTGAGGAGTCAGAAGACGAGCTGCTTTCTTCCGTATCACTCTCACTCTCCGACGATGACGTTGACGATGATGAAGACGTTGACGAATCATCTTCAGAATCCTCAGAATCTTGTCTCGTTTCTTCCGATTTCTCTGGCAAGTCTTCCTGTTTCACCGAGACACTTTGGAAGGCATCGCCTGTAGGAATTTGAGATGTGTTTTCGAAACTCGGCAACAACTGGTCAATCGCTGTTTCAGCTTCTCTTGAAGTATCCGAGTCTTCAATTTCAGTTTTTATGCTCAGGCTGTAGCTATGAACCTGTGAAAGAGTTGTTGCCGGTTCAGTGTTCATTGGGGTGTACAGAATACAAGACCGGCGCTTGTCTTCCATTTTTATCATTCCGCGGCCATCACTGTCAGACGGAGCTTGTGATATTGATGCAGGTTCAGTTTTTGCGGTCAGGCTGCAACTTCCAACCTGTGAAAGAGTTGTTGCCGGTTCAGTGTTCATTGGGGTGCACGGAATACCAGGCAGGCAATCGTCTTCCATTTTGATCATTCCGTAGCCGTCATTTTCAGACGGAGCTGCTGATATTGATGCAGCATTTACTGAAAGTGACTCAACAGCAAGCGTACACGATGAATGTTCCGTTTCCAGTTCTTGCTTGACTATTGTCTTCTCCTCCACTGGCAAGCTGCCGGGACACGTCGGCTCAGGATCCATGCTTATCGCAGGTTACAACTTCTCCAGCATACGATCATATGGAGGTGTCTGCGTGTAGTCAAGGGTAAAAGGTAGAAATTGAAAAGGTAGAAACAAACTTCAACAGTCGTCAACCCAGCGTCAACAAATTTTGTAGAAGTTTGGGAAAATCAAAAACAGCTTTATATGGTAGAAATGCTTCAGCATATAAATTAAAGTAAAAACTATTTCAAATTTTTTTTTTTTTTCAACACGAAATGTACAACGACTCTGTCGAGTTTGTGTTGGCCACCATTTTGTTTACGTGAAGCTAGCCGTACTACGCATGCGTGAAGTGTACAGAGCCATACTACGCATGTGCCAAGTGTACAGCGCCATCCAAACAAGATGGCAGCCAACACTAATCGGCAAACTCGTCGTACATTTTGCGTTCCAAAAAACAAGTTTTTAAATAATTTTAACTTTAATTGATAATATGCAGAAGATGTTCCTTATTGCTTTTTCTACCAAGTACCATATAATTATAAAGCTACTTTTAATGTTCAAAAGCATATACAAAATTTATTGATGCTTGTTGACGACCGTTGACGCTTGTTGTTGACGCAGTAGACATGGTAGAAGTAGAACCCTACACTGTACTACAGGCCAGCGCAGCAAATGAGAGGCCACACACGTACACGTGGTCAGGTGGTGGGGCCGGCTACACAACCATGACAACCGCTGAACTTAAGTGGCGTCAGGTTGCAACTTCTTTCCCCGTAAACTACCATGACATACTCACTTAGTCTTCCGGATGTTTTTATTTTTTTCGTCCCAATGCTATAGCTTGCACAAGCTCAGACGTTTATTAAACGGAGAAATTTATTTAAAAACCGAGAGTGTTGCTGCAGTCCCGAGAAATAAACATGTGGTCTAAATATGCACGTTGTGTATAGGTCTTGTTCCTGCAATCTCTAACACTGTGTGGATGAAAGCTGTGGCTTACTTGAAAAGGGGCCAGACTGATTCTGCCTGGTATAATAAAAACAACAGAGGTCGCACTCCCAATTTACCGATGATTCCACCTGCACTGGACAAGTTCAGATTTTTTTCACCAGACATGAGTAGATCGTATGTCCGATTGCCAAATTTCTGAAAATTCTATCACTTTTTGTGTATTTGTTGTATGCGCGCACGAAAGTGTAAGTACAATGGCAACCCACCCCCCCCCAAAAAAAGGGGATAAAATTATAAAATGGAAGTTGGTTACTGAATCATTTCAGTTGAAGTCAGCTGCACCAAAGGCCGACCTTCAGTACAAAAGTAAATTTTGTTTTATGTTTTGTTTTACCTATCTCACCGTACTGACTGACTGACTATTAATTGTGAACTGGGCAGTTCTATCGTGTAGGATTACCCCTTAACGCCAATAGGCTAAAATCGGCACGTGGCCGACCACATGACAGACGTCCAGAGTCTATGACGTATCCAGAGGGGTGGGGGAGGGGAGGGGGCGTGGCAGGGGGTTTTAAACAACGGTGAAAACTAGCTGTGACACAACATATACAGGCAAATGCCAAAGATGTCAGACCTTTAACTTCTATCCTAAAAACATGCGGATTTGTTTTTTAAACAAAGATAACAAATGCATGGGCTGACATTTTACGTGCTGATTTTGACTGACTTTCACTGTAAAGTAACCTGATTCATGCTATTATTCTCTGTTCTTTTTTGTACACGTGGCCGCCGTCAGACAAACAACCGCAACCAAGTATTCAAGTTATGCATTGGGGCGTGGCAAATAGAAAACCAAAACGACCCCCACACGAGGACAAGTCTACACGTCCCGACTTCGTCACTGAATTGTTATGTTAAAGTCCCTCCCACTGACCTCGTAAAGGTTAAACCTTATACAAATCGAACAAAGCGACTATTATCATGCAAATCACCACCTTTCACACACCTGTGCGGTTATCGTTTGTACACGTGTACATTTGGCGAGGGCGATAGTTTCAGGGACTTTCACCGGACTAACCCAGCCTATGATTTTCAGCATTTGCCCGTAGACAGTTGACGTGATTTTGTGGTGAAAATAGGAGAGTTCCTCGTGGAGATGGCGCACCTTTCGGCTGTAGCGATTTCACTGACTGTTTTAGTGTCGATCGTCGGATTGGGGCAGTGCAGGAATGTCGGAAAACTAGAGTGGGATGCTTCAAAGGGATATATGATGTATTGTCCATGTTCAGGTATGGTTTCACTGGCGATGGCAGTTAACAATAATAAAAACTATCAGTGAATCGCTGGATTTTTGAGAGCAAGAAACTGTGTTCCAATACAGGCTGAAGCTCGTTTTTATTTCGTTATACTGAAACTGCTTGGTCGATGACATGTTTTGTATAATATATTAATTGCCTATAATTATAAATGCTTTGGTAATTTTATTACTTTTTTCCCACTGGAAATTTCATTATGCATGTTGCCTATACATGCACTAATTACTATTAATTTAGAGTGTGTTGAAGTTCAGTTTGTTTTAGAGTTATTACAAATTCCAGCGTGATGAAATGAGGTCTAATGTCTGTGACAGAGCCAGATATCTAATCAGGGGCGGATCCAGGACTGTTTGTGAGGGGGAGTGTCAGACCCGAAATTTTAATCAGCATTAACAGTGCAAGTGCTAAAAATGCAGACGAATTTTTTTCTCCGGACACTTGACCTCCGTAAAATCAAAAAGGTGGCGGGGGGGGGGGGGGGGCATCTTCCAATGGGGGCGCTGTTCAAATGCTGCGCCTGCTAATTAATGATCCAATATACTCCTATATGATCTCCTCGACCATAACTAGATGATGGATGTATAAGATTTGAAAAATAAAGTTTCAGGTTTATTCACTGAGCTCTTGTAAACTATAAGTATAAATAACGCTGGAATTGCCCAAAAAGCAGCCCGACTTTTGGCGAAGTAATTAAGAATGCCTCTTGTATTGTTTACTTGACACTAATCGTTGTATTTTGCTCATTTATAATCGTCGTTTTGTCAAAAGGTATGAACAAGAATCATGCTTCATCAACTATTTATTTCATGCATGTTGACCTTATCCTGAGCATGATGCCTATAGTCGGTAAAATTTGCTCGAGTCGCCCGCTACACTTGCGTGACATTGCATGATTGCCCAACTCATCAAATCAAGTTCTTTTGTTTTCCCCTTAATATTATGAAGAAGTGTGACTTAAGTAAAATTTAGCCAGCATAATGTAACAATAATCGTGTATTCCACTCCAGACGTTTGCAGTCAGTAGGCCTACTCATAGAGGCCGTCACGGATTTATTTTAATTTATTTATTAATCAATTAAGTAAAAGTAGTTTTGTGAGCTGTTTGGTCATCTTGTCATGTACTTGTAGGTCGCTTTACGGGCCAAGTGGAACAGTTGATGAGCGCCCTACAGTTTTCAAAGGCTCTGGGTCGCATTCTGGTTGCGCCGTCCTTTATCAATTACCCCTGTGGCCGTAAGGACGCCCATGGTCACTTTGGCGTCCAAGCACCCATGCACATCGATCGAAATGTAAGATTTTGAAGCACTGAGATAACAAAAAACCTGATAATTTTGTTGTTTGCTGAAATCATTTGCTCTTCAGAACACGAAGATGTTACTGATTTTGGTATTCTTGAGTTGAAATGATTGTTTTGTCTTTTTGCAAGGTTGCCCCAAATTTCTTCCGTAAACTGTTCCACTTGGTTTCGTTACAGTGTAAAAGACTTGTCTTCAGTTGAATGATTATCTTTTACGCAGACTATTTAAGAAATAGAGGAACAAATTAAATTTCACAACTTTATATAGCTTTCCTAGTATTGAAAGAATGTTTTACGTCGGTCCGGCTTGAATCTTAACTTTCACCATTGATCTTTTCAGGTCGCTATGGCAACCAGTTGGAACAGTTTATAGGAAGTTTGCTTTTTGCCTCAAAGCTTGGCCGCGTTCTGGTCATTCCACCGTTTATCATGTACCCAAATGCTCTGGAAGCAGTTCCCAAAAACGTAAGAAAACTGAAGAGAAAATCCAACATTTACATTTTTAAAAAGGGTGCTTTAACATAGTTCCCCTTCCAAGTTCGATCCCCAAGTTTTTCACTGGAAAAACAATTCTCATTCACGGGTAGGCCTATAGACCTAACCATTTATAAAATAACTAAGTTCGTTCCATTATCAGCAGTATATGAAAACGAACCCATTTTTCTCGAGATTGTTTGGTTTGAACCATCACCAGTAAATGATGGAAATTCCTCTTTCCTTGCCATGGCAGTTTCGTTTTTGAATGTTTACATGTCCATTGCATTTCACTATTTCAACAAAATTCAACAGAGATAATTGTTCTCGAACTCCATGCACGTTGAATCAATTTATTTTAATATCCGTCTAGGCGTACGTGCAAGTTGACGAATACTTCGATTTAGACGAAATTAAGAAGTTTTATCCTGACGTCATCACAATGGAGGACTTCATGACGGAATTGGCGCCCCTCTATTGGAATGAAGGCAACCGCGTGGCATATTGCTCCAACGGTTTGGCTGATAACAATGGAGGGAAGTGCACAAGAGTGAGTCATGTTTGCGTTCTGATATTGTTTCAAAATATGTTAGGTTTTTCCCGGCTATTTTAAAACGTTTATCATTCGAATTCACCGTTTTTAATCTTCAAAGCTCGTCCAGCAGCATCGATTTAGTGCACTTCCAATGTTTAATTTCTTTTCTTTTTTTGTCAGACAATTTCAAAGCACACGTTTTCGTCCCGGAGTATTCGAGTTCGTCTCGTCTACGCCAAACCTTGTTATTCAGAAATCAAATTCGTTGTATTGATTTATATAAGACGAATTCGATCTCTGAATGCTGCCATTCGGCAACAGCTTAGACGAATTCGATCTGTAATGACAAATATTCTCGACCCGGTGACCATGAACCAAACTTTGAAATTGAATGGTAAATTACTAAATTCGTTTTGTAAAAAGAGTGTAAAATTTTCTCGGACGAAATTGGATGTTAAAATGGTGAATTTGAATAAATTCTTTATTTTGCCTCGAGTGTTACACTATATGTTTCCGTTTCTTCTCAATTTGTTTTTTTTTTTAGAAGAAAGGATATAAGAACAATCTAACTACTGGAAAAACTTATTGTCGAATTTTCACCATGCAAATCTTTTAGTCTGATGTTTGTTTAAACTCTAATCGTGATGTTCAACATAGCCGATTGGTTTTCTCTTAAGAAATTTCAATTTGTGTATCATTTTAATGTAAACTGTTTTTTTATTCTAACTTGGACGTTTTCAACCCTCTGAAAATACGCTTTTATTTTCGGTCTCTATTGCGCCAATAACCACGAAAAGGTTGAATCCATGTCAGGCCGCAAAGAATTCAAAATTTGTAAAATAATTATATCGTAATTGGACGTGGGTGGATTCTTCTTGTTCGTTGTCTCATTAAAAAATGAAACGCTTTGTGTTACTACAAAATGTGTTACTAGACAAAACAGTTGTTCAAAAAGCACAACATTTTTTCGGGATAAACTAAAAAAAAACAGCGCAGAAGAGTAACTCTAAAGCGATGTTTGTTTAAAGTTTTAGATTGTAAGGTTTTCTTCACGGATCGAGAGTTGTTTTTTTATTGTTTTCTAAACTTAAATTGAATATTTTCTTCAGGACGGCAATCCATTCCGAACATTCTGGCAGGACCAGGGCATCGAGTTTGACGACTCGGAAGTCTGGACGAACTTGTATTTCAACGTGGAGCACGCTGGCGTGGCGGAACACTGGAAAGAAGTGTAAGCGGATCTCAGACTCCGAACAAATTTCAAAATAACAATATATTCTATAAAAGCAATCAATAAATCAATTACTAAAAAAAATATTCCCAAACATTGAAAAGATGAGAAAACTGTGCCGGTTTTTCTTTTTTAATATGAATCATAAATAAATAACATGAGAACAATATGAATGAAATAAGTTTTATATGAACTGTGTTAAACATGCTAACATAATAATCCTAAATGTGTTGATAATCCTTAATCAAGACCCCCAGTTGGTGCGATCGTGACATTTCGTTGTATTGACTCATGGAGGAATTCTTATTCCTCCATGATTGACTGGACCAAATACTTTGTACTTTGTGGGGTGATGTGGTCCAATGGTTACGGTGTTCGACTCGTGTGCCGTGGTACATGGGTTCGAATCCTTACGGGGAACATGGTGTTTGTGCTCTTGAGCAAGGCACTTTACCATATTTGCTTCGTCATTTCAGATGGGACGTAAAGCCGTAGGTCCCGCGTGTTGTGTAATGCACGTTAAAGAACCCAGTAACACTTATCTCTAATTAAGAGAAGGAGTTTGACCCGGTGTTTCTGGCAGTGGCTGCAATAAGCGCTGTCGCACCTTGTATAAACCCTTATAAGGTGCTACATAATGGGTCGCATATTTCTCATAAACTTCATTTACCTGTCTTTAAAAATAGACATAATTAACAGCGCCTTGAGTACCTAATTGTTGGTAGATGCGTGCGCTATAAGTCTCCGGTATACTATACATAGATAAATACCAGTAAATCATCATTGATGTGTTCTCCGACAGATATCCCGCCTCCGAGCATCCGGTGATGGCGCTCGTCACGGCCCCGGTGATAAACCCCATCTCGACGGCAGTGGAGGGTCTCCAGCATTACCTGACCTTCAAGGACCATATCAGGCAACCAGCCGAGGAGTTCATTGAGAAAAACCTGGAGAAGCCATTTTGGGGGCTTCACCTCAGGAACGGCGCTGATTGGGTGCGTTTCTAAACACGAAATTTGTTTAGTCTTATACTCTACACCTCGAAGTTATGATCATGTGTATTTACCCAAAAAGTACTACCGAATTTTTATGAAAAAGCTTACGTGGGTTAAAGATCATGACTGCTACTTAACACCCCGTGAAATTATTCCGTCTGGCTTGCTGTCATTTCGAAGACATAAAAATATGTAGGTGATTCCCAACGATTCAGTCAACTGACTGCTTCTTTGGATAAAGAGTGCTATTATCGAAACAGTGTTTCGTGATCAAAAGATTGTGCCTGGTTTTTCACTGTTTCTTCGAAAAGTGTAACATCCACTGAGCTGAAACTTCAACAGGTTAGGTTTTGAATATTCTTCTTTGCATTTTGAGTGGTGTTTTTATTGGACATTATACGAACAAAATGCATCATCAAATGAGTGAGCATGCCTTTAATTCATTACCGGTCTTTCATTATTTCAGAGCCGAACCTGTGAGCTCCTTGGTACCGGCGACTTCCCTTATCTCCTGAGCTCCAGGCAGTGCACCGGCAAGGAAGGAGACTCGGTCACCAGGGAGATGTGTCTTCAGTCCGAGGAGCAAGTCATCGCTGACATCCGCTACCAGCTCCAGCTAGCGGAGGAGGACAACAGAGAGCTGCCTAAGAGCATCTTCGTGGCTACAGATCACGTGGCCATGGAAGAAGACTTGCAGGCCGCTTTCCCGGATGTAAGCGTGATTATAATTCTTGGACGTGGCTGTTATACTTGACCATGTCACATGTTTTTTTTTACAAAATGGCGCTGTCACGTGATAAAAACTTTCAGTAAACTGTTCTTTTCTCCATTGCGTTTATATCTCTTGACACTTGAATGCTTTACAAGAGTTGACATTATACTGTTTAGTGGCCAACAGGCATGCAAATGATGCTTACATGTTTGCAACATGCAAAATGATGCTTACACTTACAACATGCAAATGACATGTTTGCAACATGCAAATGACATGTTTGCAACATGCTAATGACATGTTTGCAACATGCTAATGACATGTTTGCAACATGCAAATGACATGTTTGCAACATGCAAATGATGCTTACATGTTTGCAACATGCAAATGATGCTTACATGTTTGCGTTGCCAAGCGGTTGCCTGTCGGCGTGACGCAAGTAACACATTAATAAAACCTCGACTCCATGAGCTGCGTGCGTGTTAATTAAGATTGCGCAAGGCATGGCGGGAACCAGCATATGGCGCACAGCAAGATCGTACCCATGAGAACGAGGTTGAAAGCTGTGCACACAAAGTAAAATGCAGTTTTGGTATGCCGGTGAACGGTAACAGGCAAATGAAACGGTGCAAAAGTTACTTTAGATAAAAAAAAAAATCAGTTTGTATAAACTGTGCATGCTGTGTACGCAACGCAACTTGTAATGAACCATAGCTCCAGAGCACGCACGTAAATTCACGACTACGTTACATGGTGTCAGAAGTGGGATTGGATCTTATTCTTTTGATTTCCAACAGATCAAAATCGTGACATGGGGTCCCGACCTAGACCAGATGGACTTGTACGTCTTGGGCCAGGCTGATGACGTCATCCTTAACTGCGTGTCGGCATTCAGCGCCTTCGTCAAGCGGGACCGTGACGTGAACGGCAAATTGGTGGCCTTCTTCGGCTACTTGGACCCGCAGAAAGAGCTGCCCAAAGTCTCAAGGTCCCCTCCCCATGAAGAATTGTGATTTTATTTTTTAATAACGACATCACGTGATTAAGTATAGAAGTAAAACCCTCATAGTATTGCGGGCTTGTTTTACACTGACGAATATAGCATTAAGAAAAGTACAGTGATAAAAATATGTACCTGTCAATTTTGTATTATGCTTTTGTAAAAATGAAGTGTCATTTTCCTGCTTAAAGTAGGCCTAATTATGAGAGCTATTTCCCTCATACTAAAAGTTGGATGCTTTAATTTGATATTTTTGTATTTTGTTTTACTGATTAAAGATGCGTTTTCTTTAGAGCGAGCTGTTGAAATTGGAAACTAAAAATGACATGCTTTAACTACATGAGTTGTTATAGAGAACAACATTGACCGGGGGAGCGACGTTAATATAGTTATGGAATAAATACACCACAAATTCTTCGGTTTGAAATATATTCTCGAAGGAAGAAGTGGAAGTCTTCAGTTGAGTATAGGCCCTAACTAAAGTAAAGAATGCAACTTTGTAGATTTTTCATAAGAGGCTTATTTGCTTTATTCACACATTTCCTGTACAACCTCAGATAAATGTTTGTAATAAAAACGGAGAAACTATACATTGTGTTTCAAAGTGTGATCCCTAAAAATTAAGGCCCATGAAATTTACTGCCAATTGGGTTATGGTTTGATGACAGAATTACGCTAATATTCAGAGCGAAAAGCCCCACTTTTCAAATTTAAAAATAAGCATTTGAAAAGAAGAGATAAGTTGGGTCTTAATTGTTCGATTTGTGACGGATGCCGAGACATCATTCGGACGCCGCATTTTTTTGGCTGACAAGGGTGCAGACCAGTTAATAAGCCCAAATTGCTTACGCGGGCAAATTCATGATTTGTATAATGGCCTTCATAGTTTAGCTATAAGAGCATTTTGTTGGTAATGAACCGAGGGCACTGAGTCTATATACATTCAAGAATAAAACTCGTTTGGCCCGACCCACAATCCACAAGATTGCCGCTAACGTCATATCCGACTGGCGCGATTAGAACGACAGAGGACGCAATTAATTCGCGTGTGATTGTGCAAAGTGAGAATTTCTACGCGAGCTCATTAGCATGAAAAGTGCCCCAGCCCCCCCCCCCTAAAAAAACCTCTTTTTTGAAAAAGGTGACCGTTTATCTAAAAAAAAAAAAAAAAAACAACCGGTGGAATTGTGTTTAGCCAAGGAACAACACTCTGGTTTCTAGGCTTCCATCTGCGGGCAGAATTGATAAAATGACGGTTGAAAATGGGTCCAAAGTTTGCCTAAGGAAGTGAAGCATAGTCCTTTAAAGGGAATGTACATGTACATCATTGGCTTTTGCTGTAATTTTCAGAAATGAACTATTTGGGGGGCCTAGTATAATAGATTCAAATATTGTTACACTGACATGTTTGAAGTTTTGTGTTCGAAAATGCTGGAAAAACCAAGAAAAACACAAAATGTTATTTAACTTTGTGACGAGTTCTCTCGATGTTCAAAAAGATTGTGTTATATTCAATACAACAGGCTATTCACCATGCTTTTTGGCTATATGTTAAGAAATGAAAAATTGTTGACGAAAAAAATGACGGAGTAATTAGAAATTATTTTAAAAACCTACTTACAACAATGATTCAACTACCAATTTTTTTGAGTTGTTTACACCCCCCCCAAAAAAAATCACCCCCAATGAAAGTTCAATATCACATGCAAGACTGTCTATAAAAGTCAAAATTCGAAGAACAAAGGAACTCTAGCGCCCAGGACTGGGCCAAGGGCGGATCCAGGAGGGGGGGGGGGGGCAACAGGGGCAATGCCCCCCACCATGCCCCCGAACCCCCCCCCCCCCCCAAACCCCCCAAAAAACACAATTGTTTTTTTATGTTTAAGTGACGTCGCAATAAAGGCTAGCACTGCGTACACCACCATCTTTTCCTCAAACAAATGTGGTTAAAGTGGTCAGAAATAACCTCAGATCGCACAATCCAAACAATTCGGGGCCCTTAAGCGGGCCGGCGAACCCCACGCCGTAGGACCCACTTTTGGGGGGACCAATTTTTTGTTGGCTCCCCAAAATAAATTTTGTTCTGGATCCGCCATTTTTGCTTGACTGGGTCTAATAAAATATAAAATATATTCATTTCCCAGAGCTCTCCAACGAAAAAAATACAGGTGTCCTAAAAAAAGACAAAGAATACTTCAGTTGTAGAAAAGCACATAAGTCGGGGTGAAATTTCGACTATTTTTAAAACTGAAAGTCACTCTTTGCCCCCCATGTGTAGGCCTACCGTGCAGGCGGTCGTAGCAGCGCTAGCAACAAAAATTTATTAACATTTTATTAAAATAAAAATGAAATCGGAATAATTTAAAGACACGTCAGATAATGACTGGTTCCCAGAATAAACATTTTCTTTTAATTGAATAGAGCCACGCATAAGACTTGTACAACTGCGCCGACTACCAGTTTCATTATTAACAAGATGGCGGACTCAGCAGCAAGTGAAAACAACGTGGTCGCCGATTTGAACGCGACTTTGAACGAAACAGCTTCCAATGTGACGGCCAGAATTCCAGCCACCCCCGAGGGTATGGCCATAGCCTACGGGAGCCTGGTCATCATGGCCCTGTTACCCATCTTCTTCGGTGCTTTTCGGTCGGTGAAATATCAGAAGGAACAAAAGGTAGGCACAACTGAGTGAAACAGCTGTTCGATCGATCACACGATAATGAATGGTTCATCATCAATAATGCTTTGTTGACTGTAAAAAAAAAAAAGCAGTGGATATTTGGCCGGCGCCGGTTTTGTTCGAGTAAACGTTATTTTCACGGAGGCATTTTATGGTCGGTGAAATATCAGAACAGAAGGAACAAAAGGTAGGCCTAGGCACAACTGACTGAGACTGAGTGAAACAGCTGTTCGATCGATCACACGATAATAAATGGTTCATCATCAATAATGCTTTGTTGACTGTAAAAAAACAAACCAGTGTATATTTGGCCGGCGCCGGTTTTGTTCGAGTAAACGTTATTTTCACGGAGGCATTTTATGGTTGGCTGATTAATTTTTACGTCATTTGCAATTTTGCATAACCAATCCACACGATCAAAGATGGTCAAGCGCTAAGCTCCGGCAATGTTTGTATTTTTGGAAAGAATGTTGCAACCTGACGCTGCTTTTTTTCTTCATATATCATCTCAATAAAGGTCAGTCATTGAAAATGATAAGACATGAATCTGGGACTGAGAAACATTTCCAATTTTGTTACGAAATACTTGACTCTCCACAGACTTTGTTACCGCTGAAGAAGGGTCAGCTAGGTTGCAACATTCTTTCCGTATTTTTTTATCATATTTATTCCTGTACACCGGCCCCACACACACGCACGCAGCCCCGGCCGGCCACGCACGCTTGTTACGCTCTTATGGAAAAAAAATTGTTCATGCGCTAGTTTAGGCAAAATAAAAAAAAAAACATGTTTAGCGTCCTGCTGCCTCTTTGACAAAAAGGAAGGAGGAGGCCCTTTTTTTTTTTTTTTTTTTTTTCAAAATGGCCGCCCGACACATTTTTCAAGACAACGCGGCCGGGCTTTTTTTCAAGATGGTTACCAGCTTTTTTCAAAATGGCCGCCACTTGGACTCATTGACTATTTCCACAGCTTTATACACGGTATAAAAGTCTAAAAATACGATTTCTTTCGTCAGAGATCGTTAAAATTTATCAATTTTTGTCTTAAAAAAAAAAAAAAAAAAAAAAAAAAAAAGGAGGCGGCCTCTAAAAAGGAAGCGGGCGGGGACGCTAAACATGTTTTTTTTTTTACTTCGCCTTAGTTGTTTTATTTAAGACCACGTGGTTTCAAGAACATCTTTAACACAGCAGTTGACATAATGCAAGAAAATTTGACAACTGTTTGAGCAAAAACCCGTAGACTGTAAATCGAACGGTGTAGTGACTTCGGAAATTAATCTCATCTTTGTTTATCTTCCTCAGGAGAATGGAGAAGTTCCAGAAACTATGTCTGAGAAAGACGCTGCTATGTTCCCCCTCATTGCAAGTGCAACACTGTTTGGAATCTATGTCGTTTTCCAGGTACATGCAGGCGCACTCTTCTTAAAGGCATAGAGTATTGTTTACATTTATCCCAGAAGTATCCCACCAAATTATTATCAAAAATCTTACTTTGATAAAAGATCGTACTGGTACTAAACACCCCATGAAATTATTCCATCTGGCTTGCTGTCATTCAGAAGAAAGCAAGAAATGTAGGTGATTTCCAACGGTCAGTCAATTGACTGATTTTTGGAGTAAAGAGTTATGAAATAATATTGTTTAGTGATCAAAAGGTTGTGCATGGTTTTTCATTCTTAACAACTTTAAAGTTGAACAAAGAAATTGACTGGAGCGGGGTTTGAACCTGCGACCTCCGGATTGCTGTTCCGGTGCTCTACCAACTGAGCTATCCAGTCTTTGTTGGCAGTCCCCATTTTGTCAATGTCTTTGTTCAAGGGGCGCTAGTCAGAAGCCACAAACATGTAGCCAGGGATCACGCCCAAAGTCACGATGCTAGCAACATCAGCAATGGTGCAAACCTGCGAAATAGCAAACGGGGATCACTCGGACAAAATACGGCTTCTATTGTGACCAATTGTCCCTTTGTGGTTTATTTGAGAGATTGTTCTTTTTTTTTTGACAGATATTCTCCAAGGACTACATCAATCTTCTTCTGACTGTCTATTTCTTCTTTCTGGGAGTGCTAGCGTTAGCTCACATCTTCAGGTACACTTTTGATTACAGATCATAATCTTTTTTAACCCGAACCCACCTCAATACCCCAAAAAGACCCTGAATTTGTCTATTTTTTGAGTGAATATTTCTTGAGTCTGGAGTACTGTAGAGCGCTGCGTTCCAATGGTTACGGTGTTCGACTCCTGTGCCGTGGTACGTGGGTTTAAACCCTGACGGGGAAAATTGCGCTTGTGTCCCTTGGCAAGACACTTGACTACAATTGCCTCTCTCCACCCAGGAGTTAACATGGGTACCTGCGAGAGGAGAGACCAAATGCGCTGATCTCGAGCTGCTGCAAAACTGGTATTATTTCCTGATAAACAGGGAGTAATAATTATTTTAACACTGTGTTGTATAGACCATTATCATGTTGCGGCCATGTTGAGTTTTCACCATTCACATCAATGCAACCAAAGCGAGGTTGGAGGGGAAAATAGTATGGTTCCTTTTTGCACACAAAAGTTATTATTCAGTACTGTTTTTGGATACAGGGAACATGACTGAAATAGCGCCAGCATGATAAAGGTCATAAGCAGCACAATGTGTAATCCCAACTTTTTTTTGCATAATTTTCTTAATTTTTTTTCTCTTTTGTTCCCTAGCCCTCTGATGCGGAAGTTGCTTCCTGAAGTATTTCCCAACGAAAGCTACCACCTGATCTTGACAAAGGGAAAGGCCGACAAGAAAGAAGGTCAGTCACGGCCGATTTTTATTTGTAAACATTGAGCAGCATTTTGTATGGACTGCCACAAGGGCATCAATTTAAGCCATGGTTGGCAACAGGTTTTGCCAAATATTTCACATTATTAGCACCCTCAGTATGTAAGAAAGAGGCATTTTTGTTATGTCTTTGGCAGCGCTTGTTGGTTATTTTGTATTTTCAACAAGCCAATGATATGTTTGGAAACACAAATAACAATTCTTAATATTTGTGCAACGTTGGCATTCCATAGCTTGCCAACCCACAGTTAGCAAAAGAAATATTTTTAGAATTGAAAATGAAGGCATGGTATGTACACGTGACGGAACAAGATATCATGAATTTCTGTTATTTGAGGAGCATGTTTACGAGAGACAAATCTATGTTTTTTTTTAAATTTTCTTTTACTCAACAGACTTGATGAACTATGAGTTTGACAACAAGGATCTGGTGTGCCTTGGCCTTGCCTGTTGCGTCGGTGTCTGGTACTTGCTGAAAAAGGTAACGCCAGAATTATTTCCATCAAATGTCTTTTCTCATGTATTCTGCACCTCTAGTGCCCTCTATTGCCGCACCTCCTCAAATTTTTGTACCAAGGAGCACCAAGGAATGGGGAAATTGCACCAAGGCAAGTGATGGAGGGCACCAAGGCAAATGATGGAGGACACCAATGTAAATATGAGGACACAAAAAAGCAAAATGGTACCCACCTTTTCTGTACAATTCAAGCTTGGGGAAAAGAAAAAAAAAAGCCAAAAAAAACAAACAAACAAAAACAAAAAACACGTCACCGCATCAATTCCAAAACTTCGGTCTGACCAGAGACCGACTAATTTTTTATTTTGGCCTAATCCTCGGGTCTTGTAAAGAATTTTTCTCGTGTTTTTTTCTTTCAGCACTGGATAGCCAACAACATCTTTGGCCTAGCGTTTGCCTTGAACGGCGTGGAGTTCTTGCAGCTCAACACAGTCATGACGGGCTGCATATTGTTAGGCGGGCTGTTCGTCTACGATATATTCTGGGTGTTCGGGACCAACGTCATGGTAACCGTAGCCAGGTCGTTTGAAGCACCCATCAAGTGTGAGTAGCAGTAACGTTTTGTTCGTTTGCAATAGTAACACCACTCAAAATTCAAAGAAGAATGTTCAAAACCTAACCTGTTGAAGTTTCAGCTCGGTGGATATTACACTTTTTGAGAAAACAGTGAAAAACCATGCACAGCCTTTGGATCACGAAACACAATTTGTTAAATAAAACTTTAATTTCCCCAAATCAGTCAATTGACCGATCGTTGGAAATTGCCCACATTTCTTGATTTCTTCGAAATGACAGCAAGCTAGACCGGTCGTACACTAATCCTCCAATTGGCCTCATGGAAAAATAGCATATAGCCTCAATCCTGCAAATTCCTCCCATTATTTCTTGAATATGGTCCGTGGAGGGGTGACCACCGCCTGAATCCTGCAAAATCCTGCGGCAGTGACTGTCAATATGTTGAGGCTTGGCCAGTGACATCCTGGAGCAGTACGGAGGATTTCAAGCATAATCCAGGCCTACATTTATGCACGGCTGAGCAAAAACAACACAAGGTCCAGCCCAAGACCTTGACAAAGTGCGTCCTACGAAATCAGTCATGCACTTTTGCCATGTAACCTCAATCCTCCAAATTCCTCCACTTTGGCAAAGAGGATTTTGAAGGATTCAGGGCGGTTAGGGTTAATAAAAAAATCATAACCAGCTTTTTCTCTGTCGTACTTACTTGACTTTAATTTCATCCAAGATAGGTACATACATACAATAACTAGCCACTTTATTATTTTTATACAAAACTATGACAAAGTAAACCAATTTACGTGGTGTTAAGAAATAAAAAGCAGGGATGGGAGGGGGGAGGGACCGCAAGAAGCAAGGCTTTTCGAGTTTGAGTCCCCTGTAAAACATTAACACACTTTTGCCTGTCTTCTTCTTTTCGTTCATCAGTGGTGTTCCCGCAAGACATCTTAGAGAGAGGACTGGACGCCAGTAACTTTGCCATGCTGGGCCTGGGTGATATCGTCATCCCAGGCATATTTATTGCTCTTCTGCTTCGCTACGACGTCAGGTAAAAAAAAAAAACCTCTCCGAATTTGTCATGTTTGGCTGTAGTCTGAACACAGAATTAAAACTGTCGGATTATTGTTATCACCCAGTTAAAGTCTGATACCAGTGCGTTGATTGTCAAGTTGTCCGTTCACGTAGGGTCAACCTAATTTGAATCGCAAACCGGATGTCTCTGTTTTGCGCATGCCTGAAGCTCGGTCGATAAAATCTACAGATATGAAGATTTGTCACAGTGCATAGCCGCCAATAAGACATCAGAAGCATGAGGCCGTTGCCTGTCCTCATATATACATGTGTGTTATGAGCTGCGGTGTCCAGTCTACTTTGGCTTGAATTATTTTTCCTGTATTTTTCTTTATATTACCAGTGAATTGAATTTTTTCTGTTCTCCATCCTGCAGCAAAGCCAAGACTAGTCGTACCTACTTCTACGCCAGTTTCTTGGCCTACATCTTGGGCCTTCTGACGACCATCGGCATCATGCATTTCTTCAAGCACGCCCAGCCTGCCTTGCTATACCTGGTACCGGCTTGTATCGGGGTACCGGTCATCGTGGCGCTGATCAAGGGCGAGATCATTGACCTCTTCAAGTAAGTTACATCTTCATTTTGGGAGGCATAATTTACTGGCAAAAAAAGCGATTAAAGTTGCAAGGATTTCCACAGGCATAGAAAATGGAAAGTCATAATGTGGGAAAGTCAAAATGTATGAAAAGTTAAACAGTATAGATATTGATCAAGGAAAGCTTTAAAGGATATACAACATTTGCTTTTGCTGTAATTTTCAGAAATGGATGGATTTGGGAGTAATTATTTACAGCAAATATTGTTAGAATTTGTTACACTGACCTGTTTAAAGTTCTGTGTTCATAGATCCTGGGAAAACCACAAGAAAAAAATGCTGTTCTTGTAGTCTGGTTCCTTGTCCCTATTTCTGACGAAATTGAAAAATTTTATTGAAAAAAGTCAGCTTTTTTTCTAACGATAGTCGGCCGACTATCATTGGAAATTGATACTAAATGTTCCACTTTTCTTGAAAAAGACAGCACACCAGGTGCCATGATTCCACAGTATGCTTGAGACTATTTTTCACTTACAGTCCAGTAAGGTATTTCCTAATGATTTGGTAGTTTTGTTTTTTGATGTATGCAAATGTTGTATTATAATATTACTATTAATTTTGTTCTCGAAAAGTCACTGAAAGGTTGTAATTATAAGATTTCTGTGGGAATCCTGAGTTGGCTTGCCTTTTGTTTTGGGTCTTCGCTTGTATCCACCCCAACCTCAAAGTGACCACCGATGCCTGCTTGTTTCCCTCCAAGGTACGAGGACAACCCACCCAAAGATGACAAGGAGGATAAAGAGGGTAAAGACGGCAAAGCCAAGGAGGACGGAGACGACAAGACAGCCGGTAAAGACGAACCCAAGAAATCCAAGTAATGTCCTGTCCCTATCGCGGGCTCATTTTAACGAGTAACTGAACCTACTACAAACGTAAATAAAGAAATGTCGTAATACTTCAAAGCGGTGTTGTGTTTGAGTCCGTTTTCCAAGTCCAGTAAGTCAACAAACGTATATGATGGTTTAGTTAAAAGTATGTGTACGCGAGATTATTGATTATGTACGCATGTCTGAACCAGTAGGCGTCTGAACCAGTATGCGCACACTCAGTGTATTCCTCCAACTGGGCTCTCGAAGGCAGCCCCAAAGCACCCTCTACTGTTTGTAAATGGAGTTCATACCACCACTATGATATTTCAGTATACTTCTGGACGAAATAGGCTTTATTCTTGAGCAAAAAGGGCACCGTAACGCCTTTTTTTAGGGTGGGGTGGGGGGGGGGGGGAGTAAGAATGTGTCTGAGGTTATTGATGTAAGTTAACACATTGCTACAGCTTAATTACTTTCAATACAATCTTTATGTTTTTTATTTAGTAAGGTTCTAAACTGCCTTAGTTCGTTATACCGCCCTCAATTTCTCACGATTAAGGCCTATTGCTTCACCACTTCATGGCCTTCGTAACACCTTTCAGCTTTATCAGTGTGGTGTAATAGTCATATGATGCGTCCTTACCTGCGCTTGTTGAACTCGCATTTATTTATGCTTGTGAAGAATTTGTGGGCATTTTATTTTTGTCGCGTTATTAATATGAAAACTTCAAAGGGAAGACCTTGACAGGGGAAATTATGTTGATTATTACATGTATAACAATAATTGGAGATTAATATATAATAGTCCGTTTCTATTTCCCAAAAAATTTGTTTAAATCTTGGTGGAGGCATTTTAATAATTGAATAACCTTTTTGATTTCGAAATATCCTGGCAATGTTTTTGGGTGATTTTCACTGTCAATTTACACTGATATCAGTTGAGACACTTGATAAGGAGTCGCCCTTTAACAGATTTCTGCAGACAGATTGGGTGCCTGACTAGAATCAAACGTGGCCTCTCAAATCAGCCAATAGCAAGTTCCCGCGCAGACCATTAGTCAACTAGTGGTTGATTCGTGACTTAACTTACGCCTGCGCACTGATAGCAACGTGCGAACACTTTTAGTCAAATAGTCAAGTTTAAGCTGGAACTGATGTGGTCCGATGGTTACGGTGTTCAACTCATGTGCTGTGGTTCGTGGGTTCGAATCCTGACAGGAAGCATGGTGCTTGTGTCCCTGGGCAAGACACTTTACTACAATTGCCTCTCCAACAGCACAAATGGGTACCTGAGAGGGTAGAGACCAGATTGCCTTCATCAGGGATGCGATTTTTCCATTTCTTCCCCCAGAAATCCAGGGTTTTTTTCCAAGATCAACTTGATCTCCAAAATTTTTTTAAAACCAATTTTAATTTTATTGCAAGTTTTATCCCTTGTTCTTGTGCATGTGTTGTTTGGTACCTTATAAGTGGTGCAATTAAATTCTAAGAAAAATGCCTATATATGCATGGCCACATTTAAGTGCCGTTTACCTGAACATTGACTGTATGTAGTGTTATGTGACGGTGTGATACCATTTACTTATTTTGCAGGAAGAAAGAAAAAAGGTCACTGTTAAGCCAAAAAAAAAAAAAAATCGGTCTCTAGTCAGCGCGCGCGTCGAATTTAATCATGCGCGTCGATCTTTTTTTTTTTCCAAAATTTTTCCGCGGTAGCTCCAACAGCGCCCTCTATTTCCGCACCTCCTCAATTTGTTTTACCAAAGAGCACCAAGGAATGGGAAATTGCACCAAGGCAAATGATCGAAAGCACCAAGGCAAATTATGGAGGACACCAATGTACATGAGGACACCAAAAAAGCAAAATAGTACCCCACCTTGTCTGTACAATCCAAGCTTGAAGAAAAAAAAAAAAGCAAAAAAAAAAAAAACATCGCCGGGTCAATTCCGGAACTTTGGTCTGACCAGAGACCGAATATTTTTTTTTTTTGGGCCTAATGTTCATATATTTATTAATTTCTGCTTTTCAACTCCGATTTGAGAGTGCTCTACGTGTCTTAAATTGTTGGTTCGTTTGGAAAGAGAAAAGAAGTATTATACAACTACTCAGTTTTTAAAATAACGGACATCAGGTGGGGGTGGGGGGCAGGGCGGGCATTTTTGTGCGCACAGCCAATTCCCCCCCCCCCCCCCCTTCTTAAACTCATTTGAGATGGTCAGATGGAAAATGACAAACTCTAAATATGTCTAAAGATATCCCCAAAGGAAGCGACAAAACCTGGTTTTATTTTGTTTAAATGATGTTTTTTGGACAGCATTTAGCCATCATCTGTAAAAATGTGTTTTGAAGTACCTTAAAGGATTTAAGGGGGCTGTTATTGTGTCAATTAACTTCTTTTCCATAGCAATGCTGAATTTTTTGTTTTAATTAATTTGAAATTTTAATTAATTTGAAATTATAAGACGAAAAAAAAATGGCAAGACACAGAATAATTAGAATAAATTCATGTCAGTGATTTGATCGCGGACAATTCATACAACAATGAAATAATTTGATGGCATTTTCATTTTACAAAAAGAATTTAAGTTATTGTCATTTACATGTAGTTTGATTTGGTTCACTAAAACAAAGTGAAGTATTTCTTCTACTTGGAAGATGTATGTAAAGACAAACTCTAAAAGAGGAGAGTATAGTGCTTTTCACTGCTCCCCATCTTGCCAAATGTTAAGAATTTGTGAAAATTCCCCCTGAAGTTTCCTCTAAAATTTCGTCAAATACACTCAAGTTTGGGCTTCTTTCTGTTAAATTATTACCCTCAAGGGTTCGATATTTTATTGAGTGCTCTCGTATTTTTAACTATTGTTGTCTTGAGCCAACCTCTGTATTGTCAAAGTCAGGTGCATAATTCTTGAAACTTGGTATGGTTAATGTTCCTGGCGTTTTAAGGTATACATTGTATATCTTTCTTATTTAAGCTTTTAAAGGCATTTGTGTGTAGTTTAGTACTGTTGCTTTCTTGTCATGCATTGAAATAAAGGTACTCATATCCTCAAATAGTCTGTTGATTTTGGCTTGATTTAGTGCTCGATTTTGTGTTATTGTTGAGTCGGACTTGGGGGTTGTTAGATATTTTTCTCTCTTAATTAGAGTATTTTGAGGTCCCTGCTCTTGTGGGTTTGTAGAAATGAAGGGTCCTAAGCCGGTCTTTGAACTAGTTTTGCTGTTAAATTTGAGGTGAGATTTTACCCAAAGTCGTTCTATTTTGCAATAGAGTGGATTAAAGGACATACAAAAATGGTGATGGGCTAAGGATCTGAGTTTTAGGGGTGATCATCTCTGGAAGGAAATATCACCCAAAATTTCACTGGCCAACCCCACAAAAATTGAACAGAAAGGGAAAGCAGGGTAATCAAGCTAAGATTTGATGTATGGCTTAAAAAGGAGCTTGGAGATTTGTGAATATTTCCCCCGATTTCTGAAGTGGGGGTGCGTGTCATTGGCGTCTATGGGAATTTATTTACTCTTTAGCACCCGCTAATGTTGAATAGCGCCCTCAATATTACCCCATATAAAATACGTGATGCTGTGCATGTGAAAATGTGATGTAATTTTGCCTGGTACCCGCGCCATGCGATTTGACTTAAGATGATGCAATGTATGCGGCCGTACACCAACTGGAGTTATTTCTGCGCAACGTGACGTGACTTCGAGTTCGAAGCCGGTATTTTAATTTTTTCTTTACACCGTTATGGATCAACAAAACTTTCAGTCGTCGGGACTTTTTGGTTCTTATTTACCAGGGGAGCCAAGTTTAAATGTATCAGGTTTGTGAGCCCTTTCACGAATTTTGTTATTTCGGTAAAATATGGTAAACATGTGTGAATTATCAAGATGATCGGCCTGTGTCCAGGTGTCGGAAAAACGTTCCTTGTGCTTCTGAAAGCGTTAACGGTAGCTTGCTTGTCATTGCAAATGCAATGCTTGAAAATGAAAGAGCGCATTGTGTGTTTAATCATGTTAATTGTTAATACCGGACACACATGCCGGAGACGAGTCTTAAATACAATAGCGCACGTATCTACCAACAAATGGGTTCTCAAGGTTCTATTTTTTTATTAATAATGAATGATGTTGCAATTTGCATGATCCTGACGTCACTTTTTTCATTATGAACTAAAGGTCAGCTACCCCTAGAACTATCATGACTAGGTAGGCATATATCAATGTGAACATGCTGTATACTCCTAGAACTATGAGGCTCCACGTAGTGGAGCCTCATAGGTTCAGAAGCCCGCAAAATTGTTGTCAGCACAAAACACTAATTAAGTACAAAAACGTCCATCCCAAGCAGGCCGTTTTCCACAGAACCGCTGCACAGTTTGCCCCTAAACTCCATACAATACCTCATGACATACTCACGTTATGTGCACCCAACAAACATCGGTGGATTCTGTCTGTTTTTCGGCAAAAATGATGAAAAATATGCCCTTTCCGCACTGAGCCAACCTAACACTTGAAACGAGCACGCGTGCAGAATGATCGCAGTTATTTTCGGTTCGATCGCTCGGAGCGCGCCGCGGGGGGTACGTACTTGCACTTGTACGCATGTGCATACTATCGTTCCGCTCCTACACCATACCCCCCGCGGCGCGCTCCGAGCGATCGAACCGAAAATAACTGCGATCATTCTGCACGCGTGCTCGTTTCAAGTGTTAGGTTGGCTCAGTGCAGAAAGGGCATATTTTTCATCATTTTTGCCGAAAAACAGACAGAATCCACCGATGTTTGTTGGGTGCACATAACGTGAGTATGTCATGAGGTATTGTATGGAGTTTAGGGGCAAACTGTGCAGCGGTTCTGTGGAAAACGGCCTGCTTGGGATGGACGTTTTTGTACTTAATTAGTGTTTTGTGCTGACAACAATTTTGCGGGCTTCTGAACCTATGAGGCTCCACTACGTGGAGCCTCATAGTTCTAGGAGTACATGCTGTATACTCTGACGGCACGCCAACAACGCTTCGTTGCGTTGTGACAAAGTTGTGCCGTACCTTTACAAATTTCTTGGCAATGACAGATCCAACACTCGCGTAAAATCACAGGAATCCTAGTGACAAGTAAGTGATTTACCTATGGGTAAAATTATACATGGTTATATGATTTCCGAGGGAGGCGCGTGGCGTTGTATACAATGCCACGTTCACAGGTCTAAGTCTGGGGATACAAATACACAGTGGCTGCTCAAAAACTCACTTCCATATTATTCGTGGAGTATACAGTGAATGTTGGCGTTGATATGCCTTCCTATGGGTATTACGTGTAAAACCCATAGTTCTAGGGGTAAAAGGTCAGCATGGTCAGTCATTGTAAAAACATTGAATGAAAAAAAAAAGACAAGAATCTTGGTTGTTGGAATCTTAAGTAGAGAAACGTTTCTAATTTTCGTAAAAGGTAGAAAATACTTTGAAAATGCACTTGAACGAATCTCCATAGACTTTGTACACAACCAAAGGCACAATACCCCACCACTCATGATGTCTCATCTATTTCCTCATGATGGTTGTCATAGCCATATACGGGTAATCGGAGTCATGCTTGACTAACTGTCACCCACAAGACGCGTGCACTTCTCACTCTGTATCTCCGTATCTGCTCCAGGGGACCTAGAATTACACTTTTTTGATCTTCCTCATTCAATTTACGTTGTATTTACTGATTCATCCCCTTTGGAAGATTTTTTTGAAGGGAAAATAGCGCCCTCTTCTCTTGCGCCCCTACCCGAATCAATCCCACTCCTTATCCCAGTTAGACTCCCCCCCCCCCAAATATATTGGACTGGTAACTAGCTCTCATTTAAAGCCTTTGATTGGATCGCCACAGCGTGCGCGGCTGCGCGCATCATGATTGTTAATTTTTTATTCGCTGTTCAACATAAATCCTAACCCTCCTCAATCCTCCAAAATCCTCATTGCAGTTTTGGAGGATTTTGGAGGATTGAGGATGAATGGCAAAAAGTGCCAGTTGATTTCGGAGGATGCAATGGGTCGAGGTCGTAGGCTGTACCCAGCATTCCTTATGTTCAGCCATGCATAATGGAACCCTGCAATATGCTCGATATCATCCGCACTGCTTCTAAATGTCATCGGTACGGACTCAACCCATAGCAGTGAACGGAGGAGGATTTTGGAGGATTGAGGCAATGGTCACCCCTCCACTGAACACATTCAGGATTGAGGATGAATCCAATTTTTACAGGGTGGCAATTGGAGGATTTTGCAGGATTGAGGATGGTTTCTAGCCAAAAGGGCCTATGGGGTTAGGGTTAACCCTAACCCCCTAGGCCCTTGTTGCTTACAACCATCCTCAATCCTCCAAAATTTTGCAACTCCGCCTAAATTTTCAAAATTGTCAGACAGTCCTGCCTCAAGATGCATTCATCCTCAATCCTCCAAAATCCTCCTCATTCCAAAACTTTGCACTCGTGTTTAAATGAAGGATAACCAACGCCAAATCCTTCAAAATCATCAGACAGTCCTGCCTCAAAATGCATTCATCCTCAATCCTCCAAAATCCTCTTGTGCTTCATTCACCATTCATCCTCAATCCTCCAAAATCCTCATGTGCTTCAATCACCATTCATCCTCAATCCTCCAGAATCCTCATTTGATTCAATCACCATTCATCCTCAATCCTCTAGAATCCTCCAAAACCGCCAGGAGGATTTTGGAGGAGTGAGATGGGTTAGGGTTAATGCATGGACACTGCGCTGGTGATTGAACTCGCGGTCATCAAACTCACGCTTGTGGTACTACAAAAAGAACACAAAATCACCAGTTTCTCAAGTTTCAGAGCAATTGCTCTCTTGATGGATATCCCAGACTCGGAGATACTCTCAAATTCAGGAATTACTTTGATTTTCGACCTTTTTTTTCGAGCTCCTCGGTTATCTTACCAGTACCTAACCAGATTGGAAATGTTTCTCAGTCTCAGATTCATGTCTTATCAACATTTTTGCAATGACTGACCTTCGTTGAGACGATAGACATGTATGATGAAAACCTTGGCGTCAGGATGCAATGTTCTTTCCACATGTTTAATCAAAACGACTGCAATGTGAGTTTGGCTACATTGTGTTGGTATAATGAGCGAGACCTTCGCAAATACTGCTAGTGCTTGAGTGATTTTGCAGACACGCTTTTAATACCATGTTTACCATGTTTACAGTCACTTCTTGCCACTTTACAAAGAAAGTGAATATAGCATTTTCTACACTTGTATAATAATTATTTTGTGAAGCCAGGGACATCATCAAAACTTTTGTGGACAGTTTGGCTGCAGAATTTAGAATGCAAGCATTATTCGTGTGAAATTATTTTTAACGAAAGTTTAAATTTTTCATGAGAGGCTAAAATCAAAACAGTAAGTGTTGTCAGCATGTGAATCAGATCGCGAACTTGAGTAAGTCCGAAAATTTGTGACTCTCAATACTGCGCGCATGAGAGTCCTAAAAGGTATTGGAAACATGCAACACAAGAAAATAGACTGGCCCATGAAACGATCAATCCAACACCCTTTTAGTACCGCATCAATCAACTGTGTCAAAACATCTACACATTCTTTTCCAATGAGACCAATTTGCATGTTCAGCCTATTTTACAACTTGACCTCAGATGACCTCTGACCTTGGTTTGTGACCTTTGACAACAGTATCATATGAAGGTGGCCATGTTGCATCTGTGACCCAAGTTTGGTTCCAATGGGGCTTCAACTTTTGAAATGAGACCAATTTTACGAAACTTTAACCAAAATACCACATGCATGCTTGTTTACTATAGTCGACTCTCGTTAGTACAAACTCTGTTTAATACAAAATTCTGGTTATTCTTATTCCTCCATGTTATAACAAACATAAGGCCTTGGTCCCAACTGTGCATTTATGTGCACAATGAATGGGACTGATGTTCCTCTTTATACAAAATTCTGATATAACAAACAATTTGGCTAGGTCTGAACGAGTTTGTATTAATGAGAGTCGACTGTATACAAGTACATGTACTACAAACATACTGGGGGTACATACATACAGAGAGACATAGTGATTGCATAGTCTCTTTCCTGAACAAAGTTCAGGCGAGACAAAAAGGAAGTTGCAATGAATACAAGATTCCCATTTTCTGAATGGATTGATTTGAAATCTATCCCTCTCTCTGTGGATCATATCAGACCCCAGGGTTTTGTTGCAAAAACACTCAAATAACAGAGTGTGGTTTAAAAAGCATAACTCCAGTACTTTTCACTTACATGTGGGTCAGTTTGTGTGTTTACCGTGATTGTTATTAGCGTATTAAGTACACATTTGCACAGGATCACGACTTCCTGTCTTAAATAAACGTCCTACTCATTGAATTCATTAACCTTTCATTTCAATAGTCCCATCGGGAGCTGGCACATCTATTTCACCGTACCTCAACGTCGATCCCTACTACTTAAATCAGGTAAGAACAAAATATTTGTTGTTTGTTTTCTCGAATTGTTTACGTACATTATGGTAATCCTACCTACGTTGTACCTACCTGACCATGTCTACTATTTGAATAAAAGTATATGGGGTTTTTATTCATCTATTATTCATTAGTACAGATTTTGCAGCTGTATGTTTTGTAATGCAGACCCTGAAAATGCACTTTCTCGCCGAGTTGGCCCCAGAAATGTGGCCAATTTACTGGACTACCGGTACCTCCGTAAATAAAGGCCACACTTCCACCATGTACAAAAACATGTGTCGAACTTTGTCAAATTTTGATTTTCACATCTAGGCTTAGCTTGTTAGTTTATTTTTGCTTTAGAAGCATACTCGCCCTATTTATAGGCTAATCAGAAAGTGCTGCCTTTTTCAGATGTCTAATTTTCGTGAAATTTCATGATGAAATTTTGATACGCAAACGTGTGCAAACGAATCTGGGAATTTCACGAAAAATAGACATCGGAAAAAGGCAGCACTTTTTGATTTATAGCCTATAAAGAGGGTGAGTATGCTTCTGAAGCAAAAATAAACTACAAACTAAGCCTAAATGTGAATATCAAAATTTGACAAAGTTCGACATGTTTTTGTACATGGTGGAAGTGTGGCCTTTATTTACGGAGGTAGTCCAGTAAATTGGCTAGATTTATGGGGCTAGCGCTGAGTATGGACCAGCCTCAACCCTGACTGATTAAATACATGTATGTTTGATTGTTTCAGGGAGGTCCACAGTTCATTGTTCCAACTGGCCAAGCCAGAGCCAGGGGAAGATTTGAGCTGGCCTTCTCACAGATCGGAAGTTCCGTCATGGCAGGTATTAAACTCACTGATCTATGGTCTTTTTCTTTCCTGCCCAATCGACAAGTCTGTGTGAGCCAAGAAAAGACATAATTAACCCTAACCATCCCAAATCCTCCAAAATCCTTTTTGCACATTGGAGGAATTTGCAGGATTGAGGCTACATGGCAAAAGTGCATTGCTGATTTCGGAGTACGCACTGTGTCAAGGTCTTAGGCCGGACCTTGTGTTGTTTATGCTCAGCATTGCATAAAATTAGTCCTTGATTATGCTTGACATCCTCCGCACTGCTCCAAGATGTCACTGCCTCTGCCTCGACATATTGACAGTCATAGCCAGAGGATTTTGCAGGATTGAGGCAGTGGTCAGCCCTCCACGGACCACATTCAAGAAATAATGGAGAAATTTGCAGGATTGAGGCTATATGCTATTTTTCCATGAGGCAAATTGGAGGATTTTGCAGGATTTAGGCTACATCCTAGCAAAAATGCCTAGAGAGTTAGGGTTAAAGAAATATCTTTCTAAAATACAATACAAATGTTGGTCTTGAAGAGAATAATATACAACTTTTGCAGACATCAAAAACAAAACTACTAATTTATTGTGAAATACCTTACTGGACTGTTAGTGAATGACTAAAGTCTAAAGCATCCTGTAAAATCATGGCATCTGGTGTGCTGTCATTTTCAAGAAAAGTGCTATTTTTTATCAATTTCTAATGCCGGTCAGCCGACCAGCGTTGAAAAAAAACCCCTGTTTTTTTTTCAAATACTTCCTCCAATTTACCATATTTATTTAGTCCACATTTGTTTGCAATCTATTACACACCTTTGAATGGGTACAAGCCAGCTAGACTGGTTCCCCAACCTAACGATTCCCTACGCCTATAAATTGCTCCGTTTCATCTTAAGTGGGCTCAGGGAACCAGACTTCACATGATATTTTTTCTTGGTTTTTTCCAGCATCTATGAACACAAAACTTCAAACAAGTCAGCGTAACAATATTTGCTATAAAATACTAACCCCCCAAATCCATCCATTTCTGAAAATTACAGCAAAAGCAAATGTTGTATATTCCCTTTGAAGTGAAAAAAAAAAATTGCATTGGGTGAAATACGCTTGGGACATTTGCAGACAATTTACAATATTTGTCCAATGCGCAATGGATTTGCCTGTTTTCGATAGAGACACATGGGAACATTTTCCAATTAACTGGAAACGTACATGTACCTACCGACTTAAAGAGAAAATCCTTACTTGAAGTGAAGATGGGACAGGTACCAAATCCTCCAATTTCAATATAATTTTGCACACCCCCTAGGGAGTTAGGGTTAAAGCAGTTGATAGAATTAGACACAATTTGGTGGGGTTTTCTCTCTGAATTTAATGATTTATTTCTTCCGGTACGTTCATCTTTGCGGTATCCCAATAATTTTTCACTCGCCAGCCGGGCTAGTAAAGCAATAGTTTGACTAGCCCGCCACTGTTTTGACTAGCATTTGGCTAGCGGGCTACCGCTATTTTCGAACCCTGTATTTGTCGTCTTTCCCCGCATTGCCTTGCCCTTAGACACAAAATGTATTCCTACAAACAGACAAGACAGTACCAGTACGTAACACCTCCACGCAGCCTCAAACCAAATCGCTGCCTTACAGTGGTAATTCGTATGCAGCGACCGGTTCCAAAAGGCTTAAGGAAATCGTCCACGATGAAAGGGGGATAAGAGTATCATTGGAAAAAAAATGCATGCTGCGGGCTAACAATCAAAACACGAACAATTTATCACTCTGGCCAAGCTTCTTTTCAGATGTATAACTTGTACTATATGATCTCCCCATGAAACTGAAAGAGCGGGTTTGCTGAATTTTTAATAGCTTAGGGGAATTTATTGCCTTGCGGCTGCGTCAACCGAGATTCCCCAGGAGAGGGTTAGACGCCCAAAGATTTCTGCCAACTTGAAAAACAACAGTGTTTGGTACGTACGTAGGTACGTAAATTATCTTAGGAACGGGACATTGATGTATATCATGCCCCGCGAACAGTGCATCAAATTCCTAGTCCGGGTTGTCGACCAAGATTAGAAGATGGATAACAACATTCTTGTTTCTTTTTGGCAATTTTGTTTTTGTTTTTGCACTGAAGTTTGTCAAATCAAGTAACGTTTGTAATTAAAGTGATTCTTGAACAACGGGGGCGAGAGTTGCATATGGAAGAGCTTTGTTAGTAAATCTGGTCCCAGATTGCACAAAGTTCGGTTCAGGTGATTCCGATTGGTTAAATAGTTTGTAGTAGTAATGTGAGGAAAATGACGGATTCAGTATCGTTGTCGCATGGATACTTGACTAATTGCAACGGTTTAAATGTTTGTTTCCTCTCTGAGGACAATCTAGAGTTCGCTTGTTAATGTTAGCAGTTTTTTTCCTTGTCTGCTACCACGATTACTCAAGTGTAACCTTATAGACTCCCTGCACAAGTACCCCTTCAATGGCCAGGATCAAAAGGCGGATACTTAAATCAGATACTTAAATGCCAATGCCACCGTTCACTCTGAACCACTCGATACCCCAGGTTTGGAACATAAGTGTGCATGCATACATGTATGTGGTGTTCCATACACGGGTGGTCTTGTGTGTAATGTAGGTCAAGAAGTTGGCCTGCCACTGAACTTACATGTAGAACACAAGGGCTGTACTTGCACAGAGTTTATAGACATGGCATTTAAAGAAAAAGCATGAATTCAGATTTAAAACGGAAAGGCTTTTACATCCAAATTGTTAAGTCAAAATCCCACTTAGTGATATACATGTAAAGCTGCATACATGCGTATCCTGTCCTTGTATTAAAAATAGTCTGCAAAATAGGACAGTGACATTTTACATGCAGATGGAGCTCTAAAGTTGATAACAGGTGGATTTTGCTGAATCCTTGAAAAGTTGAACGTGCAACTTAATTGGAAATGTGTAAAACATGACATTAGAATACATGAAACTGCATTGAGGCTTACACCAGTCATTGGTTTGCATCTTTGATGATCCCCAGTGTTTTGATTGGGGCGGAGTTTTCATTGGTTGCTATGTGAGTGTTACCAATCAGCACTGTATGTGTTATAATCCCCGACATCTGATTGGTGGGTCATTGATCACATGTCTTTGTGGGATGCTGTGGTCCAATGGTTACAGTGTTCAACTTGTGTGCCGTGGTACATGGGTTCGAATCCTGACCGTGGGAACGTGGTGCTTGTGCTCTTGAGCAAAGCACTTTACCATTATTGCTTTGTCCTTTGGATGGGACGTAAATTCCACTCGGCTTTGCCTCGTGAAATGGAACATTCCATCTGTCACCTAATGAAATTATTCTTCCCATTGCACTCACAAACATTCATTATTTGTATACCATTCAACTCTCCAGACTCAACAACCATTGAGTTTCAAGAACATACACTGTAGTGTACGTCTGTTAGCTAGATAGCCAGTGTAAAAAAATCCCGGATGTCCAAGCACAGTTGCCCAACTATATTCGTCTTTGTTCATGAGCTCTGAAACTGACCCGACCTGAAACCGATGTCGGGTCAGTTTTTCCATCATTTCAGTCGGGTCTGTTTTGGTTTTACGTTTTGCGATTTTCGGGCCGGGTCGGTTAAAACATCTAGTGAAAACCCTGAAATAAACCCATCAAAATCCGTCACTCACTCTGCTTCACATAATGCATTAGGACCGACTCCATCAAACTCCCTCAAAAGCATCTAAGTGTGCAAAGTGCATTGATACCAATTCCGTCAGAATCATGCATGTTTTTAAGGCTTAGTCAAATTGTAAACAAAGGAAACAAACAAGGCCACCAGTCAAGATTATAAATGGATCCCCAATAAACCTTACAAAGGGTCTGTGTACAGTGTACACATGTATGCATCTCATTATGTTCATAAACATGAGGCATGCATTTGCACTGGGGGCAATCACATATATCCACAACAGGCCAGCACCTGTTTTTACTCCAGACCAAATCCATCAGACTCCACCAGAGGTTCCTCATGCCTTCTGGACCAAGTCCACCAGACTCCACGAACATTTAGTGAAGCTGGCTGGACCAAATCCCCCCAAAATCCCTCAAAACATGGGGATGGATTTTGATGGACTTGGGGTGGTTAGGGTTAATCGGCAGTGTGATATCTTTGTCATGATACATTACGTATCAATGAGCAGAATTCTGACCCATTTCTGTTCATACTACATGTACATATGTGCATGTTTCATAGAGCTATATTAAATTACTAGAGCGCTAACTTTGTGTACAAAGTAATGCCTGCTGGGCGTATCCATGTTTGTGCACAAACTTACGCAGACCTTGGAATTGTGTACGGCTTTTGTACGGCTATTTGCATATCTGCGTTTGTATTCCATACCGGTGCGTTATCGAAGCCAATACGCCCAAAACCAAAAACGCACGATCAGCAAATGAGCGTGTCATTTTGCTCTACGCAAAAAGCGCAACGCGTGCGCGTATTCGCTGCAGATGCTTCTTGCCGTCACATTTTTTAAAATCGTCAATGACGCGCTTAAGTTGTTTGCATGTTTGCACGTTGCATGTAGAGTATACTTTCAAAATTCAATCTATCTAATTTCATTGTGTTCTACAAACACGCACATGAATTCAAAATGTCTGCGCCCAGGACGGCTTCAAAGCGTCTCCGCGCGCAGAATGACGAGTTAGCGCTCTAGTAACTTAATATAGCTCTATGACATGTATGCATGTTCCTCGGCTACAGGATAGTTGAAGACAAACATTGTACCTTGTCTTCAAACCTTGGGCAAGTTGGGCTCCATATTTTGCAATATTGAAAGCTACATGTAATATCCATGCTTATACTTGCCGTGTAAAGAGTGCATACAGACATCAATGTACGCAAAAACAGGATCAAGTTATAGACTTGGTTGCATGTGGTACATGCATTAGGCAAAGCCTCTCCAGAAGAAAAATAATGTGATTGGATGTCACTGAAAACCAGATAGCCCACGGATAAAAAAAACTCCAGATAAAATTAAGAAATGTTCCCATAGGACTTGAAGATTGAGTGAGTGAGTTAAGTCTGGGGCATTATGGCCCATCAGGCCAGCATTTGTCTCCGGTTTCCTTGGCATGAAACGACGGAGAATATTTCTATTCCCCCTGGATGGGATGCAAGTTCACCGCCGGTCACTATTCAGCTGCTTTTACACGTAATGTCAATGCTTATTCAATGTAGGCAGGTATTAGGAACATAAGTGATTACCCGGGAGCGCCCCGACCGATTTAATGACAAAAAACCTTCACTCAAAGAGAAGATAGAGATGGTCCTTCTCTGTAAAATTATTCTGCCTGAAATGGCATCATCTAGAAGAAAATTAAGAAGTGTGGCTGGCAGGCACACTTTTTAACTTGCATCAAAGCAACTGAATCCAGTCACATGCTTTGTCTGTTTTTGTTTTCAAAATATATTTGTTATTCACCCTACCGAAGACTTTTGAGCAATTTTGCCGCTTCAACGGGAAAAAACGAGCGTGTATTACAAAACATGTATTATACACGTATTTTGATTGATTAAAACTCCCTGGGCATTTTGACTACGATGCAACCTCAATCCTTCCAAATCCTCAAACCGCCTCCATGTAAAAATTGCATGCAGCCTCAATCCTGCAAAATCCTCCGTTGTTTCTTGAATGTGGTCCTTGGAGGGGTGACCACTGCCTCCTTCCTGCAAAATCATCAAGCAATCGGTGTCAATATGTTGAGGAAGAGCCAGTGACATCCTGGAGCAGTGCGGAGGATTTTAAGCACTAATATACCTGTACATGTAGGCCTACATGTATGCACAGCTGAGCATAAACAACATGAGTTCCTGCCTTAATTCTTGACATCCCGGTACATCCTCCAAAATCAGCCATACATTTTTATGATATAGCCTCAATCCTGCAAAATCCTCCATTTTGCAAAGAGCATTTTGGAGGATTTAGGAAGGTTAGTGTTAACCATGTACATGTAACATACAGTTGCCACACAAGAACACACATGTACATTTGTACATGTACATGTACATGTACTTGTACCCATTGAATTATTTAAGGCAAAGCATCAATAATCTGTAAATCTCCATATTATTTTGATACGTGTACAGTACACCTACATGTACATGTACTTGAAAACTAATTAGAAGAAATAACACATGTAATGCAATAGGTGTGCATTATTGTACATGTCCATGAAAGGCCAAGTAAACAAAATAAACTACTTTCTCATCTCTGTCCCCTCCCTTTTCCCACCAGCCTCCTTTTTTTTTCCTTGGATTTTTTTACTCGTACATTTCCAATATATGTTGTCTCTTTATTTGTTTCCAGCAAAATTGTAGTGAAGTATGCAGGTTCAAAATCCTGTAGAAAGGGTGACTGCTCCCTTGGCCACAAAAGTATCAGGAAAAGAGTCAAGAAAATGGACGAATCCATCTACCATCTTGAAAAACTCGCCATCTTGGAGAAAATGGCTGCCTCCTGCCAAAAAGCACAAACGAGTAACTTTTTGTTTTCTACTTTGCCTAAATCCGCACTGTTGTGTTTTTCTACCACAGGTGCGATATATGGCGCCCTCAACGGCACGAGAATATCGGCCAGGGAAACAAAGGAATTGAGCGGGAAGGTCCGAGTTTCACAGTAAGTTGATTGATAGGTCAATGAGCTTGGCAGACATCAAAACATTTGCAAACATCCAAAAAAAAAAAAAAAACTAACCAAAGTATTATGAAATATCGGTACCTTACCTGACAAGTACATTGTAAGTGGATAATAGTCTCAAGCATCCTGTAAAATCATGGCACCTGGTGTGCTGTAATTTCAAGAGAAGTGGAATTTTTGTATCGATTTTCAACGATGGTCGGCATTATTGGGAAAAATTAACTTTTTTTCAAGTACTGCCCCCAATTTACCAAACTTAGTGGCTTCCTTACAGTACGGAGTATCTGTCGACAGAATTGTTATCACCCCCCCCCCATTCAAATCGGTCTTGCAACCTTCACAGTGACAGAGCCTTAACTGTTTAAAAACAGGTTCATTTTCAAAGCTCTAAAGGCTATTGGTATTATAAAAAAACAAGTGGTTTTCTCATTTGTCGTGTCCTAATTATATTTGCCATTTTCATGCCATCAAATTAAAAACAAAATTATTTTAAACATTTATGCAGAGACCGCAACGATGTTTGTTCAGTACAAAAGGGCAAAGTCGTGCACAAGGCTGTCAAAACTTCTTTTTCAGTGAAAAACAATCAAATATTGACATATGATATTATCCAGAATGCATATTGCATTTGCGGACATATGAATACATTAATGGATTTTGAAATGTCATGCAGAGGCGTAAATCCCGGGGGGATTGGGGTATATATCCCACCCACTTTTTGACCAGGGGGGATGGACTATTGAATCATCCCCCCATTTTTTTGTGATGAGAAAAACATGCCGATTTTAAGGTATTTTCCGAAGGTCTCAACAACTAAAATGTATTTAATAGCACTGGAAAGTGTCGAAACAAAGTACAAAAGCTTTAAAAATCTAAGCCCGAGTATACATATTGATATCCAGCCCCCCACCCCCCCTACTTTTCGAATTTCCACGGCCGGGCACTTTTAGGATTTTGGACATGATATTAAAATTATGGTGGTCAACCTGTGGACACTTTGCAGTTTTAAAAAAATGGAAATTAATTTTATTCCAAGAATAATTGGAAAGCAAATTGTTGTTCTGTTGACAAAGCCTAAAGTTAGGAGTCGCGCTAACAGCAGAAAAGTGAGAAACTTTGAACAGTTTTCAAGCCGAATTTTTCCTTGTGACTCACCAGCTTTAGAAGCTGACCACTGACTTAGCATATAGAGCGACTCATCAATTGTTAATGCTTTTAGGGTAAAGATTTGTAGGGATTTTTTCCTGATGTCGGGATTGGTTTTGTTTTTTAAAATCCCTTTTGGAATCTGGAATTTGTGGGATTTTACCATGATCTCTTTACCTTGTCAAGATCTATCATAGAGCAAAAGAAATGCGATTTTAAGGGGTGCATTTAGACAAATACATTTCATATACCATAGAGCCCACCTTTCTCTGAGGCCATCTGCAGCCCCTGCACTTGCTGACGATAATTTTGTGGATTTTACACTTGCGCTCAATTTCACCCCCGGCTTACAAGGTCTGAATAATTCACTCTTCTGCGATGCGAGAATATGGTTAAGGATATTAGGATAATCTGCTTTTCATGTATTTTGTTCGTTTCCAATAACACCATTCAAAGAAGAACGTTCAAAACCTAACCTGTTGAAGTTTCAGCTCAGTGAATATTACACTTTTTGAGAAAACAGTGAAAAACCATGCACAACCTTTTCGATCACAAAACACGATTTCATCTGTAGCACTCTATATTTGCAACGATCAGTCAATTGACGGATCGTTGGAAATCATGAACCGGGTACATGTTTGTACATTTCTTGATTTCTTCGAAATGATAGTATGCAAATATTGAATGCTTCGAGTGGTGTAGTAAAACTAGCCTCCCTCGGTGATCCATGGACCATTCTATTTTCCCGAGGCGAAGCCGAGGGAAAATAGAATGGTCCATGGATCACCGAGGGAGGCTAGTTTTACTTCACCACGAGATAAAGCATTCAATATTTGTTTTATAACACTTAACCCACAGATTCTGCTTGGTTTTAATATCTTAAATTATTTAAATCTGAACACAGTTGAAATAAACTTCAATTTCAATACAAAATTGGTGGAAAATTTCTCTCTTCGAAACTACCCCTTCAAGATATGTTTGAACCCATGTCTGTGGCGCGCTCTCTTTGGAACAATACGCGCAAGGCGCACACCAGCATCTATTTGCACACAAATACCACGCCGTGGAAATAGTACTTTGGTTGCTAATGGTATAGTACTTTGGTTGCTACGGGTATAGTACTTTTAGCAGTGCACAGAAAGATAGCAAAATTAGAAAGTAACATGTGACTCGCTCTCGGCCAATCAAGACACAGAATCTGTGGGTGAGGTGTTATAACGAGCCATACGTACTAGTTTCACCGGGTGTTTAGTGCCAGTACGATCTTTAAGTTTAACTCTACCCCGGTAACTCCCTGGGCATTTTTGCTGGGATGCAACCTCAATCCTGCAAAATCCTCCATCTGCTTCCGTGTAAAAATTGCATACAGCCTCAATCTTCCAAAATCCTCCGTTATTTCTTGAATTTGGTCCTTGGAGGGGTGACCACTGCCTCAATCCTGCAAAATCCTCCAGCAATCACTGTCATTGTGTTGAGGCAGAGCCAGTGACATCCTGGAGCAGTGCGGAGTATTTCAAGTATAATCTAGACCTAAATGTATGCACGGCTGAACATAATCAACACAAGGTTTGGCCCAAGACCTTGACACAGTGCGCCCTCCAAAATCAGCCTCACAAAATAGCCTCAATACTGCAAAATCCTCCATTTTGCGAAGAGGATTTTGGAGGATTTGGGAAGGTTAGGGGTATTCCAAGTAAGCTTTTTGATAATAACTGGGTAGGTTACTTTTGGGATAAATGCAAATGATCTTAAATGCCTTATTAATTAATTTTTATATCTTCATTTATTTACTAATTTTGTTTGTTTTGATAGGATGTTGAACTTAGTAACAAAGCAAGGCGCATCTTCAGCAAATAGCATTGGCGTCATTGGTAAGTCTTCCGTTGACAAAGTTAAAACTACATTCACCCTTTATTCACTGTACCGCCCCAAACTGCCCGCCCTTTTCTTGCTGTTCAGCGCGAAACCGCCTGAGCACGCTATTGTTTTATGGATTCATTAGCGAATAAATATAATGTGATACAATGTAGTATGCCTGCTAATGCACAGTGGTTTAAGACCCAGACATCGGGTCCAATTTTTTTTTTTAATTTTAGTAAAAAAACCCTTCGATTGGAGTCTGAAAATCAAGTTTTTAGTATAAAAAAAACTATTTTCAAATTTAATGCACTGTTTTAGAGATATAACAATTGTTATGTACATTGATGTGTGAGTTAAATGAAATAAAGGATTCATATCTTGTTTAAATATAATGTGTTTGCCAAAGCATATAAAGGCTCGTTTTCAATTTTAATATTGTTTTTAATATTACCCATCTCATACCCATTCGAATGGTGTATAGTATGATATGGACCAATTATTGGATGACACTGAAACAAAACATTGAAAAAATCGACTAAAATGGAACAAAATGTAATATTTTCATACATTTACGATCGCACATTTTGAAGAGTACCTTCTAGTACCCACCGTAAAATGTCATAAATTGGTAATATTTTGAATGACTAAACATTCCTTGTCAATATTAAATCGCGGAAAATTATCGGAAATGTTCCTTTTGGCCGTACAAGACGAATTTCGGAACCGTGTTTTCGACAGAAATTCGAAAGAAATATCGCCTCGTGCGCGAAATAGCGCCCTCTGTTGATACGCATGGTCAGCAAAATCGAGCTATACTTCCCAGTTAGTTTGTACGTCCGCATCGCGTCGTGTTTGCATACAGAGAGGAGACTTTTGCGACGAAAGCGAAGTATTTCGTGCATTTACAATAAAGTACGCATATTTACTATCGATTGCATGGATTGTAGGGTAGGTTATTTAAGAAAATTTCGCAAAAACAATGACAGAGAAACGTGGTTTTCGATTTTTTTTTCTTGGACAATCGACACGGGTTGCAATTTATTTCTCGGGCAAAGGAAAACACAGGGGAAAAGTAAAGACCATCTCAGCCAACCAGACGTGTTTTCCCGACCCAGGGAAACCCGATATTCAAGGACTCTGCAACCAACTCCAGACTGGAGCTGTCATTGTGATTTAAACTAGACTTCTTCAGGATTAATTGAAAATAGAGATCTTAATATTTCTTAGAATATTTTTGTTGACATCGACGGCCGTCCATTCCTTTTTGTCCTGATGGAATGTGTACCGGAAAGAGGTCAAGACAGAGCAAAACTTTCACAGATCGTGTCGAATATGTCGATAATTCTCCGTCTGGTGTCATCTACAGAATTTGTCAACTCCGAAAAATTAGATACGCTTTGCAAAGACACAAGCAGGATGCTCCTAGAGAGGTTTCCAAGCTTTAGATTTACGTGCTCAGTGCACCAGCTTCTCGCACATAGTGCGAGTTGGTCGCAGCGAACAAAAGCAATGGCTTTCCGAAGAGGCGCTTGAAAATAACACACACAAAAACATTCGGAAGTACAGGGAACAGCTATCCAGGAAAACCACACAAGAGGACAATCTAAGTGACGTATTTCATCGTCTTTGGTTAAAAGCAGATCCAGTACTCCGCAAGTTTCCTGTCCAAAGAGTGAACACCGAAGATGACCTGTTTAATTTCTCCTTCAATAAGTCACAAATAGTACCAGCAGGTATTCCATTCAATTCACGAAGATTGAATCAATCTATTACTCAACAACTGATTACTACATTCAGCATTTTATTATGAAAGGTTTTTTAAGGACGGTAGAAATATCTTGGGGAAAATTGATTACTATTTAAGTAGTATTTTGGGTCACAAACCAACACATAATGTAAAATAATACCACAAAATCACTACCTTAGAACCGTAAATTTGCAACCTGGTATAATCTTTATTTCATCCAGTAAAACAAAAATTAACGAGAAAAAAAATGTGTCAATACCGCGCCGGTAATAAGCCGTATGGACGTGTAAAAAATATGAATGCAGAAATTGTCGCAAGAGGGGGCTATGCATAAGTAGCGCCCTCTTTAGAATTTTGCTCCGGATTTTTGACAAAATTGGCGAGTTACGTTTTATATAATTTCCTACCTAGTTTTCTTAACCCAGAGATGGCTTTTGAACATGCTTCGTGTGTTTTATATGAATTTTGACCGTTTATTATCCTTAAATGTACTGATGTCTGGGTCACATATGGTTTTAAACCACTGTGTAATGGGTTAAAGTCGTAAACAAAATGTCTTCTTTTTTTTTAACCCTAACCGCCCTGAATCCTTCCTCTTTGCCAAAGTGGAGGAATTTGGAGGATTGAGGTTACATGGCAAAAGTGCGTTACTGATTTCATAGGATGCACTTTGTCAAGGGCTTGGGCAGGACCTTGTGTTGTTTTTGCTCAGCCATTCATAAATATAGGCCTGGATTACGCTTGAAATCCTCCGTACTGCTCCAGGACGTCACTGGCCAAGCCTCAACATATTGACAGTCACTGCCGCACTGCCGCAGTCACTAGCAATCTTCGAGTGGGAGTCAATTGATGTTTTTAAATTGAGTTTGAAACTTGGATATTTCGGGCTGAATTTTAAGGCGGCTTTTTTATGAATGTTTAAATTTGCATTTTCTGTGCTCTTCAACATGTTCAACGAGAAAGATTTCTTTAAAAAAAAATTAAAGTTCAACTTGTGTGTTTTATTCCGGCAAACAAAAACTCATATTTTTTCTCTTTTTGGGCATCTGCAACCTTCGGGGAAAAAGGGTTTGTTTTGGGCACAAACAGATCCGCTTTGCACGCAGACTGGCTCCCGGTCCGTACATACATGTATACTGATTGTGGGGCCGGAACCAGCCTACCCCACAAGAAAAGAACTATTGTCTGGCAGCCAAATAATTCGAAATTGTAAAGTAATAATTCAACAACTAAACATGGGCCGATTTTTTTTTCTTTTTCAGTCGACGTCTCATTCAAAAGTGATAACGTTTTCTTTTCCTATAAAAATAGCAATTTAGAAAAGAAATTTATCATTCGGGATGAAACTCGAAAATAGCATGGAGAACAGGACTGTTATCACAAGTTGACCAGAACAAAATTTCTGGCTACATTCCAGTAGGCAAATGTGTTGCTCCCCCCCCAATTCAAATTTTTCTTGCCACGCCCCTAAATGAGACAAGAACGCAGACTTTAACAACTGTCAGCTTTAAAATGATGTACCGTAATTTTCGGAATATAAGCCGCGCGGCGTATAAGCCGCAGCACGCAAAAATCTGCAAATTAAGATTTGAAGTCGGCGTATAAGCCGCACCGGCGTATAAGCCGCACCGACCGCTGCGGTTTCAATTTTGTAAGGCCTCCAAATTCTAGTCAAAATGCTCTGAACCAGTTCCATTTACACTACAGAAGCTATTAAAAGGGCCACAAAAGTTATATCAAATCATTTACAATCGATACTTTTACAAACAAATATGGGAATTGATGAGAAATAAACACCGGGAATTGCTGCCGGCTGCCCCGTCATAGCCCGGCAGCCTGCGCCACGCACGCCGGTGAATGACAACATTTTCCCACAGCACGTGAGAGAGTATGAAACCCACCGTGTGTTGTCTGACTGGAGCGCTACAAATCTTGCTTTGTGGCAACAGATGCTGATTTGTTTTGTCCTAAGAATAAACAGGTCCGTTTTTACCTCAAAACTTATCAAAACTTATCAAATTGTTGCGATTACTAACGAGTAGTTGCGATATAATTTCAAGTTTCGATCGTAACTTTCTTCGGAAATAGTCAAAACGAAGCGGACATTTTAATAGACGAATCCATTAATTTTGTAAGGGGTGATTTAGTCCCTCGTTTGAGTTTTACATCGTTTCTTGAATACATTTCAAGAAAACAAAATATATTGTGACGTTGAACAGCTGATTATGTAATAAAAAAATGTTTCGAACGCCATAAAAATTTTAGTCGTCTTTTTCTTTTTTTTGTAAACAGCGGAAATATTGGTAATTATTGTTCCCAAGAAAGAACACCCCTTTATTACCACAAATGGTGTGGTCCGCTGGGGGGAAAAAGCATGCTGCATATCGCTGCTGCACTGTACCAGTATCACGTACGGGCTGGTTGCAAGTGTCGAAGACAACTTTCATCACCGTACTTTTTACCGCTCGGTACCTTTACGTGAGACGTGGTTTCGGTTTGTTAATGACTTTCTTAATTTATAATTCATTTCAGCAACACATCTCTTCTTGTACCAGTACATTAAATACACATGTGAATCTTATTTTTATTCTTCAAGGCTCGGCGTATAAGCCGCCCTGTGTATAAGCCGCAGTAAACATTTTCATGGGCAAATTCAACGTATAAGCCGCGGCTTATATTCCGAAAATTACGGTAGTCAAGGTCACTCACCCGAATTTTTGACTAAGGCCAAAAAAAAAAAATAGTCGGTCTCTGGTCAGACCAAAGTTCCGGAATTGATGCGGCGCCGCGTTTTTTTTTTTTTTTTTTGGCATTTTTTTTTTCAAGCTTGGATTGTACAGACAAGGTGGGTACTATTTTGCTTTTTTGTGTCTTCATATCCATTGGTGTCCTCCATCGTTTGCCTTGGTGCCCTCCATCACTTGCCTTGGTGCAATTTCCCCATTCCTTGGTGGTCCTTGGTACAAACATTTGAGGAGGTGCGGCAATAGAGATCACTATTGTAGCTACCGTGGAAAATTTGGGGGAAAAAAAAGATTGACGCGCATGAATAAAATTGACGCGTGCGCTGACCAGAGACCGTCTATTTTTTTTTTTGGCCTAATACATGTATGCTAATTTATTCCTGGCTTTCCTCAAGGGTCCATATATTCATGCACATCAATAAACAAATTTATAGAATTTTGAAAGCTGGGAAAATTGCCCACTTTGCCTGTCAAATTCAATCATGTGTGTTGGTGACATGTCATCGAAACATGACGGACTTCACAAAAGCAAAACCGTAAAAGATAAAATAAACTTAACATGTAAGGCACTCATCTTATGACAGGCTCACTTCTGCTTGTACTTGAATCCTGCCTTTCAGATTTCACTTGAAGAAATATGATATGAAATCAATTTTTATTACTTTGCATAATACCGGTAACGTAATATGTGATTTATCAAGCACCCCTATGTTTCCATAAATATTTAATGGTTTTTTTTGTGTTAATGTTTTATAACTTTTATAAAATTATGTATCATACTTTTTGTTTGTGTTGTTGGCAGTGGTGGCGCCAGACTCTACAATTCTTCTTTTTTTTGGGGGGGGGAGGCAATCGGGGGGCAAAGAAAGAATTAAGGGGAGGGGGCAACATAGAAAAATCACCTGCCGTTGAAAAAGTGAAGGGGGGGGGGGGTAGTGCCAGACGTCATTTGACACTATGGGAACTGTTCAAAACCATTGACCTTCCTGCTGTTTGATCAGTCACAGACAGTCAAAAAATCAATCAGCTTCCCCTGCCATGCCTTTTAGGAGGGGGGGGGGGGGTGAAGGGCCAAGAAGACATTTCCCCTAGATCCCCCCCCCCCCCATTTGACATGTTTAATTGGCAAAAACTCTCCTTTTTTTGGCAAATAGTGTCAATTACATGTACCTTTAATATTAAAGGGAATATACAACATTTGCAAACATCAAAAACAAAACTACCAAGTTTTTACGAAATACCTTACTAAGATGTTGGTAAATGACAGTCTAAAGCATCGTGTAAAATTATGGCACCTGGTGTGAAGTCATTTTCAAGAAAATGGTATTTTTGTATACATTTCCAACGGTGCTCGGCTGACCACCGTTGGAAAAACCTAACTATTTTTCAACTACTGCTCCATATTTACAACTTTTTTTTTTCAGTCCAATTTTTTTTGGCTATTGGTTTCATGTTCATGAACGGGTGCAGGCCAGCTAGACTGGTTCCCTTATCTTACAATTTTCCGGCATTTATAAATGGATCCATTTTATCTTTTATACTGGAGTCAGGGAACCAGACTACTTGAGCATTTGTGTTTTTCTTGGTTTTTCCAGCATTTTCGAACACAAAACTTCAAACGTGTCAGTGTAACAATACATTTGTATTTGATCTATTATACTAACCCCTCAAATAGTTCATTTCTGAAAATTTCAGCAAAAGCCAATGATGTAATGTACATTCCCTTAAAAACATTATTTGCTCCAAGTAACTCCAGCTATACTACTTTTTCTCTTGTGACAGCGCTGATGTACAGTATAATGGGTCTGGGTCTGTCGTGGGGTAGGGGGACAGAGGATGAACTCAACACACTAGGAGCAGCAACAGCGACAGGACTTCTGTATAAATCATCAGGTAGTAACAATTTGAGTGTGGTGTTACTGTTTGACCAAATTAGAAAGACAAAATTCTCTTTTGGGGTGTAAATTCTTTTTAACTTTACTCCGGCTTCTGAGAGTAACCAGTGGCCAGAAGGTCATGTACAACATGTGCAAACATCAAAAAACAAAACTATCCAATTACTATGAAATACCTTACTGGACTGTTAGTGAGTGACAGTCTAAAGCACCCTGTGAAATCATGGCAGCTGGCGTGCTGTCATTTTTAAGGTAAGGGAGATACATGTATTTGTATCAATTTCCAACGATGGTCAGCTGAGGTGTAATTGATTTTACGATAACTCAAAGGTTTTTTTTTTTTTACTGCAGGCTTGATGATAATCAGATCAACTTCTTAGTTTCTGTAGTAAAAATCAGGTTTTTGATCTGGATTTTGCATTGCCTTTATTTCTTGATAGCTGGAGTGAAGAAAATGGCCAAGGGAGGAGCAGTGGGACTAGCACTGGCGTCGGCGTGGTGCTTATGGCAAAACAGAGACAAACTGAAGTCGTTTCACGTGCAAAGCTTGTAGGTTGATGGATAAACCAAGGCAGCTGCCGGCTGGACTCCATCAGTCTAGAGCTCCAAAGCCAGATGCGCTTAACCCTGGGACAGACAGTTAGTTGCGATTTGCAGCATTCTTAAAAGACAATTTCAGCTGTCATCTGGTGTAACGCTTGTCTGCTGCGAGGTGTCGTCATCCGGATATTAGTTTATTAAAACCGGAGCACTAAAACACCTGCTGCGAGACAAAAGTGAGCTTGAAGTGTCTCTCGATATCTAGAGTATGGGGACATAATCGGAGACTCCGCGGACAACTATAATAAACCACAGCTGGTTCTATCGATTAGCAGTGTCAGGAGATGATTTTAATTTAAATTGTTATCTTAATTTGGCAAGGGAAAGGGTTAAACCGAATGTGCACTATTCGTGTGTCGCTTGTGAGAGGTCTCAGTCATGCTCATTCACATTGGCAAACACACAGTCGTGTTTTACATAACTCTCGAGGACAAGGCATTGTCTTTCCTTTGTCCCTATAATATAGAGTAACAGTACTCTCCCGTAAACTAAGGACACAAACTCAAGATTGAGGACCGTTTTCAAAAAAATAAAAATTAAACTCTCGAGGTTGTTGTTCTCGTTTGGAGTGTTTGCTTAAAAAAAATTCTCCTTAATATTCACCTGTTTGACCATGAGAATGCAGTTACTTACACCGTTCAAGTGTTTTTATTTAAGTTCGGTAATCAAAATAATGCTGTTGTGAGTGGCAAGGATGATGTAGTACATGTAATATAAATCGATATATTGCTTCAGGGATGTTGTACATGTATGTACCGTTTGACGCATGTACCTGTAAGGTTTGGAAAGCCTATATTGCCGGATAATTTTGTCATCTTGTCCAGTTTTAATCTGATTCATTCGAATGACGTACTTTGTGTTTTTAGAGCCAGATCGATTGCAGTCAATGATAAATGGTGTCTTGTCTTTGTGATGAATGGATTTTGCATTTAAGATGTGCTTGTACGTTCCCATGTGTGTGTTTGACTCGTAAGTGGAACATGAAATAATACTTGCAGATGGGGTGCATTGTCCTGAATTCTCTATAAAAATGATAATTCGTTGGCAGAAAATCGAATTTGTTGAACAGCAGAGAAGAGCAGCTTTTAAGTTTTCGTGCTTTTGCCACACATTGGGTACGAACTTAGGATAGACCTGTTTCTCTATTTATGTTGAAAGATCCTGTGGAAATAAAAACAATGTCTCATTATTACTTATATATTGAGTGACTCTGTCAGTCAGTGACCCAGTGACTCAGTCGGGGAGTGGGGGAGTCGGTCAGTTAGTGTCTCTCTCGGGGAGTGACTCACAGGGGAGTCAGTCAGTGACTCGGTCACTCAGAGACTCGGTCACTCCGTGACTCAGTCAGTTTGATGGGAAGTGACTCAGTCAGTCACTCAGTTACTCAGTCATTCACTCAGTGACTCAGTGGCTCAGTCATTCACTTGGTCAGTGTCTCAGTCAGGCTGTCAGTGAGTCGGGGAGTCAGGCAGTCAGTGACTCAGTCAGTCAGTGACTCGGTGACTCATTCAGGCAGTCAGTGACTCGGTCAGTCAGTGACTCGGTGACTCATTCAGGCAGTCAGTGACTCGGTCAGTCAGTGACTCGGTGACTCATTCAGGCAGTCAGTGACTCGGTCAGTCAGTGACTCGGTGACTCATTCAGGCAGTCAGTGACTCGGTCAGTCAGTGACTCGGTGACTCGGGCAGGCAGTCAGTGACTCGGTCAGTCAGTGACTCGGTGACTCATTCAGGCTGTCAGTGACTCAGTAAGTGACTCAGTCAGTCAGTGACTCGGGGAGTAAGTGACTTGACTCAGTCATTCAGTGACTCAGTCAGTGACTCCGTCAGTCTGCAGTGACTCATTCGGGGAGTGACTCAGTCAGTGACTCAATCAGTAAGTGACTCGACTCAGTCAGTCGGGGAATGACTCAGTCAGTGACTCAGGGGAGTCAGTCAGTGACTCAGTTGGTCAGTCAGTCAGAGACTCAGTCAGGGAGTGACCCGGTCAGTCATTCGGTCATTCACTCAGTACATGTACATACATGTGACGGGTTCATGTACATGTACATTATGTAGTTGCATGTACGTGTAAATAGATATGAAAATTCGCTTCAACAGTGAAGAAACGGTTATGAAACACAAACTAGCAATTTCATTTTAATGTTACATATTACATGTAAATTGGACATGAAAATATGTCAATTTAAGTAAAATAAAAGTAAAAGGTCATCGTTAACATTGATCGACTTATTAAACGTGAAACTTGTCAAGTGTGATAAGTATTGAAGCGAAAGCAAACGTCGTGTGTTATGCGATCAGTATTCTATGGTCATGCAGCAATACCAAAACATTGTTGTCGCCACAGGGGCCAGAGGATATGACTTACGATAACTATCCTTGCCTGCAGATGTTTTCGTTGATTTAATAAACCGTATTTTGTAAAGAAAACTACCCGTACGCCGTGGCTAGCTACAGTTCGAGTAAAAGGCCTCGACCAAGCATGAAACGAGTACAGGAAATCATTAGGTTGAAGAAAACATGTGCATGAATGTTGATGTAATCAAAACCTGTCATCGAGATTTATATGGGTGTCTGATGCGCGCTCTTATTAAAAAAAGGTTCTTGGGAAAGTAATTAAAGTAACGAAGTCCAGTGCCGAGCGATAAATTGCACACGGAAAGATGGGGTCAACGACCCTATTGTGACGATTTGAATAATGATTTGTATAAATCTGTTATGAAGGCCTGATTTTGCAGTGTACAAGTCTCGGAACTCCGTAGTATTTCACGGCAATCACGTTCACTTTGCGTGGACATGGCAAGTATGGCCTCTGTACACATTTATGAGCCAGTGACATTTTGAAGGAAAACACGACTTTAAAAGCTGTCACATCATGTGCGACGATTAGGTTATGTTTGTCTAGGCCCACTTGAAATCATTTTGTTTGGGAAATAAAAAAGAAACATAATTTGGTTACAACAAGAATGAAACATCCAAACTTCCGATGAACAATCGAATATGCTCAATACTCGTAAAAAAACAAAGGAGTCCGTTGCTAGACTAGTCAGTGTTTGGTACCAAGACTTTGACAATAAGAAGTAAATGAAGTAGACACAAAGTCACGACACTTGCTGGCTCGAAAAACGCCCGGGGTGTGTGTTTTTTCTTGTCACCTAAATCTTGGTCTGTTGGATCAGGAGGTTTCTTACCGTAAATACCCCGGGGTATATAATACACGTGCCCAAGTCAGTGGATAATTGTGAATACAAATTCAGCTGGAATATTGGTAAGCTAATTATACAGTTCAATGCTTGCGGGATTTTCATCGTAAATTTATAGTTTCTGAAGACGGCGTAGCTATTTAGTACATGTATACCCTGCATAAACGCACCTTGCAGGTGTGATCATTTGCAGGTGTGATCATTTGCACTTGGTGCATTTTTCTTTTTGAGGCAACGTGTGTGCTCAACAATTTAAGTAGAGTGCATAAAAACTAACCGGTTGAAACCAGATAACTTGAGGGAACAGGAAATGTGCACAATTTATTTGGTCTAGGAAATAGATTACGTTTTTTGCGCTTCATGTTCAAAAGTTTTTACCAAAAACGATAGCATTTCCGGCGAAACAATTTGTATTCGGTATCATGCATTTATTTCCAATTAGCGTCATGATTTTAAACAAGTGTCACTATGGCGTCCACTTGTATCATTTTTCAATCCCGAAATGGAGATATTTCTGTTACTTCCAAGACGTTCAAAGCTCTTGATAATCATGCTACTTTTAACGGAAAGAAGGTGGTATCCAGACGCCACTTCTTTGGTTGTGTACAAAGTCTTTGGAGAGTCGATTGCATGTTCACAGTATTTCCTAACAAAATTGAAACGTTTCTCAGTCCCAGATTCATGTCTTTTCAACATTTGTGCAATGACTGCCCTTTATTGAGATAATATGAAAAAAAGTGGCGTCTGGTAATTCAGGTTGCAACATTTTTTTCACATTGAACTAAGATCAAAACGCTTTACATATCATTGGGCCAATGAAACATTCCAAATACATTCTCAGCTCCCTGGGGTGTATTACAGCTCGATGCTGCCATTTCGGCGCAAAGCAGCTAAAACAAATCACAATAACCATCTCTGCCCTCACAGGCACCCATTTATTCCTTGGTGGGGAGAAGCAATGACTGTAAAGTGTCTTGCCCAAGGGCACACGCATCATGACCCCAGACTGGACTCGAACCCACAACCTGCAGAATTACCACGAATTCAATGCTCCAGACCTCGTACGAGGCCACGGCACTTCACTCAATTCCGGTATTAAATGTCAACTTTGCACGCCATACATCATAACATGTACAGTCACGGACGTACCATAACTGACATCGATTTTAAAAAGATCGACTTAACAAAGATCCGGCAAAGGAAAGTTTTGCGTTTTTTAAAGCAAAGCAAAGCTGTCGTATGCTGAACTATTCACACAATTTGAGATTTTCAGGTCGCACACAACATCCCGCATCATTGAAGCAGTCCTGTAAGATTATTTTCAATTCAACGTGAGATGCGCCACTTTTTTTCCCACTGAAGCTTTATGAGTCTAAAACCCATCGATCACAATCACCTGAGATGATAGCATGGCACCTGCTGCTCAATGGAGTATAAATCCAAAGACTCCAGCGTATACAGATGAGATCCATATCTGTTGAATTTCCCACCTGCCCCGAGTTCTACTTTTCTATCGTTGCTTTCAAGTGAAGTTTCATCGTCAGATTGCTTTCGATTTGAGTTCGCCATTTGGTTGATAATTCTTGGCGTTCGATAAAGGCTATACCATTCTACGTGAAGTGGTCTGCGACAGTCGATTCTTAAAGTTAAAGGTATTTGTAATACCATTTTGTAAACATCCGAAAACGAAACTGCCAACATTTATGAAATAGCCTATACTTGATTGGACGTAAATAATAGGATCAAGCAAAAACTCCTCGCGCCTACTAGTATGCTGTCGGTTTCAAGACAAAAAACAAGAATTACCATCGTACCTCGACCTTTGGTTCGGATCGAATCATCGTTGGAAAACTGACTTTTGTTCAAATACTGCCCCCGAGTTTCCATATTTAGTTAGTCCACAATTCGTTTGCAATCAGTTACACATCCGTGAACTGATGCAAGTCAGCTAGTCTGGTTCCCTTATTACCTGAGAATTCTCCGACGTCTATAAATTGCTCCGTTTCGTCTGAAGTAGGGTCAGGGAACCAGACTACAAGAACAGCATGTTTTTCTTGTTTTTTTTCCAACATCTATGAACAAACTTTAAACAGGTCAGTGTAACAATATTTGCAATAAAATACTGACCCACAAATCCATCAATTTCTGAAAATTACAGCAAATGCCATTGTTATCCACTCCCTTTATGCGTCTCGGTCAAAATTTAGTCAAATGCCTTAACGTAGTGAACGTTATCAATGTGCATGTGTACCATGTTGTAATTTTAACCTTTTTCATAACACTCTTGACGTCTTGAAGTGTGAGAGAGACGATTCAATTCCCTTCAGTCGAAATTAGCTCTAACTCCCTAGGGGTTGTGCAAAATCGTATTGAAGTTGGAGGATTCAGGACTAGTGTTAGGGCTAAGAAGATCAAGCTTTTTCTCGTTGCTATTAAAAGTATTATTCAAAGGAGCCCTTTTGGTAAAAAAAGGGGGCATAGAGGGCCGTGTGGTTATAGGGTTCATAACTCACATATTGGCTCGTGACGGACTTAGGGTACAAAGAAAGTCTTAAAGAACTGGGTTTTGGTGAGGGTCACAGTTACGCTCCGATTTTCCGCATTTCGTTTGAAAAATTCCCAAAATATTCACGTACGTATTGTATTCTAGAAAGATGCAGTGAAAGATGCAAGATTGTGCTGGGTTTTTTTTCATTTCTTCTCGGGAAAGAGAGAAAACAATAACACTCACCACTGCACACTTAAAGCCGCGCACGATCATTTGCAATTACCAGGAAAAACCTACCTATTTAATGACAGAAACTTGTTCAAAGTGAAGATAGGACTGGTATCAAATACCCTGTGAAATTATTCCGCCTGAATTGGTATCGTTTGGAAGAAAACAAACATTGAAGGTGGTTTCAAAACAGTGCCAGCTGGCACACTTTTGCTACGTGCGTTAGCAACGTAGTCCAGTTGCGAGACCCAACAAGAGTAAGCATACATTTTCTCTGTTTTCACAAAATGTAGTATTCACTAAGCTGAAACTTCAACAGGTTAGTTATGCACCCTACTCACGATTTTGAGCAATTTTGAGCCACGTTGCTATATAATCCGGATCGGGTCAAAAACTATAGTCACGCGAGAAATCCCAATAATTTTGTTTTCATCCAGAACCACCCCAAGGCGTGCATTTCCGATCTTATTTCGATTAAAACCGCAATTCGAGATTTCTTTAATATTTTTGAGCACGTAAATATCTCAGAGCCAATTAATTACAGATTCGAGACATGCACCATGGCGCCCCACTCAGTCGTCGGCTGGGTACTTGGCAGAGTATCTAGAACACCATGGCAGTGGCACAATTTACCAATCGTGGAAGGACGTTGCAACAAATAAAGATAGTTATCAATGTTTCCAACGTATCGTTGGATTGTTGTAAATACAAAATAACCAACTAACGCTATAGTCACCAAATACTTAATAACCATTCCTCTTTCTTATAGTGAGGGTTTAATATGCAAGTTTTGGCAAAATATGTTGCCAACCACGGCTTACATTATGGTCCTGTGGCAGCCCATTAAAAATTGACGCACAATGTTTACAAACGAAAGAAAATTAAGTTTGGTTTCCTGACCACATGATCATACGTCTCACAATAGTTCGTAAGTCGGGTAACCGCCACTTTCAAAAATAGAACATAACGCTGCAAAATTAATAGCCCATCGCTCGGAAAAAAAAACCTGAGCGCGTGCTTGCACAAAGTCTGTATCAGACATTTTAATACAGATCGTATACTGGGAACTACGCCTGGTATTAACATTCTCAAATGCAAGTTTTTAATTTATGAGCTCAGTTTTGTTTTAGGATTGATAATAACCATGACTATTTTATTGGTAAAAAAAAAAACATTTTGAACTTGGAGATACCCCAACTATCGCGGACATATCCGAGTCTCAACGAAAACGCATTCGGAGAACTTCGCCCATTTTCGTAAACGGGCATGATGCTCAGAATAGTCTGAAACTTTTGGTCTGGGAACCAGACTTATTAGATGTGGGATTTGGCACCTCCCAAGATTTTTATGGTGTAAAACGAGGATTTTCTCTTGTTCCTCTTCCCTTTTCCTTTGTTTGTACTTTTTTTGCAACAGCTCTCATTGGTTTTGTACACGTTTTCTAATCGAGGTCGAGGTCGTCCTCGATTCAGTCGATGATGTTGCACGTGTGTGTCCTCGATTTACACCATAAACACGCACACACAGAAACACAACCAGTGTGTAAATTAATACATGGCCTGTCAAAAGTAAAATAACTGTAGTAGTACATCAGTTATATTCCGTTTGTGTCATATTTCCGATAAAAAACCTCTTTGTGTATTACATCCCAACATCACAATATATAAATATAATATATTTTTTTTAGAGAATATAATATTTCAAGTAAATGTACAGTTGAAAATATTTCAATTTAACATGTAGGATTGTACGGTTCGTGACGTTCGGATGTAACATTTTTACGGTTTTCAAATAAACTCTAAGTACATTTACGTCCTGTTTATTTCCTTTTAATGTACCCTTCAGGAGACATCTTTTCGTCGTAAGTTATACCTTCGGGAGACGCCAGACATTAAGGAGACATTTCAATGTCTCCCTCATGTCGCAACTCCTATTTAGAGGCAACATTTTATCGTCGTAAATAGGCTAGATTGATTGCCCGTGGTCCAAACCATTAATGTACCAACATTCCTGGAGGTAGGATAAGGGAAAGTTAGGGTTAGGAGTCATAAAAGTTGGAACGATTTTGTGCACAACCCTATGGGAATGTCTCCCTAACGTATAATTTCCGGTAATTCAACATTTTCTTGTGTATTATAGACTAGTTACTTTTTATACGATGGAGCACCCACTAGTGAATAGACTAACTTCTTACTTAAGTATCGCTCCTCTCTATATAACCATTAAATGGTATAATTTAAGTACAAGTATTATATTTAAGTATAAAAACAAGTGTTTATAGTTTACAGTGTTTCATCATTTTGCTTCTTTACAAGGGAACCAGCGATAATACTCTTCTTTTTAACTGGTTCTCGGCAGATACTATGATACTTAACACAGCGTTAAACCCATAACTTCGATAACACTTTTGGGTGCATTTTGCCTGCGACAAGTTAAACATGGAGGATATATTCTCCCATTTTTTTGTTAAATGGCACGTCGTGGAATGTTCTGTAAAACATTTAGACTTAAACACAGCAAACATTTCGGAGCTACAGTGAGTAAGGTTGAGTTTGTTGAAAGTTTCAAGAACTTGAGGCTTATCGCAGGAAGAGCTCTTCTCAGTGTCATTTTCAAGGCATTCAAGAGTAGGCGCTATACTACATGATTTAATCATTAAAAGTTACGTTTGCAATATTTTATACAAAATAAATATCTCGCAGGTATATCTATAGTACTGTTTGATATGAGTACAGTTCAGTTTAGATTCTTTATTCGCATAAAAATGCAAAATAAAAAGGTATATATATACCTTTTTATTATTTTTTTGTACTTTTTATTTATATTTTTGTACTTGTGTATTTTTGTTTTTGTGTAATATGTATCTGTATACGATCTGTATACAGATACATATTACCCAAAAACAAAAATACACAAGTACAAAATTACACATATAAACAGTACACAAAAACTCTTTAAAACAATCATTACATCATCGCAGTAATCTCCCTCATCTGATTAGCAACCCTAATCCCGTCTTCATTACTACAACAAAAGGCATTCCATTCCTATATAACATTAGAGTAATAATATTTTTTGTATAATTTAGCAGTCAATTACATCAGCCGTATAAGTTAACTCTTGCGTGATCGTTTACAACAATAATTATTTTATAGTATTTAAAAACAAGTCATACAACTATTACAAGGTAATTTGAATTCTGTTGTAATCTTCGCAAATACTTATGCAAAAAAGGAACTTCCGGTGAAAAGTAGGCATACAATGAATATTCATTAACGTGTGACGTAACATGAATATTCAATCATTTATGACATAATATGAATATCTCATATATCGTGTGGAATTACATAATGAAAACCAAACAAGTGAACAACATTGACTATACTAGTGCGCATGGAATTTTTGGTCGATGAATTAGCGCAATTCCATAGTTTATAGCTTTATATAACCATAGAGCATCATCTTTTGTGATACAAGGGGTTGTTCGTTATAGCCAAATGCTCGTTAGAACGGTGTTCGTTATAGCGGCGTTTTACTGTACACGGGTTTCGATTTTATTTGGTACACGAACCGTATGTAGACTTCGGTCCTTTTATCTGTTCATAGTTTCGTCAGTTCGTCTCGATCACTTAGCGAGGCTGCCGGGTTATCGTATGCCACATACTGGCCTTGTATCTTGGCCCCATCCCGTGATTTCATGACCAAGTTGACATTACCCGAGTCAACGGTCGAGGTGTCGGGGAGGGACCTTCGTCTCTGCTCGCTCACCGGCTCCTGGTCGTTGTTGGTGGTGTTCTTGTTGGCCCGTTCTCGCCCGCCTTTCAGAGAGCTCTTGGCGGGTTTGTGGTGCAACGCCCCACTATCCATCTCAATCTCATCGGTCTTGGTGGAAACAGTGGACATGACAGTGCCGGTCCTGTCCCGCTTGTCCACCTCCGAGATCACGGACCGGACACTGGTAGCCCTGGAGTCGGTGTTGCGGTTGTCGCTGGACATGGAGCGGGTGGTGGACCGATGCTGGCGGCGGCTCTCCGCTTCCCCACAACAGTAGACGAAGAAACGATCGCGAAGAGCTTCCTTGAAGCGCTGGTGGGAGATGGCGTAGACTAAGGGATTCCAGCTAGCTGAACTCTTAGCGAAGAGGACTGGAATGACTTGACCCATCGGGGTGACCAAAGCACTATCGATATACTCCCCGATGAACGCAATGGATGCGTACGGCATCCACGACGCGCAGAACAGGACGGTGAGCATGATGCCCACCTTGGCGATCTGCCACTCGACGTTATCGGCTTTGACTTTGCGAATGGCGGATGCCTGCGCCTTATCGTTGCCGGGAGATCGCAGATCATTCTGCACCCTCATAAGCTGCAGGCGATGCTGTCGTAAGGTGTATGCGATGTGAGCATAACATGCTATGATCACCCCTAATGGGATCAGAAAGCCAAACATGAAGATCACGCCAACGTACAGCCTGTTCTTCAGCGATAGATCCAGGTATTCGAACGTGCAGTTGACACCATAGCCTTCCAGGACGTAGGCTCCAAAGCCAAAGAAGGGTAGGAGGGCCCAGATCATGCTGTATATCCAGACGAGCAGGATTTTATAGACGGCTTTACGTTTGGTCACTGTGCGCATAGCCTCCATAGAATGGCATATCACATAGTGTCTGTTGAAAAGAATAGCATGCCTGTGGGTTTTAATACATTCAGAACGGTTAAAACAGGTGCAGACAAAAGTGCTGAGGTGCTGTGCGTTAAAAGGACATTACGGCCCGAAATCCCCGGAATTCGTACGTTTTGGATTGTTTGCTTGTCCTATTTCAAAGCTCTGGTCGAAAAGATACTATCCCAATGTCTTACCGTTTCCCGAGAAAACACGGAAAAGGTAACGGTTGGTTACATCGGACGCGGCGGACATTCTGTTGCATACGCATACGTATTTCCAGCCGTGTCCATTCAATGCACGGTACTCGTACTGTGTGTCACATAATAAACACAGCACTAATACACAAAGGTTGTTTCTCGCACGTCCGCATCATGCGACGCACTAGCTGGTGGAATATGTGCGGTAGGCTTCACGACTAGCACCCAACAGCTCGATTTAGGAGTCAAAATGTTGACCCCGGAAATTCGTTCTCGCAAGAAAAACACAAAACGCCCAGTTTTTAAAGGATGGTAGCGTGGACGTTTATATCTTATACTTTTAAATGCGCTTTCCAATTAACATCATTTCGTTTAAAGTGCGTTTTGCAGCACAATTCGGCGCATGCCAGGAAGTAATATCCCTTTTACTGTGCGGTGCTTTCGGAGTTTGATTCAGCTTCAGAAACATTTGTTTTGGCCAATTCTCTTGGTATTTTTTGTTGTTCCAATGTCTAGACTACTGTGTGGAAAGAAACATAAAGAATACAAGAAAGAATTTTATAATGAATCATCTTCATGCACCCCACGTTAAACATGAGTCGTGTACCAGTCCAAAAAAAGAGAAAAGGTCAAGGTCAACGGTGATTTAAAAAAAACAACTGGGAAAACAGACTTATTGGCCAGGCTTCTTATACTTGGCATCAGAGTCACATCCGAACTCTGCGTCCAAGACAAGACAAGGCTAATGAAGTTACATGTAGTCTGGGCAGGAACCAGACTCAAATCAAGTTCACACAGGGTGAGTCAAAAAGAAAGTGACCGAATTAGATTTTTTTTTAATATGTGGCTCTCTCCATTTCATAAAAAAAATAACACAGGGATAAAGTACCTGTTATTGACTTGTGACTGTGACGATTTCACGTGATTTGCATACTCTATTCCAAAGTTATGTCTATTTTAAGAAAAAGATCACAAAATCGAGCTGTCCACCACTGATCACCATCGAACTGAAGAATACCCATTAAATACAATGAAACACGGACGTTTTCCCACCTCCACGAATGAACAAAAACTTGAAAAGGAAAACGGACAAAAATCGCCATGAATATTTAGGGGGAAAAAAGTTGTCTTGCTCATCATATTCCAAACGCAAAGTCTGACAGTAGGCCTAAACCTAATGTTTCAGTCTTGACTTAAATTATTTAAACCCATTTGTGTTTGATTGCTTGTGTGTGATGAATTCTCACTCAGCTCAATAGCTTCCAATGACATTTCATGAACAGCTGTAAAAATGGGTTCTTTTAGTGAAACATGATTTAACTTCAGTTAGCATGGATCAATTTCAGTAATTCTTTGTTCACATGAGTGGAAGACCATGCTCTTTTAAGACATACTTCATTGGTGTATCAAATTTGATTGCTTTTTAAGAATCGTAAATCATAAATCCAGGTCACTTTCTTTTTGACTCACCCCGCAGTTGTGCCTGTTTTGTCTGTTTGGACCCACGAGAGACTGAATTACAGTGCTCAAGATTGATCATGCTCGTGTGGTAAGTCAGAGTTTTGAGTTGATCGTTTTCACGCTGACATGTTGTCGAGTCGTTTAGCTTCAAATTGCTAATTCGAAGTAAAATACCGTCCTCTTTGTGCACGATACACGTTAATTAACTATTAACTCATCGATGACTGTGTGATTCAGATGTACCCTTAAAGGGAATGTACAACATTTGCTTTTGCTGCAATTTTCAGAAATAAATGGATTTGGAGGATAAGTATGTTATAGAAAATATTGTTAAACTGACTTAATTCACGTTTTGGGCTTGTAGATGCTGGGAAAACGAAGAAAACCTATCATATTCTTGTAGTCTGGTTATACACTTTTGGGCATTTTAAGGTCAGAAAATAAGTCTAGGAAGCTTGAACCCCTTCACAGGTGTGTAATCAATTGCAAACAAAAGTCAGAATAACTAAATATGAAAAAGTAGGAACAGTTTTTGAAGAAAGCCAGTTTTCTCCAACGCTGGTCGGCCGACCAGCGTTGGAAAAATACAGTTTTTCTTGAAAATGACAGCACACCAGGAGCCACGGTTTTAAAGGATGCTTTAGGCTGTTCAGTAAGGTATTACGTGATAATTTGATCATTCCGTTCTTTGATGTTTGCAAATGTTGTATCTTCCCTTTAAGGAGATTGTTCCGTCTTAAGTTATACCTTTAAGGAGACAAGGTACACTAAGGAGACAATAATTTGAATGTCCCCCTATTTAGAGGCGAAATTGTAGCTAGATTGATGGCTCGTGGTCCAAAACATAAATGTACCAAAATTCGTTGGGGTAGGATAAGGTAACATGGGGGTAAGGGCTCATGAAAGCTGAGGGAAAAAAATATGTGCACAACCCTATGGGAATGTCTGCCTTAAGGTACTATTCTAGAAAACAAAATTGCATATTCGTGAGCAAAAGTGGCAGAGGCAGAAACCTCAATGTTACAGCTATTTCAGCACCAAAATTTGCCAGACATTTGGATAATTTGCTGTCGTTAATTTTCTCTTCTGTTATGATTCATTGTTTGTAAGCCAATGGGCAAAGTTTTCTCACAAATGTTTTCATGGGCAATTTTGGGTTCACAGTTTGAACAGAAAACCCCTAAACTGAACAGTGTCTTCCTGAAGTGACATCACAGCAACAGCGCCCTCATTTGTCAGGAAAAACATGGAAAATGTTTAAATGTTTAAAGAAGTGCACTTTTCAATAAGGGTAACCAAAAAGGGATGTCAAATAGTTTTCATACATTTAAGAGGAGAAGAAAGTTGCACAAGCTATGTTCCAAAGTAAAATTCATGTCATGAGCCCTATTTAAAAGTGTTGGTACCTGGAAAATCGCCATGCCATAGCCTCCCCACCCGCCCAGATTGGCTTACCTGTCGAGTGCTATGGCCGTCATTGTAATGATTGACATAAAGCCAAACAAGCCGCCTAAGAAACCGTAGATCTCGCAAACTGAAATGCATAAATAGAAGAAGCACATGTAGTGGAGACAAGTAATCAGAGAAAGTGCTATAAGGCCAAAAAAAGTATCCGGTTTCTGGTATGGAGCTTGCCCCAAAAGTGGTGCGGCGACGCGGGTTTGTTTGTTTGTTTTTTTACCCAACTTTTTTTTCTCTTCAAATGTCGGCTGATGTTGCAGATGACGCTTCGATCCCCTTAAAACTCTCAAAATATCCTTCAGAGTGCAACTTGAGGTGACCTCAGTATGGCCATAAGGCTTGAGAAGTATATTGAGCTAATTAAAAAGCGTTTACAGGTTCCAGATACACGACTATCGCTCCGTCAGTCTGGCTGCCAGACGCACCATTACAAAATTACAACACCGTCTGCAAATGGTGCCCGACTAAATTTAGTGCAAAATATATGAGAGCGCAGAGAGGCCATATAAAGCTTATACTCGATCGTAACCCCATCTAAAAACACGTTAAAATTGTGCAGCAGCAGGATTGCAGTCAAACCAGTGGGTTTGCCGGTTTTGAGACATCATCTTACATTGAAAAAAAAAAACCTTTTTAATTTTGCCGACGCGCATGGCTACGGCGACGCGCACGCATACCAGAAACCGGAGACTTTTTTGGGGCCTAAACTATAAGAATTTATTCCGAATCAGGTGACATATTTAGCTGTTCACGTGATATGTTTCACGCATGCGCATTCTGGTAATTGACTATAATTGGTTGCATAAATAAATAATTGCATCCGGGTCATATTAACCTAATTCTTTTCGGAGTCAATTATATGACACTGGGTCAAAATGACCCCTGGGAAATTGTTTCCGGTTTATTTTGATCCGGGATCCTCGGCAAAAGCGTCAAAAATGTATCTCTGTCTTAGACTAGAGTATAGATGTCACATTGTACACTCTTAAAAGTCCCAGATCACATTCGACCCAAATCCGGATCAAATATGACCTGACGCTTCGGGTAAAATGACATTTCTCCGGGTCATTTGACCGGAAGAAGTGGTACTTTGGCACACCCCAAAAATGTCAATTTGAACAAAAACCGTGTCATTTGTACACAAAAAAAAGGAGATATTTTGACCCGGATATCGGGATGTCCGGGTCGAATCTGATCCGGTGAGCATACAAGTTTTGGACTCTATGAGATATGTTCTCATCGGTTGTATTGCGCATGCCTTTCAGTGAAGATAATTCGGCAATGACAGGTCACGTGTGAGGTTTAGAGTCCATATAAGGTAAAAAAAAAAAAAAAAAAAAAATGATCAGATTCCACAGGAATCCAAATTTCTTATGACAATGGGACTTTATTTCCCGGTAGTTCTTACCCAAATCGCCGAAGAGCCATCTTCCTCGGATAGTCGATGCGAACATGAGGGGGAAGTTGGTGAGGACCATGGACAGATCACTGAATGCCAGGTTGACTATCAGCATATTGGGTGCCGTGCGCAGAGACTTGGTCCTGCAAATAGCCCAACAGAAAAATCATGGTCATGTGGTGATCTGTAAAATCCATGATAAAACCTTGGATAGATTTGTTATCTAAAAGTTGAAGGCATATTTAGTGGGGACTGTGGCCTAAACCCATCCGCTGAGTTCATGAATATGAAGTTATACCCTCAAAAAAATCTGTATTAGAGAGGTCTGAGAGCCATAAAATTGTGGAATTGAATAGATACGACAATGAACCCCTGGCCCGGACTTAAGGCTTCCAATTCTGAGCATTTTAGATGCAATTGGGCTCAAAATTGGCGCTATTTTGTAATGTTGTGGAGGGATCATTTTTCAAGATGACTACTTTTCCGCTTTGAGAAAAATAGGGGTCGTCTTCTTTGGGCGAAAATTTCTCGAAAATTCAATGGTCAACCCACCAGAAAATGAAAGGAAAATGAAAGATGACACATTGATCATCATTAAATTTTGTCTGCGCAGCTTCAATACCTGTGAGAGTTCAAAGTATTTTACCAAGAATTTGTGAAGTATGGGCATTTAGCACTGGTGTCTATGGGAATGTTAATGCAGGTGTGCTTCCTTTGGGTTTTGTTACTCATGAACAGAGGGTCAGGGGTTCGAATACAGCTGCTGGGAAGATGTTATGTCGTTGGGCAAGCCACCTCAGTCCCACTTGCCTATCTCCACAGGAGGTTTGTTTTCTTTTTAAAATTAAATTCTAATTGATTTCTCCATGGTAAAAACTGAATGAAGATAACATATTTAAAGAGAAAACACCAACAACACAAACCAACGAAAACAAGAGACAAAACAGAACAAAATTTAAACTCTTCACTCTGTTTTGTTTTCCAAAAATATTTTTTTACATCGCATTCCATCAATATTGATATATATATAAAACAAAAATATGATTGCATTGGAATTCGAAGCGAAATTCAATTTTGGCGTCAGAAGTACATTACGTATCGTGTGTGGATTGTTTTTCGATATCTTTTTTTTATGATAGAAATTGACAATAGACTATTTGCAATAGACTACTAATGCTGATAGCACAATGTTGAAATCTGTCCTTACTTTTGTTTTCAGCTGTTATAGAATTTCGTCTCTTTTTTGATTACGGTTTGATTTGGTGTATCCTTAATGAATATTGTAATTGATCGTGTCCTATGTGAATTCAATGATCATGCGTATGAATATGTTGTCCAAAACTACATTTCGCCAACTATAGATCTCGTTATAAAATGTCTGACTTCCCTCACATCCACTTTTTCAATTAATTGGTCCTCACAAAATTCCATGACTTTTGTCATTTTTTACAATTTTTCCATGACTTTTCTAGGCCTGGAAATTAAAAAAAAACATGCCTTTTCCACATCTTTTTCCAGCCCGCGGGAACCCTGAATTTCACACGAGGAGGTGCCGGCGTGTTTATTAAGAAAAGACAATCAGACAAGATTAGCTCATGATTTTTACAAGGTCTGCTATAATTCTAACTCTACGAGATTTGATTGATGATCTTGGTATCTGTAGGCCATAACTTCACATGCATCGTTGATTACAAATCATGTAAGGGAATTAGGTTTAAGATTGATGTGGCTCTCACCTGACGAATATCCAAATGGTGATGCCATTCCCAGCAATGCCAAAAATGAAGGCTATGAAGAGGAAGAAGGCCAGGCCGTAGTCCAGGAAGGGTGGCATGGGAGGCGGGCCGGCGGGCAGAGGGGTTGTCCCGGTGAGAGGGTCCAAGTTCCATGAAGTGTTCTCCATCTTGTCTGAAGTGTGTCCTTGGCCAAGTGAACGACTCTTCTACCGGAAACGAACTGAAGACTAGACGTGATATTATCAGTCTGGAGTACGTAGAGCCAGCGTCTGTCTTCTATTGTTGGATCGGTGTCTACATATATACGCCCAACACTCACTGACGGTATGCAACACACTGTGGAGTAGGCCTAATTATACCAAACAAACAATTAAATGGATTATCCACATTGAATAATTATGTTCGTGATCATAGAGCATATGGCTTTCGATTAAGCGTCAGCTCAACGGAAGTAAGGAATTTGAATGTAATAAATAGACCAAGGATTTTACATTTTACGAGGCGAGGCATGCATTCAAGTTGGTAAACGAATTATTGTTCCATCAGTAGTAACTAGTATTGCTCACGCAAGCTAGAGTCGATTTCAAGCATGCAATGTGAACAAGCTTGTTCCTCATCGCTTGTGTCGTAAACAAGTCTGTTCTGAACTGGCGATCGCGTGGTTTGGTCAAAAAGAAAAGAGAAAAAAAGGAAAATTAGAACATCGTAGTTCAAAAGTGAAGCCTTTAAACAATGATGCCGTATACAGGGTGTCCCCGAAAACAAAATGTGCAAGGAGATAGCCTTTAATTTATCAAAAACTGCTTTACATGAGTCTTTCATATTGATGGAACATATTAGTTGTACTCTTGTGTATAATCAGTGAAAATGCCATGGAAATCCGTTCATGCAAACCAGAAATCTAACATGATTGTAAAAGGCTATGGGTTTTTCACCCATTCCAGTGGGATTGACACAGTTAGCGATATCAGTGCATCAGATAGTCATGGGCCTTTACACTCTGATGTATATTAAGTAAAACTGTGCAAATCATGATTTCTTTGACATCGTTGGGCCTAGTATGCTGTCAATATATTTTTTTTTAAGAAAAGAGGTATGACCATGTCATTTCCTCACAATGGTTAGGTCCAAATCATTGCGCTGTCAACGGTCGGACCCTAAGCTTTGCGTAGAGAAAAAGGAAGATGCGTTTACAAGGTTTCTCAATGATACTGAGATGACATTTCGACATGTTTTTTTAATATTCTGCTTTAGATTTGTTGAATTGTTGTTCTCGAATTGGCAAAAATACTGCTTCTTTCTTGCTAATGATGTCCCGTTATAAGTTCCCCTGCAGAGTTTATTGATATTCCGGCGTGATTGAAGTAACATTTGATCCTTAAATCGTGACCACGTACTTCAAAGGAGTCTGGATTTAGAAAAGGCATTTTATATCTCAGCTTCACCATGGAGGAATAAGAACACAGTAAAATGAATGACTAACGTGGTAATGTTTTTGCTAGTGCACACTGTACTGCGCCCCGTCACGTCAGAGATTGTTAATGCTGTAACGACTGTTTTCACAAAACATTATGAAAAAGTATTAAAGTAATGCGGACGTAATACGCACGATCGTTCCGTGCTGCCGCTGAACAGATTGCGTCCAATAAAAACAGTCGTCACTAGGGACACTATTTTGGGACAAAGAGCGGCGATTTTGGCAACTGAACTACGCAGGGATTCCTAAACTTCTTCATTTTGTATATGGCATTTTCGAAATGACTTCCTCGTAGAAGTTGATTTCTCTTCACAAACGGAAATTAAGCTACTCGTTATTTCGTCATTCCGAGACATTCCGGCCCCGTCGATTCATAGAGCTACAAAACATAGCTCCATGGTCGATTGAAAACCAATCTCCTTGATTCACGCTACGTTTGGATAAACGTATCGTACCGACCATGTTACCATGGTTGCCTTACTTAAGGATCATGACATGGATTATACACTTAAACATAATTGGCCATCTTTTTCCCTAAATTCCAAAGAGTGAAATTAGGGACTAGACGTTTAAGAGTGAAAATCACTCTCATTTTAGATTGAAAAAGTCTGAAAAAAAGAACCACTTCAGTCGAAGCTGGAGTAAAAACTCGATCGTTTCGATTGAAGGAATTTCACTCTAAAACGTCTAGTCCCTAGTTTCCGACTGTGGGAGTGAATCTTCACTCGAATGTAGTGAATTTTCACTCTTTGGAATTTAGAGAGTACCACTCTTCTGAAATATATGAAACTATGAAACACCCCTTTTTTATTTAACTAGTTTGTCTGTATTAAAAGTGCACTTTGTTTTTAGACGTTTGACATGTTTTATGCTTTTTCTGACAACTGAGGGTGCCGTTAATGTGACGTCATTCAAGGCACGAGCTCTTCAATTTTCAGGGTTAACTGCTCGAAATTGTGAACCGAAACTTTGCTCATTGAAAACATGTTTGCTAAGGTTTACTCAGTGACTTACCGTCATAAACTGAAACAACAGCCGATCACCAAAACGGGAATTTACCTCAGACTGCAAACAACAAATCTGGCAAATTTAACACCCAATTTTTTTTTTAATTCCTTGTTCACCCCTGCGTTGGCTATAAATGTCACGACACATAGGCAGTCTCTGCCCTCGTCAATGCAAACCCGGCCCATGCTCTGTCAAGGATTCCGCCATTACGGCTCGTTACGCTCCGCTATTTATGACTTAGACATTAAACACAGTTTTCAACACTGCACTATTTTGTTCCAGCGGTATGGTGGCCCTGAAGAGATGCCAAAGAAGTTACTGTATCTGTGGTTTAAATGTTTATGAGAACGACTTTGTAGCAAGAGTAATTTCAATGTCGTAATCGATTGCGCCGGTGCAGTAAGGCCAAAAAAAAAAAAAAAAATCGGTCTCTGGTCAGACCGAGGTTCCGGAATTGATGCGGCGACGCTTTTTTTTGGGGGGGGGGGTTGGCTTTTTTTTTCAAGCTTGAATTGTACAGACAAGGTGAGTACTTTTTTGCTTTTTTGTGTCCTCATTATACATTGGTGTCCTCCATAATTTGCATTGGTGCCCTTTATCGTTTGCCTTGGTACAATTTCCCCATTCCCAAAAATTTGAGGAGGTGCGGCAATAGAGGGCGCTGTTGTAGCTTCCGTGTTAATTTGAAGGGAAAAAAAGGTTGACGCGCATGATTAAAATCGACGCGCGCGCTGACCAGAGACCGAATATTTTTTTTTGGCCTAATAATGAGTTTATGCACAAACGGGATTGCGTATTAACAGATGGTCTTAAAAGAAGTATAGTACATAGTATTGATTTTGGAATTGTCCGAAAAGAGGGCTTTCTTTATTTAATATTATGCAAATTAATTGTAATTAGTCTTTTGCAATTACACAATCTGCGGACAGGAGCAGCTTGAGTTGCATGTTTAAAATGCAGTGTTTTCAACAATTTTCGACATTGTTTATCCCACCACGATACAGACAATCGAATGAGAATCTTCCCTTGAGCGTAAATTATTTCATTTTATCCAGTCAATAACGCAGACAATTTTTACCAGGAGTGGCGTCACTGTAATCGTGTCCAATTCATTTGTGGACAAGTGAATCAATATCGCCTCATGTTTGACATTTCACTATATATTTTGTTGCCACATATTTGTCAATGACATTCTCTCAAGAGAGATATTAACACGGCGACAAAACGACCGCAACCCAGGCGCGGTTCTACGGGGGGGGGGGGGGGGGGGGGGGCTAGGGGGGCTTTAGCCCCCCCCCCCCCATTTTGTCTAGCCCCCAAAATAAATTCCGTAAAAAAAAATTGCATTAGCAAAAACGGTCCCCCCTAAAGAAATAGTCTCGACAAGGGTGCATTTGTTGTTAATATAGTGTGAATGATTTTAGGATTTTATTGGCGCTCCCCATTGAAAATATGGCATGACACCCCCCCCCACCTATTGATTTTCGGAGGCCTAAGTGTCTGAAGAAAATAACCGGTCTACATTTCAGCACGCCTCCTTGAAAAAAATTCTGGATCCACCCTGCTAGCCCCCCCCCCCCAACAAAAAAATATTGGTTCTAGAACCGCGCCTGCCGCAACCGTTATCCACTTCGTTCATATAACAGTGTTTTAGTCTTCACAGTACAGACACGTGCAGTGACGGGTTTCTAAAGTATATTTAGTGTCTGGCCCTTGGTATGTGAAGCACGAAGGGTGAGCGACAGGCATGCATAACAGCTGGTTTTATTTTTAGATTTTACCTGAATATTAAAGAAATAAAACAAAATCTATTATCCCCGTTTCCCCAATTTTTAAAATCGTAAAAATAAAGGACTTACACTCGTAAGAGTCCGAGTCAGATGATCCAGAATCCGCGTTGTTATTGAACTGATACTTTTCAGGGTCAAAAATGACACTTTTCCGGATCAAAATGACACTTCGCTTGATCATTTTCTGGGTCATTTGACCGGCAACTTTGAGAAAAGTGTCAAGTAAAACCCGGATTCCCGCGTCGAATCTTAGTACACGGAAAATGGTCTGGGAACAGTGTAATTTTGACCCGGATAAAACACGGCTTTTTATTCTTACTTTGAAAACACGCTAATTGTTTAACTCGCAATGTGTTCACCAGATCCGAAGGGAATAGGCCTACTGTAAACAAATTAGGGGAGGGGGCTGATGAACGTCCTTACTCGCAGCTGAGAAGCTGCATTGCGAAGGACGCGGCTACTGAACGTGGTCGAGTCGAAGGCATGTAAAGGAGCCTTAGGCAGCCGCCATTCGACCCATGTGTGACCTCAGAGCACAGCCTGAGATCGTAAGTGTTGATTTTTGCGGAGGGAGGAAAACCGGAGAAAGTGGCACACGAGAGAATCAACGAACAACTCTACTCATTATGGTCCGAGCCGGGAATCGAACCCGGGCCACAGTGGCGAGAGGCAAGCGCTTTACGCACTGGCCACCCCGAGTCCTTCCTGCTTTCTGGGTTTCACTCGGAAAATAGATCACATCCGCAAGCGCGCACACACTCAAACCAAACTTGAAACACCAATTCGAACGAACATTGGAAGTCGAACGAACATCATAAGAATTGCACTCAAAGGCATAAAAGATAATTGCTCAATTTCTGCATTTTCGTTTGTTTCCAATAATAACACCACTCAAAATCCAAAGAAGAATGTTCAAAACCTAACCTGTTGAAGTTTTAGCCTGGGCCAGTGGATAGGCCTACAAGCCTTTTTCCAGAAAATTTCGAGAAACAGTGAAAAACAGTGCACAACCTTTCAAATCGCGAAACACGATTTTGTCTACACGGCACTCTATATAATTAAAAAAAATCAGTCGATTGACTGATCGCTGGAAATCACCCACATTTCTTGATTTCTTCTAAATGCCAGCAATCCAGATGGACTAATTTCACAGGGTGTTTAGTACCAGTACGAGCTTAAATCCAGGTAAGATTATTGATAATATTCGGTAAGTTACTTTTAGGATAAGATAACAAATGATCTTATTATAAATGCATTGACTAGCCTACAACTTACCGTGCCGGATAAGCCTTTCGCACTCACAATTCTGAACATGGAGCATTAAAACGAGTCCATGTTAAACGAATCCCTCCCAGTATCTGACCTAACTTTGGTTAGGAAAGTAGACAACCAAAATCCTCAACCAACAAAAGAAAAACCGGGTTTTACGGGCCTCGATGGATACGTTTACTGTACTTCTTCCGACCGAGCGCCTAAGCAAGTAACTCAAGTCGCCGCTGCGCCTGACTAGAAATGACAAGAATACTTATTCTCCCAGGGAGTGCAGTTACACGTATACTCGTGCATTCCATTTCCTGGCCAATGTTGGTTTGATGACTTAAACTCCGGCAGAGCGATACCATGTTGAAACCAGACCCAAAACTTAACCACGAAAAAAAATCCCAAAGCCAATGAATTCCGACTTACCTCTAGTGTGCATCGGCGTTAGAAGTGGAAAGTAGAATAACACTCCCTTGTGTCACATGTAAGCGATGAAGCATCATCAACATCGTCATCAGTAGTTCCTCATCATCTTGACATCTTCACATCTTCGCATCTTCTCGTTTCTCCTGTCCGTCACCTCCAAGCATCTGAGCTCCTCAACAACGTACCCGGTCCCACTCTCTCATCTCAGTGAACGATTTGCCTGCAGGTTCTAGAGTTATATATATGCATATCCTCACTCATCCTCGATCGACCGCAATCTTATCTCGGCAATGCTTTTAGCGCGGAGCGGGACACAGCTGTGAATACCGACGCATGGATGATGCGGCAGCAAAAAAGTGAAGATAAAAACTCCATCAGCGCCGGCTTTATGCCTTTAACACCACCTGTGAACAATTTTGTTTTCCTGAATAATAACCTCACCCGATTTATTAAATAATTTCTTTTGTGTGTGTGTGATATCGTACAAATGTAAAAGTACCAGGGTCAATCACTTCTGAGACAAGTAAAATCGATAACGATACTTCGAAAGTAATCGATTTCGTTCGATCGACATCGATACCCACTGCAATCTAGCGCGATTGACAACTCAATTTGGTACCTTTCAAGTATGGGTAAAATCTGCGTTGTTTGAATTAGATTCACTAATTGAAAACTGATCCGACTTCAATTATTAAAAGGTCCATGAGATGATTTTTTTCTTAGGAACACATTTTTTTTTGCAACTTTGTACTCCTCTTAAAAATGTCTGAAAACATTCCTTTTTTGGTTAATTTTCTTAGAAAGTGCACTTCTTTCAACATTAAAAAAACTGAGGGCGCTGTTTCTGTGATGTCATTTCAGGAAGACACTGTTTAGTTTAGGGGTTTTGTGTTCAAATTATGAACCAAAAAAAATGTGCTCATTGAAAGCATTTGTTAGAAATGTTTACTCATTGGCTTACTGCCATGTGCTGTCAAAACAAGGATCACTAAAGAAAAGGAAATGTACAAACAGCAAAATATCTCCGAGAGTGTACACCCAAGATCACCGAATTATTACAAACAAAACCTATCGAATGAATTGAAATTGTTTGAATTGTCTCTCTCTCTCTCTTGAGTCATCCGATGCATTGAGGCGTTGGTGGAGTATTCACTAAGTCCGTTCGTCAGCGTATAGTGGTGTTCCCTAACGTGGCGCACTTCGAAGCTTACCCGACTTTCCTCGTGTAGTGTTGCCAAACCTCTTTGTTGACAAACCTCAAATTCACGCAGTAAAATACTGGTACTGTTACCTTATTAATGCTTGCTATTTAACCTCTGTGAACAATTTCGGTTTCATAAAATTTAATCCGAAATTCAAAAACGGTGGCGTCCGGAAATTGGGCACAAATTCGCGGAGTGTTCCCTAACGTGGCGCACTTAAATACATCTCGGAAAATTCCAAATTAACATTTAAGAATTTCTGTTAACTTGATAAATTCTGATAAATCATTATTATCTCTACTTACATACCCAGCCAGATGTTTGTCAGAAAATTATTTTCTTATTTTTCGGGGCATTTTTCAAAGGGTTCACTTTGCACTTGAAAATAAAATCGACAAATCACGCCAAAATAAATTTTTCTTCTAACTTTGTAACGGGTAAATAAACTCGCGATTTATGAACGGGAGTGTTTAGAACTTGATGAAATGTCACTTTCTGTGAAATTTCAGTTAAAACTTTTGCTCTAGCTAGGCGCTACAGGCAAAAAATCAAAGTGCGCCACGTTGGGGGCCGCGCCACGTTAGGGTACATCAACAATACTCTGTCCCTCATGCATTGCCGACAGTAGCTCGTTTCCCTCGAGCCCAGTATCCTTCTCCAGGAGCGTCTTTAGGGTGATGTGTGGTCGGCCGACTCGGCGCTTCGCCTCGGGCGACCATAGCGTCCTAGTTCAGCTGAATTGAATAACCCTCAATTCAGCCCATCTGCATGTTAGCTTTTTTTGACCAAAAAAGGTTATAATCAGATTAAAGCTTCACGGTAATTTTAAAGGTGATGGACCATCTATGATGGCCGTTACTTTGATGAAAAAGATAATATCCCTGACTCAAAATGCCGCTATCTGCGAGATCTAAATTGCATTTTGACTGTAGATTACGAAATCACTCGTTAATGGAAAATTGAAATCAAAATCTTAATTGGCTGGCAGGTCACGACAAAGTTTAGGTCATTCGTTGTTTCTCTATTTCTATAAGATTGTGACTTAACATTTCTGGCTTTATATGTTAAGGTGTGAAAAGAGTTAAAAGGTTCACGATTTGCAGTACCGAATTACAACCAAAAAGCTTACTTGGATTAAAGATCGTACTGGCACTAAACACTCCGTGAAATTATTCCGTCTGGCTTGCTGTCATTCAGTGGCGTCGCCAAGGGGGGGCCAGGGGGGGGCACGTGCCCCCCTGGAAAACCTAGTGCCCCCCCCCGAGTGCCCCCCCCCCCATCAAATGCTGGTGCCCCCCTATCCTCTGCAAAATTCTGCGCGTTGTTAAAATCATTACCTCAAAAATAGCAATTTCTGGAGATATCTTCAGATCGAATTTAGCATCAAATGTGGCACCATTTTGCATCTAGCCCATCCTCCGTATGCGAATATTTTCCAAAGGGGAGGGGGGCACCCCCTCCCCTTAGACCCCTCCCCCAGGACGGCGATCCGTATCCACCTAAGTGCCCCCCCCCCATCAAATGCTGGTGCCCCCCCCCCCCCTGTGCCCCCCCCCCCCCAGACTGAAAAGTCTGGTGACGCCACTGCTGTCATTTGGAAGAAATCAAGAAATGTAGGTGATTTCCAACGATCAGTCACTTGACTATTGTTTTTAAAATAGTGCTTTGGACGAAATCGTGTTTCAAGATCCAGAGGTCACCACCCCCTTGGCAACAGTGAAGTTATAACATGCTGCAAGTGATAACATAACAGCATCCTATGGATGGTCACACGCAGGAATGGCCTTGGCATCCAGTAATCAACACCTACTGACCACGACCTGCAAGCCGTTAGCTAGGTGGATCAATTACAGCTGACCACAAGTAGCCACTCCTATCAGTCTAAAATACCCGCTGCAGGCACTACATGCTACATTAGGCTTGAACCTCAGAAACTGAGGTTCGAAAAAATAGATTGGGTTCTGTTCTCAGTGTAATGTTGTGCATGGGTTTTCATTGTTTTGTTTTGTTTTTTCGAAAAGTGTAATATCCACTGATTTCGTTAGGTTTCGAACATTCGTCTTTTGGCTTTTGAGTGTTATTGTTATTGTAAACGAACAAAATGTATGCAAAGCAAATAATTCTAGTGAATTTAAAAGAAACAACGTGAAGGCTTAGTGTATATAAACTGACTGACTGATTGACTGACTGACTGACTGACCGATCATAGCTTTGTGTGGCAGGATTTTGGTGTCTCTAAAAATAACATTTAAAAGAAATACCGATAATCAAAAGTTTACTGGCCTCGAGTCAGTTAAGCCAGGACCAACTGTATTTACAACTTCGTTTGTAATAGAGAGCAGGTAATGGGAGTGTACTGCATGCTCGCAGTCGCAACGAGGTTGGGGACAGCCGAAGTTCTTGAGGGCGCCCTTCACTTAATTACTTGAGGAATGATCTTTCCGTGTAAGCGAACAATCAAATGCCGTATACAAACGTGCATGTCATCCTCGCATTTTAATCGCGAAATTTTCGGATTTCGTGCAGAATTTTCAGCGACAAAACACCGAACATTTGCCGTACAATAACCACGATGAAAGTCTGCGTCACGACCATCGCTGGGGATGTGTTCACGTTGGACGTCAGTGCGGAATTAGAACTGATAAATTTCAAAGCGCTCTGCGAGTTTGAATGCCGTGTGCCGAGCGATCAGTGTGCTGTGATTCACGATGGAGTGTTGTTGAACGAGCCTATGAAGACACTAGGGGCGTATGGAGTCAAAGACGGCGATATGATCCTGCTTCAACAGACCCAACAACCAGCTCCAACACAACAAGGTAGAATTTGGAGTTTATATATTAAGTAGTCAAGAAATTTGGGACTTGGTACTGCATTGTACTGTGTATGATAGTAATATTGAAAACATAAAATTTTAAAAAATTACAATACAAGAAAATAGACTGGCACCTGAAACAACCAGTCCAACAACCCTTCAGTACTGCATCAATCAACTGTGCCAAAAGAAACATCTTGCATGTTTGGTACTAGTCTCGGAAAAACATGTTGCAACCTGACGCCGTCTATGGAGAGTCAAGCCAATTTTTCTAAGAATTTCTTAACAAAATTGGAAATGTTTCTCAGTCCCAGATTCATGTCTTATCATCATTTTTGCAATGACGGACCTTCATTATGATAATGGATGAAGAAAAAGTGGCGTCAGGTTGCACAATTTTTCCCCCTAGTCTCTGTTTCTACACATTTCTCCATAGTCAGATAGTCAGCCACATTTTGCAATTTGTCATCGAATCAAAAAGAAGATGGAAACAAAAGTTGGAGCATACAAAACAACTTAAACCATGGTGCCGTTAAAAAAAACTTGAAAGTTTGCATTTACTTCAAAACAAGATCTTTTCTTTGATTTCGTTGGTACCCCGTTATGATTTTGCATGCGTATGGCAAAGTGTTTATCCACAAAAGTAACTTGTTGAATCTTAATGTGCACATGCGCAGTAATATATCTTATGTGGCTTAATACACTGTACATGTATGTTTATGACAATGAGAAATGTAATTTGGCCAGGTTGGAAAGAGCTCCGTATCCGGCCGCCACTTTTTTCAATAAATTTTGAAGCGCCTAAAAGTTTTGTCCTACATCGTTGTTTTCCCACATTCCCTCCTTGACTGTCACCCCTCTCCTTACCTACTTCTACATGTAGTTACTTACGGACGTTATTCATTGGTCTTGCTGAAAATTGAACCAGGAGGGGGAGAAACTTTCTAATTAAACACATTTGATGAATGTGAGGTGCCCTTTGAAATAAGACTGGAATATTTGATAAGTTAAATATTCATAAGAAATTCAATATTCATGGTGAGGTATCGCATGTTATTGCTAGCTTATGTCATGCACACCGCATACTTCCTGACTCTTCAATATGGCTGTGTACACAATCGGTTGTCCAAACGATGTGTGCACCCAAAATGTGCCCTAAAAACGAATTTTTCCTAAGACTCTTCCCTGTAAGCCCACATCAATAAGTACATATTTAACCGATTTCAATCAAATTCTTCTGTTTGTAGGTAATCCCGGTGCATTTAATTTGGACTTCAGTCAGATCCAAGTTCCCGGCACGTCCCGACCCTCAGGACAGCAGCCCAGGCTGCCCCCCTTACAGCAGGCCCAGCAGCAGGCCGAGGCCGGCGCCGAGAACGACCCAGCGAAACTCCGAGAGATGCTGCTGTCCAATCCCCACCAGTTGTCGCTTCTCAAAGAGCGCAATAAACCCTTAGCCGATGCGCTCTTGAGTGGAAATCTCGGTAAGAAGGTGGCTTGTGATGACTTATGACTGGTTATGACTTGTTATGACTAGTGACAGCTTATGTTGACTTATGATGACTTGTGATGACTTATGACTTGTTATGACTTGTGACGGCTTATGATGACTTGTGATGACTTATGACTTGTTATGACTTGTGACAGCTTATGATGACTTGTGATGACTTATGACTTGTTATGACTTGTGATGACTAATGATGGCTTATGAAGACTTGTGATGACTTTAAAGACGTGTGTCTGTATGACTTTGTTATTGCTTTTAATGTCTTATGATGACTTGTGATGGCTTAAGATGATGTAAGATGGTCCCCCGTTGTTATTACGTTTCTTGTCTGTTCCTTGACAGATGCGTTCACCGAGGTGCTGGAAAAGCAAAGGAAAGAACGAGCAGAGCGAGAATTGATGCAAATACGAATGATGAATGCCGATCCGTTTGATCCCGACGCTCAACAACAAATCGCAGAAACGATCAGGTACGTGCATCTCCGTAACATCCGTCTTGGGTCAAAACATCGTTGTTCTATATTGGATACGCGATCACCCCACTATAGAGCGGGTTGCCAAAATGTAGCGCTATCACCCACGAATCGCTATCACAACAACGTCTCAGGAATCTTGTAGGGGTCATGGCATTCTCGCGTCACCTGTTTTGCCTAACGTATTAGCCCTGAACCAAACGCCAAAATTTCAGCCAGCAGCGTACAACATGCTACCAGACTTTTGTACAACTTTATGGCAGCTTGTTTGTCTTTATGTAGTACGCGTGCGACCAACAATGAACCATAATTGCCTGCAGAAGTAGCGCATGCACACTCGTTGCCCCAATTTTTCAGGGGAAGATTTTACAAGATTCCTAAGACATTTTTGCGACAGCGGTTCGTAGGTGATAGTGATCCTTGTGATCATGCCCTCTTTCGGCAAATGATCTCATATCTTGGCCCAAGTCTATTGTAACATCTGATATGGTTTGAAGGTTTGCATAGTGAAATATGCAACAAGTTCACGGTTGCCTTGTGTGACAAGAATTTTCTTCGTGAGTTTGTGGAGTTTTGAAAAGAGCCGGGGAAACTCAACGTGTCGGACAGCATGCTCTGCCCGCCATTAGGAGACGGTCATCCAGAGATCTCTTGTGAAGTGGTGTGACTGTAAAGTTATTCTCATCTGTAACATCTGTTTTGAATTTGAAAGTGAAAGCTGTTTTGAGGCAATTCCAGCATTAGGCCAAAAAAAAAAGTCTCCGGTTTCTGGTATGCGCGCGCGTCGCCGTAGCCATGCGCGTCGGTAAAATGAAACAGTTTTTTTTTCAATGAAAGATGATGTCTCAAAACCGCCAAACTCACTGGTTTGACTGGAATCCTGCTGCTGCACAATTTTAACGTGTTTTTAGATGGGGTTACGATCGAGCATAAGCTTTATGTGGCCTCTCTGGACTCCCATATATTTGCACTAAGTTTAGTCGGGCACCATTGCAGTCATCAGCTGACATTTGAAGCAAAAAATTCAGGTAAAAATTTTAAAAAGCCGCGTCGCCGCACCGCTTTTTGGGCAAGCTCCATACCAGAAACCGGAGACTTTTTTTTTTTGGCCTTATGAAAGTAAATGTAATGTCCGTGACAGAGCCAATTAACCATGCTATTTAATTAGTGATTCAGAGAAATGATCTCAAACTCCTATTTTGGGAGGTTTTGTTATCACATATTCGCCCTGAACAAAGCTATGAGCCACGTCAGGTACAGGGCTACAAGAGAAATCTAAAGAAAAGTAGGTACTCAGGAAAACCGAAGGAAGGAATTAAGATTCCTCTTGAAACAGATCATAGGATGGAGGGAAACAAGTCTATAATCTCCTTGACCTTTACTAGATGATGGATGTATAAGATTTGAAAAAGACAAGTTCAGGTTTATTCACTGAACTCTTAAAGATATAGTCCATCATTTGTAATTTGTGCATTTTGTTCGTTTGAAGCAACAAAAGTGTTCAAAATCTAATGAAGGATACTGAACAACTAACCTGATGAAGTTTCAGCTCAGCTTCAGCTGTATATTCCGAGAAAAACAGCATTCTAGGATCTCAATTTCAAATCAAAAGTTGCTGAATCACGTTTTGAATTGGGCCTGAATTCAGCGTCCGAGACGCGTTCTCACTGAGCCGATTGCAGCTATACGCGATGTCGCGCAATGATCCGACAAATTATAGCAACCGGGCGCGCGTGTGCGTCGTGCCAATGCTTGCGCACGCTTCGCCGAATAACAAAACCGTTGGAAAGGCCTTATTTTGTTGATTACTTCAAAATGACAGCTTGCCAGAAAGAATAATTTCACAGGGAGTTTAGTCCCCTTACTATCTTTCAACCATGTACGTTTTTCAACAATAATTACGCCAGTTACTTTTCGGATGGCTGCAAATGATGGACTATAGCTTTAAAGCCTTGCTGGAATTGCCCTTGTTTTTGTCAGGACCCCTGTCTACCTTGTGATGTTTTATCTGTGGAAGGACGTCAAGATAAAGAAATGATGTGACTCAAGGACATTTGAAAATTTATTTCTTTTTAAGGTTGAAGAACGTGGATGCTAACATGGAAACGGCAATGGAGCATGCTCCAGAGAGCTTCGGTCAAGTTGTCATGCTGTATATCGACGTGAATGTCAATAGTCATCCTGTCAAAGCATTTGTAGATTCTGGTGAGTCATTCGTGTAAACCCTCGCCTTTTTGAGGTTTTGAAGAGAATTGTACTGAATAATAATAATAATAATAATAGCAGGTTCTTATATAGTGCTTTTAACTAAGATCAAAGCGCTTTACATTATTATTACCCCTAATCATCGTGCCAATTAAACATTCCATATACCATCTCATCTCCCTGGGGAGTATACAGCTCGATGCAGCCTGTTAGGCACAAGGGGATTTGGGATTGGGTTTCCAGTCCCTACCTGATTCCGTGGATTTTCCTCGGAATATCCTTCTGGGGTTTTCCTCCCACATCGAAAACTGTAACTTCTTCACATTGTCTTCTCTTTACTGGGACCCATGGGAGACCAGTGGATTCCACTGAATAGGTTATCTACCAAAATAAGAAATAAAAAAATTATTAAATAAAACAAGTCTTGCGCGGTTATTTCATCTGGTACACTATGGGAAGTGCAGGAGGGGCCTCGTAGCCGAGCGGCTAGAGCGTGGAGCTACGGAGTGGAAGGTTGGCGGTTCGAATCCCATTCGGACCAAAAACTGGAAAACTCTTTCTGACGACTAAACAGTAAAATGGGTGCCTGATTCGTTCAGGGAAGTTAAGATGGCGAGAGGAGAGGACTGGGCACCGCCACTCATATGCCGCGCTCAAGACACAGTGGACCTCTAACATCCCACTGCCCCTACAGCCAGTAATGGCTATGGGTACCTTTACCTTTTACTATGGGAAATGTGCATTTCAAATCAAAATGCTAAGATGTATAAATGGGTTATGGCAAAACAACCACACAAAACGGTGATATAACCAGCTAGTTTTTCCGAGAGGCATACATGTACGTATCCCGTACCGGCACTATTCCTAATGACCCCTATTTTGCTCTCTCTCGGACAGTGAGGGAAATTCAAAGTCCAGGATTTGTTCTCTTTCAGGGGCCCAGATGACGATTATGAGTCAAGCCTGTGCGGAGCGGTGTAACATCATGCGTCTGGTTGACAAACGATGGGCGGGCATCGCTAAAGGGGTCGGAATACAGAAAATCATCGGCAGAGTTCATTTAGGTAAGACACTACCGTTTATGGGTGGCTAGTGCGTAAAGCGCTGGCCTCTCACTACTGTGGCCTGGGTTCGATTCCCGACTGTGGACCATATAGCCCTTTTCACACTAGAGCCTTTCAACCCGGGTTGAACTCAACCCTGGGCAAACTCAGTGCTGCCCCGGGTTGAGTTTTTTCTATTTTTCAACCCCACATCTTTTCACACTTGTTTCATGCAAATCAAGCTTATCATGCTCAGTTACTACTGTTTTGAACCCTGGCAAGATTTTCAACCCGGCTTGAAAATCTCGACCCTGGTCTGGAGCAGGGTTGAGTTCAACCCAGGGCAAAATCAATTTTGGGGTTGACGCAGGGTTGACGTAGGGTTGAAATTCTTCAAGTGTGAAATGATGCATATTTTCAACCCTGCGTCAACCCTGAGATTTGTGTAGTGTGAAAAGGGCTTAAGTAAGTAGAGTTGTGCATTGATTCTCTCCTGTGCCATGTGGGTTTTTCTCCGGGCCCTCCGGTTTTCCTCCCTCCGAAAAATCAAACACTCCTGATCTCTGGCCGTGCTTCGTGGTCATTTATGGGTGGATGTGGCTGGCTGCCAAAGGCGCCAGTACATGCCAGTTTGGCTGGTTGGGGATCGTTAAGAGTCAAACCACAGTCCAGTTATTTTCTGTTTTGTTAATTCAAATAGGAAAGATTCAAATTGTTTAAAGGTATAGTCCATCATTTGTAATTTGTGCATTTTGTTCGTTTGAAGCAACAAAAGTGCTCAAAATCTAAAGAATGATGCTGAACAACTAACCTGATGAAGTTTCAGCTCAGGTTCAGCTGTATATTTTGAGAAAAACAACATTCTAGGATCTCTATTTCAAATCAAAAGTTGCTGAATCTGTTTTGAATTGGGCCTGAATTCAGCGTCTTAGACACGTTCTCACTGAGCTGATTGCAGCTACGTGATGTCGCACAGTGATCCGACGAATTACAGCAACCGCGCGCGCGTGTGCGTTGTGTCAACTCTTGCTCGCGCTTCGCCGATTAAAAAAAAAAACTACTAACGGAAATTTCCAACGGTAGAAGGCTTTCTTTCGTTGATTTCTTCAAAATGACAGCTTGCAAGAAAGAATAATTTCACAGGGAGTTTAGTCCCCTTACTATCTTTCAACCAAGTGTGTTTTTCAACAATAATTACGCCAGTTACTTTTTGGATATCTGCAATTGATGGACTCTGACTTTAATTTAAATTTTATTTTTTAGGACAAATTCAAATAGGACCAGATTTCTTGCAGTCATCGTTTGCCATTCTCGAGGATCAACCAATGGATATGCTTCTAGGTCTGGACATGCTGAAACGACACCAGGTACGTAGCCACTGGGTCATTCTATAAATTTGGGGTCCACTTGTTCCCTGTTCCAGTTACATCTGACATTTCGTCACCGGTTTCACGAAGGGACGGGTATGTGGATTTTTAAGAAAAATTGTTTTCGAGATATTCGCAAGAGAAGTTTCTCCATTTTTAAAACTGCAAAAACTACTACATGTACTTTCCAACAACTTTATGCAATAAGAAAACCTTGACGTAATTCTGTGATAGGTAAACTTTAATTTGAACCCGGTAATTATAATTAATATAGTGGTTAAAAAGCTGAAATTAATTATTCATAAATACCTAAGACAGTTTATGCATTCCTATTGGTCGAGAGCCCGTCACGTGGCCAGTCTTAAACGGATGATAAAGACATGGCTAGCTGGTCTCAAACACTTTTCCAGTGTCACAATAAAATGTGGACTCCTAAAAATCCAGTGCCTCTTACCGTTTCATTGGTTGAACGTTCACAATCCTCACCTAGGCATGCGCAACACTATCAGGGAGTCAGAATTATATAGTTCTAAATTCAAAACGCAACGCGCCAGGTGCGTTCTGCGCAACATCGCGCAGAACATGATACGCGCGCGTCAATCTCCATAAAAGGGTTGTTTTCTTACTCGCCAGCTGAACACTCCATTATTTTGCAAGAGGGATGTTTCAAAAAGCATAAAGTGAATTTGTTGAACAAAATCGGGATGTTTAGAACGAATTATATGATTTTTTTTTACCGAAAAGGTATTTATGAATGGGAATAAATATGTGCTCCGTCGGTATTTATCACTCTGTTTAAGACCACTTAGAGTCTGGGTGCTGATAATTACCCCCGCCTCCGGCTCAGGTAATTATCAGCACCCAGACTCTAAGCGGTCTTAAACATAGTGATAAAAACCTCCGGAGCACACATTTATTCCCTTAGTAAAGATGCCTGTCCCTTCGTGAAAATGAAAATCTCACATTTCAACATTTACGCCCTTCTTGTTCAACATGTTTTTCCATAAGGAAAAATTACCCGCGATTACCTGCGCACAGCTGAGAATGTAACAAAGATGTCCGTCCCTTCGTGAAATCAAAAATCTCTGTTGACCTACTTTTACGCCTTTCCTTGCAATAGGTTTTGTACGTGGTCAAGGGGCAGGCATGTTCGCGTCTCTTCGTGAAATCGCAAAATGCAATCATCGAGATGCCTGCCCCTGGCGTCATTAATGTTATTCAGGAATTAATGATGTTTTGCTTGCGGAAACATGTCAGAATGCTTAAGTACCATGTTTTAAAGCAAAATAGTGAAAAAAACTTGAAATCCAAAAAATTGTCAAATTTGACATGCCCGCCCCTTCGTGAAACTGGTGACGATTTATGAGCCTGGGGGTCGATAGATTGGGGGTTTGAGGGATGTGACTAGTGGCGTGCATTTATGGGTAGCAGGACACCCGGTACCCTATTCAAGCAAAACTTGAGTTCCTGTAAAAGAAACCCAACCCCAAAATTCAAATCCCGGAGGTTGTCTGAAGGGCTTTAGCTTTACGGTGTGACTGCAACTTTTGCGAGCGTCATCTGGTGCTCGTTGGAATGCTCGTAAATGTTAAATCTGTTTTGATTTTTAATATAGCCTGGTTTTCATTTTTGAAAATTCCCACAAAATGGCATTCAAAACCTTTCTTTGACATTATCTGAGAAGTAACTGTTTTAATTTGGAAAGTTATTATGGGTACACGATCTCATAATCTGGAACCGGTTCCTGACATCAGCGGTCGGGTACCCGGGTACCAGGAACCGACGCACACCCCTAGATGTGATAACCCCCCCCCCCCATTAATTGTTTTCATCTGCAAAATTGTCCTGTCAGCAAAATTGTCCATCGGCAAATTTGCCGGGATGAACGCGCCACCTATTGTCCAATAGTGTCCATGACCGTCCGCTTTGATCAGCGTCCCCTGTAGCAAGATAATGCCCCTACCCACTCCCCCCCCCCTCGATTCTGTCTACCTTTTTGCACTGACAGTTGTCACACCCCCCCCCCCCCACCTAATTGTCCTCCAAGAGTGAGTACGAATAGCAAACTACTTGACCTACAAATTAAAATTGAAGTCATTCTTACTGACAATTGAATGGAAAATTACAAAGTACCAAGGTAACGGGGACAGGAAACAGGTCGCCCTTTGGACCCTAGATTTATCAAAAGACTTATTGTGTATCATAAAAAGTTGGACTCTTGAACACCATAACACATGCTTTTTTTTAGTAGCACGTGGTTACTATGGCAACCTTTGCAAAACATCCATTAGTACCGCCTGTCCTTGGCTTTTGCGCGGAGGCCACACAAACCGGCTTTTCTAATCTCCTTTGGGGCCCCATAATCCACACTCATTGATCTTCCAACAGTCCTGAATCCTCCAATTTTAATATGATTTTGCACACTCCCTAGGGAGTTAGGGTTAATGCTGTAATCTTTTTGAATGTTAATTTTTATCCTTTGTGACTTTTTTCCCCCTACGATCAGTGTTGTATAGACCTCAAGAATTACATTCTGAAGATTGGTACCACGGGAACAGAGACGCCGTTCCTGGGCGAGGCCGAGCTGCCGGCCTGCGCCCGGTTGAATCGGTCGGAGTCCCTGGAGAATACCTCCATGGAATCTGAGGACAAACAGCTCGCTGAGGCGCTGAACAGATCGGCACAAGACGCTGCAGGTATGTCTTTACTCATACTTGAAATGGCTGAAGTTAAATTTGTGACCTTTTAGCACATAACCAGTCACTTGGACCAATTTTTGAAAATTGGAATTTTAGGCTAATTGGAAAGGACATTGAATAAGTTTTCCCAATGATTAATAAGATGGAATTTTGTGTCGGGGTGATGTAAATCAAATTAGGTTTTGCCCCTCACCGACATTAGGTTTTGCCCCTATAAACACTGCATACTCAGTATGTTACCTCCCAAGTGAAAGTTGGAAAGAATCACTCGGGTGGGACTCGAACCCATGACCTTTTTAATGATGTTATAGAATATGGGAATCGGATTAACTCTGACAGAGTTGAAGGTTTTTCAGTCCCCAATGTTTCAGGCCTTGGAAGGTTTTAGAAAAATCCTGAAATTTGTTGTTTTAGTTTCCCAAATGAACTCCTTAGCAAATTGACATATTGATTTTACTGAAAGCGACATATATTTATGATTCTAGCTTCTTATGCCTAAATCTGAATTTTGATAATTTTTGCCTGTACTTAGTATTATTGGTGGTATCTAAAAATACGGTCATGCCACTTCGGACTGGGTCACAATTAGTTTTGAAAACATTTGACAACAGCAGTTTTTGGAAGTAGTTCTGAATCCATTGATGAGTCAGGGTTCCGTTTGGACTCGACTCCAAATTAACCAGCAAAAACAAAAAAACATTTTAAAAACCTCCATGAGATCCTGAATAAACTGTTCTACTGACTCAGTAAAAGAAAAGTCATTTACGTTGTTGTTGTTTTTTCTCGTAAACATGATCAATAAACAAATAATATGTGAGGCGTTTTGGCCAAATGAGATGGAACTGGGCACACATTGTTGTGGAGAAAAATAAAGAAAAAAAATGAATGGGGGCTATATTTTTACAATTTTCAGATTTATTGATATTTGTAATCTTTGATGCGTCTACTACAAATCTTTTAAAGAAATCATTTTAAAATTGTGGAATACAAGTGTTTTAGAGGAAAAACAATTGGCATCTTTTATTTTCACGAATAGCAAACTTGAAACTTGAAAGGCCTTTTTCTCAGTATTTTGCTTTTTGACATGTCGATAAATGCACATTTTAAACAGCCATAACTTGTCAACGCAGTGTCTGATTGAAGTGCAACAGACAGTATTGTAAGGAGCATTTTATTCTCTATCCTAATACCTGCAAACCCTCATTTAACCTCTGCCCAGTTGTGTCTCATTTTGCCAGAACGCATGACATATTTGTTTTTAAAGCTATAGTCCATCATTTGCAGCCATCCGAAAAGTAACTGGCGTAATTATTGTTGAAAAACATACTTGGTTGAAAGATAGTAAGGGGACTAAACTCCCTGTGAAATTATTCTTTCTGGCAAGCTGTCATTTTGAAGTAATCAACGAAAGAAGGCCTTTCCAACGGTGCGTCTTAAGACGCACCGTAGGAACATTTAAATTAGTAGTTCGTTTTGTTATTCGGCGAAGCGCGCGCAAGCATCGGCACGACGCACACGCGCGCGCAGTTGCTATAATTCGTCGGATCAGTGCGCGACATCGCGTATAGCTGCAATCGGCTCAGTGAGAACGCGTCTCGGACGCTGAATTCAAGCACTTCAAAACATGATTCAGCAACTTTTGATTTGAAATTGAGATCCTAGAATGCTGTTTTTCTCGGAATATACAGCTGAAGCTGAGCTGAAACTTCATCAGGTTAGTTGTTCAGTACCCTTCTTTAGTTTTTGAACACTTTTGTTGCTTCAAACGAACAAAATGCACAAATTACAAATGATGGACTGTAGCTTTAAGCGTGTGGAATCTATTCTTTGTGGTAACTGCCATCCGGATATTCGGTGGATGACTGAATATTCGGTTAACCAGTTTATTTTCAACACAGCCCTAATGTCCTCAAAAGGCCAAAAAAAAAAAAAATCAAACAAAAAGTCTAATTACAAACGGACGTGATCATTCCCGAAACAGGACCAAGCGCAACTTCATCAGGAACTCATCAAGAACCGTCCCAGCAACCGGCCCCCTTCCCCGAATCGACAATAAGCGAGCTCACGGCCATGGGTTTCCAACGAGACGAGGTTATTACAGAGCTCGGAAAACATAACGGAAACAAACAACTTGCCGCGGCCGCCCTGTTCGCCAAGAATTTAAAACTTCCCGGTCAGTGACGGTCAACAGTGACTTACTCACCTTCCAACTTTAATTTAAATATTTTTCCACGAAGCTGACTGAATTTTTTAAGCAACAGGACTGGGAGCAAGTCTAATTCCTCAAAATACACTGCACGAAAGTGCGTTGTCGTTTTATTTTTATGTTCCAATATTTTGTTAACTGTGGTAATATGCATAGATACGTATATTTGTACAAAGTTTTTGCCGTTTCATGAACAAAAAGTCAAATATTCAATATAATATTTGCTTTTTCTGCACAAACTGCTTATTCAAACGCATCAAAATCAACTGTCAATGCCGTTATGAGTATCCTGTACACGCGGGGAGAGTGTGGGTTCGAATCCAGCTGTTGACCATATATTGTGTCCTAGGGCAAGCCACTTTACCCCCACTTGCCTCTGGGACTACCATCCCATCCAGGGGGAATACAAAAATATTCTCAGTCGTTTCATGCTACTGAAACCGGAGATGAACGCTGGCCTGATTGGCCACATTGGCTCGTGACAGACCTACATGTAACTTTACTTTTACTTTTTACACATGGGTGGTGTGAAGCAATTGTGATAAACCAGCATGCCTAGGGACACAAACACAGTTTATTAACACTGTAGTCCAACATCTGGACTCGAGCTTTCATGTGTTTGGTGTGTCATTTTGGTTATACAAGCAGTTTTTACATCCACAAATCACACACGTTAACCGATGTAGTATTCCTAACAAGCCATTTCAACAATGATTCCGTGTGAACCATCGTTGTGACATGACGATATTCCTTCGTTGCCTTGAAAATGACAGCATACTAGGCCCAACAGTTTCAGAGAATGCTTGATCCTATTATTTACTCTCAATCAAGCAGGATATTTTGCAATACTTGGGCAGTTTTGTCTATAAATGTTTGCAAATGATGACTACCTTAAAATTGTTTTGGATTTTAGCTGTGAGTTGCTCCCCAAAAACCATTTACGTCACACCAACGCAAACTTTCAGGAAAATAGTCACAACGTTATCCTTTCCCCCCGTGATAAAGAGTATGTCGAATGTTTGTATTAATGTGACATTTGTACCATTTCAGTGGGCCAATTAGGCTTAAAAATTGTGTTTTTGATGAAATTAATTGATAGGTCCTGTGCCTTATTCTATATGGATCTGTCTATCATTTTAATGAAGTATGTCAGTTATTATAAACACTGCGACATTCCTAAACGGCCTTTGATGTTTCCGTGTTGTTTCTTCCATGTGTCCTCAACACTGAGCAGTGTCGGCCTCGCTATGCCTCGACCTTGTTCCCAGGGTGTGCTTTCAATCTCAAGACAATACTAGACCCTGGCAGGGAAACTTGCTTCATGTTTTCTGATTCGTTCCCTCAATAGCAAGTAATGGATTTACATCGTGTCGTGGGTGATTTTATTCCCGTGTGTTATGTGTTTAACATTTGGGATTATTACATTCAATCCTTTCGAAACAATCCTCCTTTTTTCCATTTTGCGTATAATCCTATTTAGTGAAATACTGCGTGTTGTGTGGGTAAGATTAGAACACTTCAACTTAGAAAAAAACTAATGGTGGAATTTAAATTCAGATTTTTCTAAATTTGGTTTGAATTCCACTGTTCCATTTTGATTTTGGAACTGGATATTCAAAACAAACCTTAAAAAACTAAGCCTTCCTTTTTTTTGACACAAGTTAAAGAAAACAACTGGAACATCCCCCAATTTGCTCCAAGGTCTCTGATTGCAACTGAATTCACTTGCTAGTGGTCTTCTTGGTATATGAATAGCCTGCCCATTCAACTTATCAGAGAGTTCCCATCCATTTTGTTTTCAACGTTACAGCTCTGGAGTGTTATTGTAAAAGCCCAGTGGTCATTGAATCCTGTAAACTATACCCAGTCATTGGGAGGGCATTTTATGCGGCACCTCACTCGTCACTTTTTGTTGGCATGACTGTGAGCTGGATGGGAACTTCCGGTGAAATCAGATAACCGTTAATCGGTTTGAAAACAAGTTGGATAACCGGATTTTGTAATATATGATTTCTCCCACCACCAGAAAATACCACGCCCCTTCCGATTTTACCGGGGGGGGTACCAATTTCAATAGGGGGCGCTGTGCAAATTCGACGATTATTAACACTCATTACAGAGTGGTGTACCGTTTTTTGAACAGGCAGACATTAGACCAGTATAATTTTTTGGGGATGTCACAGCAGGGGGAGGGGGGGGGGGGTTCGACTTATTTTTTGGGACAGAGCTAAGGTGTTTTTTTTTGGACCCCCCCCCCCCCCTCTGGATCCGCGCCTGTAATGTAATATATAATTTCACCGAAAAAAGTTAAACACTTTAATTATTTGTTTTCTGAATGTTGCTCTTTTTTTGGCACACTCTGTTCATGTTACACCACAAATGCAAGCATCCAATATTTTAAACAAATATTTTAAACAAACAATTGGCAGTCGCATTAATTCGTGAATCAATACAAATGCACTTTTATTTCAATAAGAAAAAAAATGAATGTTCACTTGCACTTTTCCAAACCGAAAGAAAAGTACACTCATCTCATGTCAACCTTTTCGTGGGTCCCCCGGCGCCCCCCCCCCCTAAGTACCCATAAAAAGTCATGAAACGTCTGCAGCCTCGGATCATGTCCCTCAAGCAAATCATCCATCGCATGTCATGTACTTAGGAATGCGTTGTACCATCACAAATGTACTTAAACGTAAGTGACTATTAAAAAAAAACATACGAACGCATACAAAGTTTCACCTTATCACACGCCAAAACAAACCCAAGTCGTTGCTTTATTGTCTCCTTGAGTGACGTTCTCTCGGCTCTCGCTTCGTTATTCAGATTTTTCTCGCAAATCACACTGCCTTCCAGAATTTCAGTGCATCATCCAAGAATTACACGCCTTACCGGACACCAGTAAAAGTCGATGGCATCAGCAAGTTGCATTGATCACAAATAATGGTTCGTGGTACACAGGCCTGCAGGCAATTAGATTTCCCTCCAACATTTCATCCGACTAATTACATCATCAAGCACTTTTAGAGTTCGGTCAAAAGCAATGCCCACAATAGCCACGGGTCGTGGTCAGAAAAGCACGAACAATCGATTATGATTTTTCAAACAAATTAGACTCTTCGTCAGGACGGGAAACCCGCACAACAATGCTGTTTGAGATGGAATTAACTTTCAATCCGCCATCTCAAACGTCATTCCTGGCTTTTAGGGTTTACTAATTTTGCCGTCTATTCAGCCGTCGATTTCGAAGATTTCTGGACACTCGGTGGAAATGGAAAAGATGTTACGGTGGCCTTCATCATGCAAGAAGCATACGCCACGAGAGTATGATACATGTGTAGGGAAAAGTAGTTTAGAATTCAATTTTCGTTACAGATGCTTCGTCTGTTTCACCATCATTTTTATTCCCAGACACGGTGCTGGCAAGACCGTTTATGTTCTATCTGTAAACACAATGGAAGCTTAAATCAGTCGACATCGAACAAAACACAAATACAATGCCACGTCGCCATTACTGTGTAATATTTTGTGTAATTCGCCTGGGAGGATGCCTTTTGTTGTCTATTATTTTTCTTTTCTTTTTTTCAAGATTCCGGAAGTCACGGCTTAATTTTTCAGCTCTTATTTCTTCGAACACAATGGGGGATTTATTATATCACCTAGACCTTCATCCAAATTGGACCTCGATGGTGCTTTAACAACCGTGTCGCACGGCATTAATTTTGTTTTTACTTCAGAAATTTCCAGGGTAAATTGAATTAGCAGACCTGTTTCACGATCCGTAAAAGCTCCTGTTTTTCGGTTTTTCCCCCTTCTTTTCTTGTGAAGGTTATGCCATTGTCATGCTCCTTAACAATCGGAAAGTCTTTAGTATGCATCACAAAACACCTCGTCCACAAAAATAATACACCGCATCTTGAATAGATGAATTTAATCATGTAGAAATGGCATCCGTCGTGATAAATTACATTAGGGGGAGAAAGGGTATAGGTGACGCTCAAAAGCGCTTGTCTGAACTGCTGTAATTTGCCTACTGCATTGCCGGGTATAAATACAGTGCGCAGGTTGTCGATCATCACAACTTGTAGTGACTTGAAGCTAAGATGGCAATGGTAGCTATCGTGTGTTTACTGATGACTGTAACCGTGACGGTATTGTGTGCAGAGATACCGCCAGCTCTTGAAATGCGGCATACGAGTCGCGGTGACTTCATCATTGGGGGTATCTACCCGTTCCGCTCGTCGGGTACAGCCGAGCCTTGTACCTCTGTCCCAAGCAGATGGGCGGTGGAAATGTCCCAGACCATGATCTTCGCCATACAAGAGATCAACAGCGACCCGTCTCTTCTGTCTGGGTGCAGGCTTGGATACGACATCCGAGATGACTGTCGGTCCGAGGAGTTCACCCTCTACACCACCACCTCGCTGGCGACGGGGCGGCAACCTCTCGGGGCGGTTGTACCAGCGGTTGGGATACCGGTCGGCATGATCGGCCCCGAGTCTAGCGTCCACGCCATCTACGCCGGGAAAGTGGCAAGCCTGTACCAGATCCCGATCATATCCTACTCGGCCACCAGCGACGAGCTGAGCAACAAGGAGAGGTTCCCTTACTTTCTGAGGACCGTCCCTCCAGACGAGCTGCAAGCCCGAGCGATCGTCGACATCCTGCTGCACCACGATTGGCGCTACGTCGGGTTGCTGTACTCGGCCGACACGTACGGCATCCACGGCTCGCTGGAGGTCGCGAAGCTGGCTGAACGGAACAACATTTGCGTGGCTTTCTCCATTGCGATACGAGAGGAACCGGAACCAAACGAGATTGAGGACATTGTCGCCAGAGTCGGCTCCTTTCGACACGCCACGGTTTTCGTGGTGTTCAGTTTTAATCGGCACATGTACGACGTTCTGAGAGCCATTCACGTTGCCTATCCCGGGCGAAAACTCGTCTGTATCGGTAGCGATGGGTTCAGTGGATATGGATTTCTTGAGTATCCGAGTTTGGCAAACGTCACACGAGGCAGCTTCTTCGTCAGACTGACACAGAACACAGTCCCCAACGTGGAAAAATACATTCGAAGCCTAGGAAAGGGAGACATCGACGAGAAAGAGGTCACTCCGTGGATGTCGGAGTACATTGATGAATGGCGTGCCCATTACAATTGCTCCAACATGACATTGTGTCCAATACCATTTGGCGACACACAAAGCAATGTGTACTTGGCGGTCTACGCCTATGCACACGCGCTGCACAATTTCCACCAGTCACGCCAGAGCAACGGAAGCTGCTTCAACATCACTGGTCAGATGTTGCTGCCGTATCTTTTGAATGGTTCATTCGAAAGCGAAGCAGGTCACGTCGACTTTGACTCGAACGGTAACTCCGGAGGCAGGTACCGGTTAAATCAAATGCAGCTGTCACCGGACGGGCAGTTTGAGCGAGTTGGCGTTGGGTTCTGGGAGTCGCACCGGGTCGGCAACGGGCTGGATTTAACTCCAGACGCCGTGCGTTGGCCGCTCGGGAGTCCCCAGCCTCCGATGTCCCTTTGCATGGAGCGGTGTCACCCTGGGTTCATCGTTGTTCCCTTGGAACAAAAATGCTGCTGGGGTTGTCGGGAGTGCCCGGTCAACGCCATCGTGGTCAACGACTCTCGGTGTCAAACATGCCGCGCTGCCCTCTGGCCGGACTCAAACCGATCGGCGTGCGAGGCAATACACCCAACCTCCGTGGATCTGAACAGCGGGGCAAGCATCGTCTTGCTGTCCGTGTCAGCATGCGGGATCCTCTCCTGTGTCCTAACAGCTGCTGGGCTGTATCACCACCGCGGGCACGCCTTGATAAAAGCCACCAGTCGAGAGCTAAGCTGCATCAACATCCTGGGCCTGACGGCTGCCTTCGCCAGCGTCTACTTCCTCCTAGCTCGCCCCTCGGCCGCGAGCTGCCTCATGGCAGAGGCAGCCATCTCGCTGAGCTTCACGCTGATCTACGCACCGACGCTGCTGAAGGTGAACCGAATCTTTCGCATATTTCAGTCCAGTCGGAGGTCCGTTCGCCGTCCTCGATTTGTTGGTCCCAAGCACCAGATGATGCTAGCTTTCGTCTTTATTCTCATACAGGTAAACCATTGATTTTTGAAGATTTTTTTTTATTATTTAAGGAGGGTTTTCAAAATCACCTGGAAAACCTGAGTTCTGTCGATTTATGTATTCTGTTTCCCCTGACATGCCGCTTGCCAACTATATTCTTTAAAATATTCAAAATCCATATGTTGACGTCCTTTTTAAAATTATATTGGATGAATTTTTCTACCATATGGCAAATTGTACGCCTTTGCTCGAAACCCGAGGATAATTACGATGGTAAATAATGACATGATAATGTTTTGTAGAGATGTTTTAAACATAATTTGGTTTTTGTCCCCGTGCATTCCGTCCTTTTATATAGGCCTAAATATATACCAATCCTAGCGCGCTATCAATGTTATCACTAAGTCCCCCTTCAAAGGCGAAAGCATTGTGCTATAGCTATTGTTCAGATAATCGTCACGGGGCAGTGCATACAGTAGCGTGCACAATGTTTTCTTCATTAAAGGGGCCTCTAGTTGTGTAGTCAGTAAGATGCGTTCAAGTTTGACATTTTAGGCATCTCTAGGAGATATAGTTAAACCAATGTTATAAGAACATTCCTCCCTTCTTACTGATGCTTTTGTCGGGCATTACTCGTAGGTGTTCGCGAGTATCATGTCGGCATCGGTCGCCCCCTCCCAACCGACAATACTTCTCCCGCCCGATGTACGTAAATACGTCGAACTTTACTGCTCGTTCGGCGAAGGGTTCACCGCAAGCATCGCCTACAACGCGGCCATCATTCTGGCTTGCTGTTTCTACGCCTTCAAGACCCGTAAGGTTCCCAGCAACTACAACGAATCCAAGTTCATAGCCGTGAGCGTCTATTCCACCCTGGTCTTGTTCCTAGCCGTCATACCGGTGTACACAACGGCCCTGCAGGTACTCCAGAAAGTGGCCACTCTCTCGGCTGCTCTGCAGATGAACGCAAGTCTGACGCTGGCGCTGGTGTATTTGCCCAAATTGTACGGGATCCACTTTGCGCACGAGTTGAACGTGCAAGAATGGCGCACGACGACGGCGGGAAACCAGATCGGCTCTGTGAGTGGGACAGTCAACCAGATGAAGCCTGACTCCGCGAGTGACTTGACCAAGCAAACCAACGAATGCGCGGGTACCAGCTCCAATGGCGGGCCAATGTGACTGAAGATCTGAGTAAAAGAATCAGCGTGTATAGTCGAGAATCTTTAAGAGAGCAGGCTAGCCTGCTAGCTCGCCTGCAAGCCAACCAGCCGCCTTCAGGCCAACCAAGCCGGCCAGCCAGCAGGCCAACCAAGCCGGCCAGCCAGCAGGCCAACCAAGCCGGACAGCCAGCAAGCCGGACAGCCAGGCAGACAACCGGGGAGCCAGCCAGGCAGCCAGCCACCGGGGCAGCCAGCCAGCCAGCTAGCCAACCGGTCGGGGAGCCAGCCAGCCAGACGGGGAGACAGCCAGCCAGCCAACCAACCAACCAACCAACCAACCAACCAACCAACCAACCAACCAACCAGCAAACCGGCTCGGCAGCCAATAAACGAAATCAAAAGGTCACACAACTAGGGAGACATTTCCGATCGAATTCTTTCAACTGCAGTTGCTTGTCATCTACTTTAATTTTTATTGTTCATGCAAAATACATGTAACAGAAATAATTTTATGTCATAAAGTTCGGATTATGAAAAAAAGGAAGAAAGAACACAACACTTACACTTTACCATACCACCATTCGACACCACTGGTTAGCCTATTGCTATTGCACTACAAAATGTTTCAGCAAGAAGTATCAGCCATAGAAATCACAAAAATAAGCCTTGGCAATCTTCTAATTTGCTTTACGTTATTAAGAGAAAAGATTAAAAAGTATCTTATATTTCTAATCTCTTAAAAAAATTACCTTCTTTTACATACATGATACCATGTATTTTGTTAAGTATTACCTAAAAATCCAACTTATCCTTTACACATGTGGTAATATCGCCGAAAAGGCGGAAAAGCTGCCTGTAAAATAGACTACATTGTATTTTTAGTTTTCGCTTTGGAATTCGGAAAAAACTTGACTAGCAGTGATCACAAAACACTGAACTGTTCAGCTGGACTTTTCCTTTAAAAACGCATGACGATGTTCAGACATAATGTACATGTAATTCTAAACTATAGCACTAACATGATCTACATGTTTCAAAGGCACGCCGCTTGGGTTCTAATGTAGTCACTTTACACATTTGTTTTTGCAATGTCCCTTTGTTGGTTCGGAGAGATCCTTTAATTTTCACAAGATCAATCCCAAAATAATTTCTTTGTGTTAGAATTGCGTGCGGCTTACAGTCCATTCAATAGGTTACTTTGGGTACTAGTTTAAAGACTTTTAGAACGTCCAACCTTCACTTTACTGGGAATTATTTTTATGAGCTTTTAAAAATAAATACCAATTGAAATATAAACATTACAGATACTTTGCTACAACGAAACAGCGACTTTCTTCGTTAACTAGTTAAACCGCTTTCTGGTATTATTATCACAGATCATTTAAAATTATTAGCTGTTCGCCACAAACTTCGATATTCGACATCCTACTTCGTGTCTTAAAAACGTACAAAACTGCGGTGTTCGCAATTCCCCAGAGTATTTTTTTTCACAGACAGAATATGTGGTTAATGTGATGATTTATTGTTGCAGTGTTTTAAGTTTAGAGTTTAATACCTGGCAGTGCTGTAAGTAGTAGACTATTGTACAACCGGAATTTTTTCTTTGTCCTGTTTTGTGGCTTGTTATATCTTTAGTTGCACTTTTTGCCATTGTAGTGGTCACTGCGATGTTGTGCGAAATTTTTAACCATGCAGCAAGACTGTAAATATGAAACTGAAACAGTGACGTGCTGTGACAATGTGTTGAACGTTTCCAATGTGTTGCTGTACATTTACAACGGTTGAACGTTACCAATGCATTTACCACTTTAGTGTTGAACGTTACCAATGTGTTGCTGTGCATTTAACACTTTAGTGTCATCTGCATGATACAAGCGTTTGTATCTAAAATTTCAAGAACGCCTGTGTCTGCGTAAGTGAGGTAAGAGGTGATGTAATAGGTCGATCTGGATGTCATAGGTCACGGTGACTGTCTTAAGACAGAGCCTTGAAGAATTCAGGCTTCTCATGACCCTCGTTGAAGCACGTGATTGGGATGAAGGGATGCTTGGTGTCCTGCAGATATTTCTGGAAAATTTAACAAGGAAAAGCTTTTCTTTAACATTTTTGACTACATTTTAGCCAAACTTTGGAGCAAGGAAAACATTTATGTAGCACCGTCTAGCGGAAGAATTTAAACAAAAATACATGTTTACAGGTCATGTTGCCTTGTTCCCAATTAACTTCCTGAAAGAAGTCATGTACATTACGATGTCATTGCACAGCTATTTGTGAGAAACTGCACCATTGGTCCAGCCTCGACTCCATGGGCGCGTGCGCGTTCCTTCACTTGAGATCGCGCAAGGCATGATGGGAAACAACATGGCGCAGCAAGATCTCGTATCCATGGGAACGAGGTTGCCATTGGTCATATAATTCTGGCAGTGACAGTAGCTGTCAAAATGGCGTTTTTGCGGCACATCGATAATAAGAATAATACCTATTAGTGTATTAAACGACCTGATAAACTTTCAAACATTAGCTCTTTTGCCATTTTCCCATCATGTTTATACTGGGGGAATCAGGTGTGTAATATTAAGTGACATAAATGCGCATGCGTCAGTTTTCATCTGAATACAACCTCGATCTTTACTTGCCATCAAGTTTCATGCGTGTTGACATTACTTAGTTCCAAAACAGGAAAGAACTCTCGATACAGAAAAGATAAACTCTATTCAAATTTAATGTTCACAGCATATTAATCCCGTTCTCTTTGATATGTTATTTTGAGACTTACGTGGGCGTAGGAGAAGGCGTTCTTTCTCTCGGCTGAGTCGGCGCCCTTGCCCACCCACACGTACAGTTCCTTCTTGTTGTCGACGATGAACACGTCCTGATGAGACATCGTAGTTAAAAAAAGAAGAATGATTTCCGATTTTGGATTGGGTTTTTGGTCCCTATGCCTGATGCTGTGGGTTTTTTTCCCAGGATATTCTTCTGGGGTTTTCCTCCCACGTCTCACGTGCAACTCCCAGCTGGCTGTTAACTTCTGTACCGCATGTGTAATCTCTTGAATTGTGGTTGGTGTAAAAGTGGTGACATCAACTGTTTAATGTGTTAAATGTTTGGGTTGCCCGTTTTTTTTATGACGTCATCTAAGACATGGGCTAAACCCAAAGATGAAAAGTGAATATCACTTAAAAGAAGGCAACGCACAAACCATTGATGCACGACTCTCAACTTACATTAGGATCCAGCTTGGATTTTGGCAGGCTTCCCTCCGCCTCCTTCGTGAAGTAAAGCTTGTCAGTGTTTTTCAGCCTTTGCAAAGAAAAAAAATAAATAAAAGGTCATAAAAACTATGGCATGTTATACACTTTGAAAATAAAATCACCAAATATTCGATATACATGTAAATCCATTACTTGCTATTATTGATCGAATAAGAATACAGGAAGCAAGTTTCCCAACCAGGGGTTACTATTGAAAAGGGGTTCAAAAGAAAGTTAGCCCTGTGGACGAGGTTGTTACTGGATCGAATCAAAATACAGGGTGCAAGTTTCCCACCCAGGGGTTACTACATGTATTGTCTCGAGGTTGAAAGTAGACCATGTGAACGAGGTTGAAGTGGTAGTGATTCAATTGTTCACAAACTAGAAGCACGTGTGTATACCCACCTAAAGAGGGCGGGCTGGGAGTCATCCACGCCCACTGCTGCGTCTTCCTCATCCAGCGGGTCGTCAGATAGAGCCTGCATGAATTGATGATCGGGACCAATGCGGGCCGACTCCAGGACTTGGCTGGAGGCTTTCCCACGACGACCCTTCAGCTGGGCCACGTACTGCATAGCCTGCAACCACGAATGCAAGATTAAAATACAATGGTAATAGGCCTTGTTACGTTGTTTTCACCCATTTGGGGTATAAAGTAAGCAGACGCGAATCGAAAGTTTTTGACATAGTATTAAATAGAAATACCTAAGCGTTCAAAAACAGCATGTTTGGTTATTGCTACGTTGCTGCTGAGCGCTGTTGTGCACGCTGCTGCACGCATATCCAGTAAGCTCCGCCCAGTGATGCTTCGACCAATCGTAGCCGCAATTCATACTGCGACGTGCGTGCGCGCGCGTTTGACGCGCGCGTCCGAAACACCTGTCGTTGCCCCATAGATATAGAATAATTCTGTATCTATGGTTGCCCCACGTACGCAGTGGGCGGGGCTTTTACTACAACAGCTATTTCTGTTCGTGTTGTTGCTTCCTGATGCTGCTGGGGCTGTTGCTTGCGTTTTCATTGCTTGCGTTTTTATTCTTCCTTACCTTAGTTTTCTCATCTTTGTTGCAAGTCTCGCCGTTCCACTGGAAGATCTTCAGTCCCAGATCCAAGATGAAGACATCACTGGAGTCCAAGACATGCTTGTTGAGAGGTTTCTGTACGAGAGGCGTGGGGCAACACAAAGGAAGACAGTTGTTCACGGTATTTCATCATATTTACTTCATCATTCAGGATTCAGGATTCCCATGCACTCTGGAAATCAGGGAAAACCTTGAAAAGAGTTTCCATTTTCCAGTCAGGGAAAACTTAAGGGACTTTTGGAAAATCACCAAAATCAAAAAAACTCGAGGAATTTGACAGTGACCCAGAAGGGAAAGGTTTTCGCCAGTTTGGCTTATTTGTGCGTCTTGTGTCATGTGACCAAGTTGTGTCCATTGACTGGCTAGACTGGCTATGATGTCTGTTAAAATAGTTTTTGCAGTGGTAACATTACACACGTCTCTCCAGACAATAACAATTGGCTGTGCTTTACCACCTCTTGACTTCCCAGCCTCTTGACTTCCCAGCAACCTCGTTCAAGTGAAAGTATTTCCCATGCAATTTTGGATATTCCTGGGGAAAATATCGTGGAATTGTGAAAACTCAGGGAATTTTGTGTTCATAAAGAGCTGGGAACCCTGCGCTAGTGTCGATAATTCGGTAGGGTTTCAGGTACTTATAGAATTGCAACAGAAATTCAAAATGAAAGGAAGATGACCGACGAACCTCTCTAAGAGTGACATTCTTCTTATCACCCTTGAACTGCAGTAGGCGTGGTTCGTACTGCTTGGGCCCAACGTGGCGGAATCCAGTGGCACAACCGCCCTCCATCTTACTGTCCGGATTACACAGAAGAAAATAATAAGTAGTACATAAATGAATCTCTCTTTCACCGATAGTCCTTCATTTTGTCGCGGTGTGTCTGCAAAATTTGACCAAGTTGTTCTCTGCCACCGAACAGATCCTCGCATCGAATTTATAACAAAGATGCCACGAAAAGACAAGGATGTATACGTAAAGTTTAAAATAGCAGGATTAAACCTGTCATCCTGACAAGTTTGCCAGATTGACGAGACAACATAATCCAAGTTCAAGATAGCAATATTAACTCGGACCGGTATCTAGGCACGGAGGTGTCGCATTGGTCGACATTGCTGTAGCAAGCTACCGCAGGTTTTTTTTTATCAGCGATCCTTCTAAGCCTAATCAAAGCATTTAGTTCAGTAAATCAGTGCTTGATTTGTCAAGAGTTGATAGCATTTTTTTTCCTCAAGAAAAACTCACCAAGGAGCGAATTTCTGCAGTTTTGAGACAGCACACAACCGTGAGTATTTATTTTTGTAACTTATTTTATAATAACTTGAATTATTCAATCAATTGTGCATGGAGACTAAATAATGGATTTGTACAAAGACTTGATTTAAGGATTATTGATATTAATGTTGCAGAAAAGTTATCAATGTATTTTTGAAGACATGAAGAATATCATGATGTAACTCTGTTGAGATACATGTACTTCATTTGAGACTTTGAATTTAACTTCGTAGATTACACCAGTGAGCAAATAAGAAAAGGTGTCTTACGTGATAGAGGGGAAGTAAGTCTTGAACAAGTCCGACTCGTAGTCCATCACTTCGCGATGCTGCACTGGTTTGTCGTCCAGGAGATGGTCCAACTCTACGGTCTTGTATGCTGCTGTGCCATACTCGTCCTGGCAAAGAAATCAAAGGACTTCAACTTGTCTAAATTATGCAAAATATCAAACTGTGCCGTCTTGTATGCTGCTGTGCCGTACTCGTCCAATCGAAGGACTTAAAACGCATCTAATTTTTGAGAAAAAAATTATTGAACAACGTTCATGAAGGCTGCTCGGTCATGTAAAATCGCATACATTTTGTGTCCAAAAATTGAGACAGCCATGTCGTAAAATCTATACGACTGGAAATACAGTCTATTTCTGGGACACACATCAGAAATCTCCTATTGGAAACAAAATGGCTGCTGTCTAATTTAAAGGTCGATGTTTAAATAAAATAAATAATCGACAGCCGCGGACGTACGTCATCGCATGCAGAATCCATTTTGTGTCCAGGAAATGAGACAATGCTTGTCCTAACAATCTCTGTGTCTTACCTGTGTGGAGTACTGCCCGATCCAGAAATGAACATCGTACAGCAACTCCTCAGATTTCGAATCAGGCTTTTTCTGTAACATGATAAATGAAAGATACATAGAGCAATCCGGGCACGATGTACATTCTATCACGAAGGCCCCCTTCAATGGCTAAAAGTCAACAAAAGACTAGTACCGCATTTCATCAAAATTTCACAAAACAAGCTCAAGTCCTACGCAGAGTCCAAACTATCAGGTTACAAATCCTCAACTACATGGGCAACAAACCCTCTAATAGCAGAGAATTTGAGGTCATGCAAATCCCGCGCATGAATAATTTCGGTCGATTTACTGGCTTGCAATCTTTATAGGGTCGTATGAAAAGCTAAGATACTCACGTAGGTATTGAGGATAATGTAAGAATCACCGTTGTAGAAATTGCCATAATCATCCTTAGGCCAGTGTTCAACTTTAAACTTGTTGATGCGCCAAACCTGTGATAAGGAAAAACAAGCGCAAGTGCACAATAAGCTTTGGCGAAAAATGCGACGACGATGGCACATATGGTACACCATACTTTTGAAGAACATGTGACGCCATCTTTAAGACTAGATGTGGAACATAAACTTAGAGAAACGAAATATCAATGAAAAATGCAAAGCGCGATTTTCTAAGAGGAAATAAAAGACCATTAATAAAACAAAAAATTAATTAAAAAAAAACAATTAATATTCGATGTTAAATTCGAACATTCAAATTAAAATAAAAACAACACTCCAATTAGAGGTAAAGAAAGTTAAAAGAAAAACAAAGAAAAACAATTTTGCACTTTAACGGTGAAACTGATAGTTGCCATCGCACATATATTTCAAATGTATTGCCGAAAACTGAAAAATGCAAAGAGAATTGTTTGTGTTCAAAATATATAGAATTATGCAACATATGTTTTGAATTCGGCAAACGTCATAAAAAAAATGATAAATATTGCACTCTCTTGTAAAAATGTAACCAAAATATATTTTACTTTATTGCAAAAGTAACTTTGAAATACCCATTTCTTTTATGCAAAAGTGAGTGTTTGTACTGTTTAATAACATGGAGTTGTTTACAAAGACTAACTCACAACAAAAACTCTAGATTCGTACAATAATCTACAGTAAAGTGAAGATTCATGAAAACAAATACCTACACTTTTACAGTAACGTGACTGATACTTGTTTAACCTTTACGATTCACTCACATACCTGCAGACCTGGTTTTTGTCCAGCGCCCCTCCAGGCGATTTCTGTCTTTGCCGATTCCTTCTTGATCGATTTCTCGGTATCGGAACCGAATAGTGCCAAGTTAGAATCCTTCCAGTCGTACTTCTTGGCCTTGACCAGGCCACGAGTCGGCGGGAAGGCCATCTTGATAACTGGTTATTGCTTGAAAGAAATCACAATATTAATCAAATATCATTTTGCACCAACGCGTTATATTCGGTATGGTAGCGCTTATAAAGGCATATAGGATCATTTGCATTTGTCCCAAAAGTTAAGATCGAATAGGTCAGGCACGCGTCTCCAGAGGGGGGACACCCCCAGCTCTGTCTCAATTTTTATGTCATAGAAATTCATGAAAGTACTGTGAAATCCCCCCCCCCCCCCCTTTGCTCTGATCGACACCATATGTCAATTATACTGGTTATCTTATCCGCCTGTGTACAGAATTTTGTCAGAGCCAACTGGGTTACGGGGGTATTTCTACACGGTTCTGTGGGCCTAATAAAGTGTTGATGCATGACCGTCAGATTTGACCAGCGCCCACGGCGAGGCCCCCCCCCCCCCCTCACCGCCACCATATATTGATTTTTCGGAGGCCAAGTGTCAGGAGAAAAACCTACATACATTTCAGTACTTTTTGCTGATTAACCCCCCCCCCCCTGCAAAAATTCCTGGATCCGCCCCTGCTGGTACCAAACACCCCTAAAATGATTAAATCGCTCGTACGTACTTCGCAAATCAGGGAAAATTTCAAAATATGAATTGCTCAAAGATGATCCTATTAACTAATATAAACACAGCAAAATGGACAGCACTTTTATTTATTTGTTTTTATTTTGTGACAAACAATTACCTTTTTTAATGCGATGGTCCATTAATTTCATTCACATCAGTTCATTTTGCTTATTTTCAGTTGGAGTGTTCTTGAATTATTATTATGCACTTTTATAAATCTTTACGAAAATATCCCAAGGGCGTTTTTCTATGTCACACAATGCCCATATACGGTCGCATGCCGCACCAGGATACCACAATGTATCCAGCATATGGGACTCCCAACTCAGTCGGAAGTTGGCTCACATCGCTTTAACTCCACACAAGGCTGGAAAACACGTCTAGCACTGTGCGATGACAGGGCACTATGGAATGTCCACGAATATAACTGTAAGCGCATCTATAACGATAGTCCATTATGTTCATGAAGTAAGCCTTAAGATAAAATAACCAGAAAATACGGTAAAAATACACAACACGAACTAAACTTGCGAACAAGCTCCCATTAAAATCATTTCCAAACTAGAAGTTGTCTTAAATTACTCGGCATTCCATAGAAACTAGTATGGAGCGCCTCTTCTATTTTCTTTTCAATAAAGATGATATAAGGGGCCATTCAGAATTTTCAATGTTTTAAAATTTCGACTTTTTTTCCAAATTATTTTGACCCACCCACCCACCCCTAATTTCGATTAATAAAAAACTGAACATGTACATGTACATGCACTTGCATGTACATGTACTTGAACACCATGTACATCTGTGTCTAGTTCAGTGACGGCGTGAAGTTGTCGGTCTTCCTCGTTTGCATTGATGACCTTCAGTTTTCTTGTGTTTTCCCAGCTGATATGCTGTTGGGAATGACAGGTTGCAGTTTTGGAAGCCACAAAGATGACCGTGGTTTTGTCGTTTTCTGTATGAGGTGGATGACATGTGACATACGAGGTTGTGCCTGTCACGTGAGGTAGCTGAGAAAAACATTCGCTCGAACCCCCCCCCCCCCCCCCCTTGTTGTTTCTTTAGTGTGTGTATTTAATGTGAGTGTAGACCTATGTATGTCAACTAGGCTGTTTGTTTTTATGGTTTGCATTTTTCTCTCTGAGGCTTTAAAAATAACATCTTCATGGATTCCCAGCACAACTCCTCACAATAAGCCCAGTGTTAACAATATTTCTCGTTGTGGGTCTGAAAATGAAAATTGTCGGTTTGTGTATTATGAATATGATCAAGTGAAATTATTTATGCAGTATTTTTTCCATTTCCTTCAAAATTGCATATTGTAATGTACATTTTTATCAATTTGCTAGAATATGTGATACCTCACCAACAAGCATCTTTTAACGAAATTCAATCAGAATATTTATCAATTTTAAAAAAAAATTTTAGTTGTTGTGTTACTTGTTGGTGTCCCTGCCACACTGTACGATGGTGTAGCCGTGCGTTATGCACTGGATTGTTTACTTTCGTTTTGACGGGGTTTTTACTGAATAGAGTCTGGTGACTGTACAATGTACATAGCAATTTCTTTGAATAAAAGTCGAATCGTTCATTCATGTGCACTTGTTATGCAAAGCAGGGGCAGTGGTTCAAGGATATCTATGTCGACTTGCAGAAAGTGTGCAAGAACGCGACTTGAATGCTTTTATGTGTTCACAATACAACGACGCTGTTTAGTTATTTCACTGTGTGACACAGTGAGAAATTTTGGAATCATAATGGCGTCAGCGATACTTGCTGGAGAGCTCTTGTGTACGACTTTCTGCACTTTGGTACTGTTGTTTCCAGGACAATTGTGTGTACGGTAACCCGACGTACCCAGATTTTTAAAGACGAAATTGACGACCTCAAACTTGTTAGTGCCATATTTGGCAACTATATGTGCGTTATTAGTTAAATTAAACAAATGAACAGGTTAATTAAACATAGTACCATTGAAGGTACCTAAAAGTAAACATAACAGCATAGAAGACCAACAGACGAACATGAAATATTACAAAATAAACATATTTGTCTGGATAATTTTTAGGGCGTTACCGGCAAGTTAACACAAACTTGGTGTCAAATAGATCATGGGAGTTCTACGCTGACAGTACATACAGGGGGCGAAGTTGGAAAAGAAACACGCATCGTGATATCGGAACGCTTGCGCGTAGTTCAGGCAAGTCAAAAGATCTATCTTTCTTTGTTTTTTTAAATCTTTTTTCCATGGAAAGTGAATTTCGATTTTCAATTATTTAGCTTGACCCACCCACCCACAATTTGGAAAAAAGATCGAAATTTTAAAACATTGAAAATTCTGAATGGCCCCTAAAGTCAAACGGAAGATGTTGGATTGGTCACGTACGTTGCATCTCAAGCTCCCGTAAGATATTACAGGCGTGGGCCTCAAAGTCAGATGGACATAATCTGTTACTTCTATATTGAAATATGATTTATGGGGAAGACAAATACACAAAATACAAAAACAGGGAAACAATTGATAATGATAACATCTGCTTTCTTTAATTTGGTGCAGATCGACAAGATCATGACCTGTGATCAAAACATATCCGGTTCTGTCTTTCATATTCGTTTTGGACAACATAGGCTTTGAAAATATGCAATTTATTTCATATTTACTTTTGTACCATACTCGAACAGCACGATTTGGAAAAGATCGAGAGCAATTTTTTTTCTGACACAATCATGTTTTTTTCAATGAAGAAGATATAAACTTATCTCGGATACTTAAGATAAAAACAATTGACGGCAAGCAATCTCTCTTTTTTTTTCAAGGAGAGCTAAATTGTCCTTCCCCTTGCTATTTTCCAGTTTCATCCCGAAAAAATATTCCTTTCCTAAGTTTTTATTTTTCTAGCAATACAGAAGTTATTCACTTTCGAATCAACCCACAATCAATGGACGGAACCAGTCAGCTCAGAAGGCGCTTGTGAGTCCAAGACAAACCTTTATTCAGACTGTTGCTGAAGCCCTAAACGGCTATAAATAAAGGAGAAGTGTTTTTGTTGGAATCAAACATACAAGAGAAAAAGATCGAATTCATCGAAAAGCGCGAGGGATGCAACTTTAAAATATTTTACGCAAAAAGGAAAAGTGAACGATAATTGATCACTCTTTAGATAAAAAAAATCAGCTGGAATTCCCTGACGAAAATTATTTCAAAAACCCACCCCAAAAAAGTCAGTTATACAACCCACTGTTGAGCTAGCTACTGAACACCGACTGACAGCAAAAAGCCAGACGTACCGGGCTGAAGGTTATAGGTTAACCAAAAAAGGTTCAAGTTTCGTAAAGAATTGAAAAAGTTTCCCGAGGCTATTTCGTAGCTTGATCAGTGCAACTATGCAATGCCAAGTAGATATGAAATAATCGCCCATAAAAAATTATACACTGCATAATTATAATGCTAAAGTTTACGGAAAGGCGGCAGTTTGTTAATTATACATTTATGAAGAAATGAAATATTAATAGATTAATCCATTGTCGTGATCAGTGGAGAAATTGTAATATAAGCTGAAATTTTCTTACCTTTCAAACAAAGATTGTAGCTCCGGTCTCGATTCGCAAGGATCACCGACTCGTGTAGCAGGCAACGACTACCGCAGTGAGACAAGCAGGACTTCGCTCGACCAGCACAGACCAAAAACCAACGCCCATACAGCTGTCATATGATTTGATCATCGCCTACGGGGCCGTATTATGGAAATACCATAACTTTCAAGATGAACCCTTGGCGACCAAGTATGCGGGACCCGATGCCGTGGTATGGAGCGCGGATCGGGTATTAAAGTCACGGGTGTCTTGGAATGTGGTCTGAGTGGGCCGGTCGCGGCAAAGTGAGGATTGAAAATAATGCACTGTTGACCGATTTGAGGTAGCCTGTGATTATAATCGCATGCATATTTTTTTTGCACACAATGTCTATCATTTCATTTGACTGATTTTTTTTCAGGAAGGAGGGATGATTCTTACTTCACGATCGAAGTTGCTTAAAGGGTCATCCTGCCGCGGATTTTTTTTTCCAAAAGAATTAGTTTAACCCTCTTTCATAAACCAAAAGTAAGTGATTTAAAGAATATTTCACAGTATAATTAGACACAAAATTGTCATTTTCCTATTTGTGTGTTGTTTTCTTATACATTCATGTTTCTTTCACATTAATATTGGGTTTTCTAAATGCCCATTAACGGTCGTTGCTAGTCTACAAATGGAATATTTAAAAAGATGAAAAAAAAATAAGCAAACAAAATCGTTTCCCAGAAATCAACGAAAACCTAGATATCATCTGTCCTTGCGTCTCTCTGATACTGAGTCTAGCGCCCCCTACATTCCAAGCATTACTAACATTCAGACGCTGAACGCATCGTGGATTGATTGTCCAATGACTTGTCTCAGCCTCCTATAGACTGGTTCCCGCTCCCAGCAGTCAGAATAGATGACGGAGGAAATAGGAACCAGTCTATCACCCTCCACACAGGCAGGATCATTAATGTACATGTACATCAACCACAGACTGAGATATATCAACGTAGACGGCATCCGAACACCGTGACATTGGCATATTCCAAAGAAATTATTATTGTTTTCTACAAATTGTGAACCCAAATGAAGCTCCCTAAACACATTTGTGTTATACAATAAGGCCAAGTTAAAAAAAAAGGGTCTCATCCGTGCTTTTTTTTTTTAAAGGAAGGAGGCGGCCCTTTTTACCCTATCAAGATCATGGCGAAATCTCCAAGAAATTTACCACAAAGTTTCGTCGAAATTTAAAAAGCAAATCGAATTGGAATCCTTCATGCATCTTTCCAGCAAGTTTGAAGCGATTTGATTTTTTGGCCAAAAATGAAAAAAAATACCAGAGGTAAGCCTTACTTTTTAAATGAAATTTGGCCAAACATTGACCTTTCTCCAAACAATGCAGAAATTTGTTTAAAGGTAAGAGAAGCATCAATCAACATTCAAACACCCAATATTTTGAAGATTTTGGCAAAAAAAGTCATCGCGTTTTGGAGAAAAATATTAAGGCACAAAATATTTATGGAAGACATAATGCTATTTTCAATTTTAAATTAAAATGATTAGGAAGCATGAGTAAAAGAAACGACGGACTTAATCTGTATAAAAAAAGTGTGAAATGTATTTGTTTTAATAAGCAAGTTTTTGGTGCAAAATAATCCCACTTTTTTAGGCGGCCTTTAATAAATTTGGTTAACAGATGGGGCGCCCCCATGGAATGACACTCGAAACAACGCGACCACCGCGGTGGTCCGACGTTGGCTAGTGGATTGGGCACTCCCACAGTTTTCACCCATAATATATTTATAATTATTATAACAATAACACGGTCAATCGGATACAAACATCTGACGGACCTGGACCATCCCCCGCAAATTCCTGGATGCGCCCCTGAACGCACCTGATTCCTTTAAAAAAAATTAGTCTAATGGTGTTCCGATTGTTGCGTAACGATGAGTATGTTTTAGCACATGTATAAGCCTACGATTAGCGAGGTAGCCGTACGTAATTTTCCAAACAATGACAACAGTTTGCTCACTATTATTGCCCGAAATGTCAGGTGACTTATTTTCGTCCATGGAGCCAAAACAGATGCACACAGCAATGTTCCACGTTTCTCCGCCTATTATTAAGACATTTTGTTTTTGAGGAGAATTCTAAGGAAGCCTGATGGCCGAGTGGTTAGATTCGTCGTCCACGAATCGCGGAGCACGGGTTCGAATCCCGTCGGTGTCTTTTTGTTTTTCAAACAACGCATTCAGTGAGTATAAGTGTTTAATTTCCCATCGTAAATCACCAACGGTACCTTAGCTTAATCGGTAAGCACTGCGGCTGGTACTGTCCGTGAGTTCCAGGTTGGCGCCTTCGTACAGGTTCAGGGCATGTGGTCCACTCGGAGGATCAGGGCTTAGGGTGCCGCCCTGTTCCTCCCTTAGCTCTATGCTTTTACATGGTGCCTGGCCCTCCGGGGTTATATGGATGGACAGGGAAGGAAGTGTGTATTGGCCGGGACACCCGAGAGCCCAGAAGAGAACTAAGGGAACGGCTGGGGCATTGTTATGGCTCAGACCGATCCCTGAAAGCTTGGCTAGCACATAACTTTTTGATTTTTTTATCCTCTATTTTTATTAAACTTTGGTTTAGTTTGATATGTACATCTGCTCGGCAGGTCTAAACGGTGATATTAAAAACGAGAGAAATAATATATAATATATATAATAAATCAATGAATTTTTGATAATTGACTATAATCAAAATTAAGTTCATTCATGATCAATATGACTACCATTATTAATGGCGTACTTTGCAATCGACGTAAGAAACGCCATATACAAAATTATACGGGAACAAATAAAGATGTGATGTATATTATGGCTCGCACCATGCTTTCAATGGGGGCGCTTTTCAAATCCGACGATTATAAATACCAAAGATCCTATAGCGCTGTAGGATACTTTATAAAACTTTTATAAGAATACCGGGCAAGGACGATGGAAGGACGTCAACAACCATCGAAAAAATGCAGAGTAACTTGCCATTTTCAGGCCTAAAAGTTACGCATTTTACCTGAAGTAATTGAGTAGGAACTACTGGCCACACTGGAGTACTTGTGGAACCATTTCAATTCAAGTATAGATAAAAATGGTGAGGAAAAATGAAGCTAAAATTCGCTGCAATTAGCACTGCATGTAAAAAAGTAACTGTACAAAAGGTAACAGCGCCCCCTTGCGACGCTTATGTGTCGAAGGGAAAATTTGCGTTCCTGAAAAGTGAAATTGACACTTAACAATATGGTAACAAATGTCAATTTCAAGAACAGCAAGAAATTGTCGGAAAGATTCCCATATCTGTCCATCACTTGGGCTCACCCTGTGCACAAACCCTATAAGACTGGAGATAATGTTGTTTTTGCCCCTTTTTGATAAAAATGCAAGGATAACCCCTTACCGTTTTAAATTTTGGATAAAAATTTGTTTTTGCCCCTGTTGAAAAAAATGCAAGGCTAACCACTTACCGTTTTAAATTTTCGATAAAAAAAATTATTTTTGCCTCTTTTTGATGAAAATGCAACTCTAAACCCTTACCGTTTTAAATTTTGGATAAAATTTTGTTTTTGCCCCTTTCTGATAAAAATGCAAAGCTAGCTCCTTACCATTTTCAATTTGGGATAAAAATTTGTTTTTGCCTCTTTATGAAAAAAATGCAAGGCTAACCCCTTACCGTTTTAACTTTTAGATAAAATTTAGTTTTTGCCCCTTTTTGATAAACATTCAAAGCTAACCCCTTACCGTTTTCAATTTTAGAAAGCAAATGTGTTTCTTGCCCTTTTTGATAAAAATGCAAGGCTAACCCCTTACTGTTTCATATTTTGGATACAATTTTGTTTGTGCCCCTTTTTGATAAAAATTCAAGGCTAACCCCTTAGCGTTTTAAATTTTGGATCAAATTTCGTTTTTGCACTTTTTTGATAAAAATTCAAGGCTAACCCCTAACCATTAAACATTTTGGATAAAAATTTCTTTTTGCCCCTTTTTGATAAAAACGCAAGGCTAACCCCTAACCGTTTTCAATTTAAAAAAACCCCTGTTTTTGCCCCAATTTGATAAAAATGTAAGGCTAACCCCTTACCGTTTTGAACTTTTGATAAAAACTTGGTTCGGTCCCTTGTTGATAAAAATACAATTACCATTATTAATTTTCCATCAAAATGTGTTTTTTGCCTCTTTCCCCTTTAATAGCACATCTGTCTAGTAATCGATTGTGAATGCGTTCTAAGGCCCTTGAGACATCTTTCTAGCAACTTTCAAGAAATTTCATTTTTTGGCCAAAATTGAAAAAAATGCAAGGGGTTAGCCTTACATTTTTAGTCAAAATCGGCCAAAAATTGACTTTTCTCAAAACAAGGCAGAAATTCATCTGGATGCAAGAGGAACATGAATCAATACTCTTACACGCATAATTTTGAAGATTTGGGAAAAAAATCAGCAATTTTTGGAGGAAAACAATTAATTTTTGAGCGATTTTACCTTCATTTTTCGACGAAATTTTTCCTTTAATAGCACATCTGTCCAGTAATCGATTGGGAATACGTTCTAGGGCCCTTAGGACACCTTTCTAGCAACTTTCAAGAAATTTCATTTTTTGGCCAAAATTGAAAAAAATACAAGGGGTTAGCCTTACATTTTTAGTCAAAATCGGCCAAAAATTGACTTTTCTCAAAACAAGGCAGAAATTCATCTGGATGCTAGAGGAACATGAATCAATACTCTTACACGCATAATTTTGAAGATTTGGGCAAAAATCAGCAATTTTTGGAGGAAAAAAGTTAATTTTTGAGCGATTTTACCTTCATTTTTCGACGAAATTTTTTCCTTTAATAGCACATCTGTCCAGTAATCGATTGGGAATGCGTTCAAGGGCCCTTAGGACACCTTTCTAGCAACTTTCAAGAAATTTCATTTTTTGGCCAAAATTGAAAAAAAATACAAGGGGTTAGCCTTACATTTTTAGTCAAAATCGGCCAAAAATTGACTTTTCTCAAAACAAGGCAGAAATTCATCTGGATGCAAGAGGAACATGAATCAATACTCTTACACGCATAATTTTGAAGATTTGGGCAAAAATCAGCAATTTTTGGAGGAAAAAAGTTAATTTTTGAGCGATTTTACCTTCATTTTTCGACGAAATTTTTTCCTTTAATAGCACATCTGTC